TGTCACACGTCTCCTTGCTACTGTCGTCACTGACCCCTCTTTTGAGTCCACTGCTGCGTCTGCGCTTGTTGCTGAGCTCGTCGACTTTGCTGCTCGCTGTCGTCTAGACTACGCTGCCGGTCTTGTTGCTGAGTCTGCGTCTGTCTGTCCTCCGTCCGTCGGGGGTGAGTGTGCTCTTGGCACGGACGTCCTTGAGGACAGGCAGGAGGAGTTCCAGTGTCTGGCTGCTGCTTCACCTCATCTCGCGTCCGTACTACTTGCCCCTGAGGGAGACCCGGATGCACTAGACATCCCGACTCCGCGCTCTTACGCGGAGGCCGTAGAGGGTCCCTACTCCTCTCAGTGGCAGGCAGCTATGGATGCAGAGATGGCGTCCTGGAAGTCCACAGGCACCTACGTTGACGCGGTGCCCCCTCCTGGGGCGAACATCGTCAGTGGCATGTGGATCTTCAGGGTGAAGCGGCCGCCGGGCTCTCCACCTGTCTTCAAGGCGCGGTACGTCGCTCGTGGCTTCAGTCAGCGGCAGGGAGTTGACTACTTTCAGACCTTCTCTCCCACCCCGAAGATGACCACTCTTCGGGTGCTGCTGCACATAGCCGCTCAGCGCGACTACGAGCTCCACTCTCTTGACTTCAGCACTGCTTTCTTGCAGGGTAGCCTGCACGAGGAGATCTGGCTGCGCCGTCCACCTGGCTTCACTGGGACTTTCCCTCCTGGCACCCAGTGGAGCCTCCGACGGCCAGTCTACGGTCTCCGCCAGGCACCGCGTGAGTTGCACGACACACTGAGGACTACGCTTGCGGCTCTTGGGTTTGCTCCCTCTACTGCTGACCCGTCGTTGTTTCTGCGCACCGACACTTCTTTGCCGCCGTTCTACATCCTCGTGTACGTCGACGACTTGGTCTTTGCCACAGCTGACACTGCTGGACTAGCCTACGTGAAGTCCGAGCTGCAGAAGAGACACACGTGCACAGACCTGGGTGAACTGCGCAACTACCTTGGCTTGCAGATCACTCGGGACAGAGCACGCCGCACCATTACCTTGACTCAGTCACACATGGTGCAGCAGGTCCTTCAGCGCTTCGGCTTCACGTACTCCTCGCCTCAGGCCACTCCTCTGTCTACTCGCCACTCGCTCTCAGCTCTGCCTTCGGATGAGTCCGTAGAGTCGAGTGGCCCGTACCCAGAGCTTGTTGGCTGCCTCATGTACCTGATGACCTGCACACGACCTGACCTTGCATACCCTCTTAGCATTCTTGCACGCTATGTTGCTCCTGGGAGACACCGACCAGAGCACATGGCTGCAGCGAAGAGGGTGTTGCGCTACTTGTGCAGTACGTCGGGCATGGGGCTAGTGCTTGGAGGGCGGAGTCCAGTGGTCCTCACTGGGCACGCGGACGCTTCTTGGGCTGACGACCAGGCTACGCAGCGGTCGTCGCAGGGTTACACCTTCAGTCTTGGTTCCGGCTCTGTCTCGTGGCGGGCTACTCGCTCGTCCTCTGTTCTCGGCTCCAGTTGTGAGGCTGAGATCTACGCCGGGGCCATGGCTGCACAGGAGCTTCGCTGGCTCACCTACCTGCTGACTGACCTTGGAGAGCAGCCTCGTTCTCCTCCAGTGCTGTACGTAGACAACAAGGCCATGCTGGCCTTGTGTCGAGAGCAGCGCTTGGAGCACAGAACGAAGCACATTGCTCTCCGTTACTTTCTTGCTCGTGAGCTGCAGCAGCGTGGTCAGTTGCGACTTGCGTACGTGGCCTCTGAGGCCAACACTGCTGATGTGTTCACCAAGGCACTTGCGCCTTGTGACCATCAGCGCTTCTGCACTCAGTTGGGTCTTGTACCTGTCTTGCCTCACTTGCTCTCCTCTTGACCTTGCTTGTACTGTCACATATATATACCTGCTCTTGCTTGTCTAGCTCTATATATATATGTGTCCTCCTGCATGTGAACTGGCCTTGTGGCCTTGTCGTTGTGCTCGGACTGTGTGGTGACTTTGTGATCCACCCTGAGCTTGCTGTGCTTTGCGTGACTGGTCTTGTGACCCCTTGTTCTCCCCCACTTTGCCTATGGGGGTGTGTCAGAACATTATATAGCTTATGCTGTTGTGTAGGCTATAGTGGGGTATCCCATAGGGGGTACAACCCAATTAGGGTTTCCTATATGTACTCACTTCATTCATAGTTCATCCATTCGCGTTCTCCTCTTCACACTTCCTTAGCGCATCGGTTCATAACGAGCCAGCGCATTGTACCAGTATCGCGATAGCTCGCATAAGAGCGCGCAACGAAGGCCAACAGGCGTGAAAAGTCAACAGTCACGTCTGTTGACCATTTCACAACTGTAATATGAGGGTATGCACTGCAACGCAATAACCGTAAGGATCGCAATAGTCACTGCAACTGTAACAATGTGTGCAAAACAGTTAAATAAGATAATATATTCCCATTGTACATGGTTTGCTAGGACAATGCTATATAAACCTTTCGTAATATTATATATCATCTTATTAAATATAATTGTCATTAATGTCGTCTTTCATCTATTATAAACAATTGTCATTCCCTAGGATCAATCAGGGATCACAAGTGGACATTTGACAACAATGTCATCCAATACTTCCGTTGTCCTAACTCCATTTGGCAAGCATTGTCATGTCGGGTACGATCCCTCAATTATATGAAGAAATGGCCACACTTTCGCGCGACCAATTTCAATTTCGTAAATCTGCCCGAATTTCGCAAAACATTTGTCACGTTGAATGCGCACCCTGAACAAGAGTGGAGAAAATAATGATATATTGTCCATTTATGATCCTGTTTAAAGTGTACCTCATTTTTTGTCATATAAGATTCGAAGCAGCAGCTCTGTTTTGTGCGGTTAACAATTGAAACAAATACATACAACTGGCATCGAGCATGCATATATATATATGTATATATATATCAAATGAGTGATGATAGATTTCTGGATATTCCCAATACGAGTAGTTATTGAGGACGTGTATATAACCTATGCACTTGTACCACCTAGAGCTTGAACACGTATAGGGGTCACATAATTTGGGTAGAATTGTGAAATAATTCTTTATTCACTTGTTCGTTGTTCGTCTATCAATGTACAAACGGTGTTGATGTGTCATGTGTAAGTGATGATTTTCAATTTGAGCTTGTCGTTTCGGCTTCGAACTCGTGCCATGCGTGACTGATGAATTCCTAAAGGATGATGATGACGCGTGCGTTCGAGACTTCATCTACAGTGATGGTCAAATTCGCGTGCGTTCACGTGCAACTGACTGCTTTTCACTGGCTGACAGCTGGCTGCAGGTTGAAAAGGGTGACGTAAGGACGAACTTCAAATCAAGTGCTGCTGTTTGACACGATTTAGCGACTGAATATGCTTTCGCCAGTGACAAATCAGAGAGCCTTGTCCCATCGAAACGAAAAGCTGCTGACGCAAAAGCATCCGGAAACTTCGCAACCCCTATCGATCACTTTCGAGACCACGCGGAGCCCCGCGTCCTGTATAAGAATTGGGCCGTTGTCGAGGGCCGTTCGTCTATTCATGTTTTTTTTTTTTTTTTTTTTTTCTGGGGTAGCTATGCTCAATGTTTCCATGGTTAACATTCTGTACATAATAATAATAAATTGTAAAAAACAGAACAAAACAAAGACTTAGGCAATGCAGTGTATCCATCCCAATGCATGATTCCTTTTTTTTTTTTTTTTAACGAGAAAATGATTGCACGAGAAGCCATCAATAAGCAAAATGCAATAACAAAGGCACACAAAAGTGCAGGTGCCTGAAAGCTGGAGCATATGCCCGGACCGGACTAGGGATATAATCAAACCTGCCTCGTATAAGATCACAAAATGTTTGGTATGGGTATCGTGCGTGGTAAGCAGTATAAAATAACGCTGATCTTATTGGTGTAGTCAACAGCTTGCATGATTAAATCTTGGAACATGGCCTTCGCTGGCATCCCCACAATTGAACTGCATATTCAGTTTGTTGACTTTATTCAAACAGGTTTGCATTATTCTAGATGATTAATTAGCAACTTTGCAACCCATGAATTCAGGCAATCAGGATACAAAACAAGTTGTTATGACAAGGGATTACTAAGCAGCGATGACTATGCTAAGGGTTTCATTTGTTATCCTTCTACTTAGTTAACATGCTTTAATCGTCGTACCATCGCTTTCCAATTGACTGGCCAGGCAAAAAAACGAGAGCAAGGGGAGGGTTAAAGCACACACACCCAGATTAGAAAAAAAACAGCTGGAGACATTCGGTACAGGTGAGAATGCAGGACAGGAACAAATACAGATAAAGGTAGCAGTCACGGGAGACACACACGTCATGACACAGAAAAGCAAGGCACCAGTCAAGATGACATGTGCCATCACGGTACAAATAAGGTACAAGAGCAGCACTCACTCACACACACATATCCCTGTCGACATGCCATGTGCCGACATGGTTCAAGCAGTTCAAGTACCACGACCATCTCTCCCACACACGTACCCATTCACATACAGGATACAAGTGCATACCAGAGCCTTTCTCATTCACAAGCTACAAGTGCATACCAGGGCCTCTCTCACTCACTAACGCATACCTGAAAATCGCCCCTCTCTTGCTTCAAAACGTCCCTAAACTTCTGAGAGACGCCTCAAATGTATATCAAAGTGCCTCCCTCACCCACACAGCCTCTCACCCTCTCACACATACCTGTCGAACTCCCAGTCTCTTGCTGTGCCGAGTGGGCCTTGTCGCCTCTTGAGCCCCCTCCTTTCCACCACCAGCACCACCAGCACCAGCAGCACCACCACCGGCAGCAGCAGTTGCAGTATTTGTTGAACTTGGTTTGGACTTCCTTCGTCCTGCTCCTCTCGCTGCAACCATCCCCCCCCCACCACCACTGACACCACCACTAGCACCACCACTTGCACCACCACTAGCAGCACCAGCAGCAGCAGCCCCCCCAGATGCTCTGTCCGCTACCTCGCCACTCCACTGCCTCCCCCTATCACCCCACGAGGAAAGCCCCTCCCAGGGTATACTTACCCCCCCTTCCCCCGGCCCCACACCCACGGCCCCCCTGCCCAGCTCCCTTAGCTCTAAATCGTCATCATCATCATTAGCAGCATCTGCTGAAACAGCGTTTGGCGATGTGATGGGAACAGCAGGTGCCGCTTCCGCGGAAGCTTCCTCTTCAGATGCCGCTGCTGCTTCTTCAGATGCTGCTGCTGCCTCTTCCTGCCTTTGTCTCACACTGCTGCCTCTCCTTTCGACTGCTTTGCCAGTCACTCGCTGCTTTTTCTCCTTCTCCTTCCTGGATTTCCCCTGCTTTGTCTCCTTCCTCTGCCCACCTCCCTTTCTCCTTTCCTTAACAACATCCTCCTCATCCTCTTCCCCTTCCTCCTCCTCCACCTTTCGCCTCTTTGCCTCCCTCTCAACCTTCCTCCCTCCTCGCTTCCCGCCCGCACGCCCCCCCACTCTCCCACTCACCTTCCCTCTACCTCTCCTAATCTTAGCTCCCTCTGCCCCTCTTCCTCTTCCCAACACGCCCCCACCTCGCACGCTCTTTCTCTTCTCCACCCTTCCATCATCATCCCTCTCACTCTCCTCTTCCTCCTCCTCTTCCCCTTCATCAAGCAACACCACTGCCTCTTCTTCCTCCTCCTCCCCCTCTCTTTCCCCATCCTCCTCCTCCCTCCCTTCCACCTCCTCCTCGCTCCCGCCTCCTCCCTCCTCCTTATCCCCACCCCCCTCCTCCCTATCCCCTTCATCCTCCCTGCTCCCTTCTCCCTCCTCCTCCTCTCTACCCCGTTCTCCCTCCTCCTCCCGATCCCCATACCTCATTCCCGCCCCAGCCCTTCCTGCTATGATAGCACGCGCATTCCATCTTCCCGACCACCTACCACGAAGCCCCATCCCTCTCACTGTAACTCCCAACCCTCTCAGCGTGATCCCAGGCCTTTGAATCGTGAGACGCGGCTCTTTGATAGCCTTTCCTGGAGACCTAACTGCTAGCCCACGCCCACCAGTGCCACCACGCTGACGGCTCAAGGCAGCAGCAGCAACGGAACTGCCTGATCTGCCCTTGGCCTTCTCTGTACCTCTCTCTTCCCCCTTGCCATCGATTCCTGAGTGTTGCTCCTCCTCGTCCTCTTGCTCCTCTTCTTCCTCCTTCTCTTGCTCCTCTTCCTCCTCACTCCCCCCTTGCCGCCGCCGCTGCTGCTGCTGCTGCTGCTGCTGCTGCTGCTGCTGCTGCTGCTGCTTCCGCTCCTCATGCTCTCTGCTCTCCTCTTCTCCCCCATCCTGTTCCCGCACCATAGCCAGAGCTCGTTTCAGCACCCCAGCTGCACCAGCATTGGCATCAACACCAGCAGGAGCAGCAGCAGCAGCAGCAGCAGCAGCAGCAGCACCAGCAGGAGCAGCAGCAGGAGCAGCAGCAACAGCAGCGCCCATACCAGCAGAGATTTTCTTTGCAGCACCCTTGAGTCTAGAGTCAGTTTTAGGACCAGTAGAAGGTTTTCGCAAACCCTCAGGCCGCTGGTTTGAGGCCGCAAGCAAACCCTTAGGCCCACCAACAGCAACAATTCGTCCCGTAGGTGGTTTCTGAACCACACTCTCTCCCTTCTTTTCCTCCTCCTTCTCTCCCTTCTTTACTTGCTTCTTCACTTGCCTTTTCTGGTCCCCCTTCAACCCCACCCCACCCAGCAGCACCCCCATGTACTGCTTTCGAGCCTCTGGTGCGTCTGAAGGCTCTCCTTGATTCACACCTGCCTGTTTCATCACCTTACTTGGTCGCACCTCAGAAGGGGTAACTTCCGAATCTGCCCCAGCACCCTCTGTTCCCTTGGTTCCTTTACCCCGGACTGAAGGTCCCTCCTTTTTCTTCTCTCCCTTCCCTCCCTTCTCTCCCTTCTCCCCTTTCTCTCCCTTCCCTACCTTCTCTCCCTTATGTTCTTTCTCTCTCTTCTCTCCCTTCCCTTCCTTCCTGCTCCTCCCCCGTTCACTAGGCGACACTTCAGTCCCTGCCCCCGCCCCTGCCGCTGCTGCCTCATCACTAGCTGAAGCCCGCTCCATCACCCTTTCTACCGAATCTACTCTCTTCCTCTTCACCCCATCTGCTCTCTTCACCACCCGCGGCATTCCAGTCAACTCCCTACCCCTTTCCTCCTCTCTCTCCTCCTCCTCCACCTCCTCCTCCTCCGCCTCCTCCCTTCTCTCCTGCTCCGCATGCCCTTCCCTAACAGCAGCAGGCGCAGCCGCCTCATTAGCAGACTCGGATCGTTTCTCCCCCTCCTTCTCATCCTTCTCCTCCATTTCCAGCCTGCTTACAGCATCCACTCCCATCAGAAGCAGCTCTAGACTCGATGCCGCTGCTGCTGCCGAGCCACCCAGGGGAGTAACCTTCTCATCCCCTTTACTAGCTGACTCAGTAACAGGTACAAAACCTTCCCCATTCTCCTCCACTGCTTCTGCAGCGTCTGCCCCTTCTCCTGCTCCTCCAGCCTTTTTTGCCTTCGGCTCTTTCTTTTTTGGCCTGCCCGAAGCCTCTTCTGCCTCTTGAAAAGTTATCTTGCCCACTCTTTTCCCACTTGTCACTTTCACTTGCTTGTCCTTCCCCTGCTTCTTTCCTTTCTCCTGTTTTCCCGACTCAATCCCCTCTCTTCCACTCCCAACTCCCCCTTCTACCCCCTCTACCCCCTCCAACCCCTCCGCACCTCCACCAACCTCTAACCCCACAGCACCTGCTGCAACCTTTGCCTTTTTCCTCTTAACTCCTCCATCATCCGTCCCTGCTGCCTTTCTCTTTGTCACCACTTTGGCTTGTATCCCCTCGACCTCTTCCCCCTCTCCTGTTCCTCTCGCCCCATCCTTCCCCACCATTTTCACCCGTTTTGCAACCGCCTTGGCACTAGCAGCACCAGCAGCACCAGCAGCACCAGCAGCACCAGCAGCACCAGCAGCACCAGAAGCACTAGCAGCAGCAGCAGCACCTGCCCCAGGACCCAATCCTGCCTTCCCCTTTTGCCCTACCTGCCCTTTCTCAGGCTTCCTCACCTTCTCCTTAAGTTTCTTCACTCTGCCCTCGCCTCCTTGGGATTTTTTGCCTTCTACCCCCGTTGCAACAGGTCCTACCCCAACAGTACCCGTGTCAGCGCCTGCAACCCACCCACTAACCGCCTCCTCCCCTTGCTCCTCCTTCTCGCCCTCCCCTCCTTCATCTGCTGTCTGTGTATGCTCTGACTCCTCTGCTGCGTCTGCCACATCAGCTGCTGCTGCTCGTACTGCTCCTCCTGCTCCCAGCCCTGCTGCTGCTGCCCCTCCTGATGTTCCTGTAACAGCCCCACCAGCATTAGAAGTATTGTCATCTGCAGCAACACCACCAGTCGCACCAGCAGCACCACTCCTTTCAACACCACCACCAGCACCACTCTTGCCCTTAGCCTCCTCCGCCCCAACTCCCTTCTTCCCTCCCTTCACAACCGCCTCTCCCTTCCCCTTATTCTCTCCCTTTCGCTTCTTCTCTCCCTTACCCGTTTTCACCACGTTCTTTGAAGCTTCCACCTCCTCCTCTCCCTCCTTGCCCTGCATTCCCTGCTTTCCCTCCTTGCCCTCCTCCCCAGCCTTACCCGCCTTCACCTTCGCAGATACACCTCCCCCAGGCTTCACCTTCCCAGGAGTGCCTGTTCCAATGCTTGCCCTCCCCAAGCCTGGTGGTTCCTTTGCCTTGGCCCTCCCTTCGGTCCCTTTCTCCTTCACAGGTCCCTTCTTTACAACCTTCTTTCCCGCTGCCCCTGCTGCTCCAGCTGCAGTTCCTGCTGCTGCACCTGCTGCCCCTGCTGCTGCGGCTGCCAGTCTTGCTGCTGCGGCTGCTGCCCCTGCCTTTCCTGCTGATGCTGGCGCCGATCCTGCAGCAGGTGACATCACCTCTGTCGACTCAACTGCAGCAGCAGCAGGCACAGCAGCAGTCGCAGCAGCAGCAGGCGCAGCAGCAGCAGCAGCAGCAGCAGGCGCAGGCACAGGAGCACCAGAACCAGATCCTGCTGCAGCTGCTACAGCCGGCAAGCCTGCAATCCCGGGCCCACCTGCCTCTGCTACAGCTGGTGCCGCTACAGCCGAAGGTTCAACTGAGGCTGGTGTAACAGAGACAGAAGGTCTAGTGTCAGCTGTCTCTCCTGGTCTCCTAACCTCTGGTGGCCCTAGGCCTAGGGAAAGAGCAGCACCAAACCCGCCACCACCAATCCCCCCACCACCAGCAGATGCACCACCACCAGCAGCACTGCCAGCAGCAGCAGCACCAAATCCAGCCTGCTCCGCTGTCCCATCCCCACTCAACGCACCAGGCCCCTCCTTCCCACCCCCCTCCACCTGCTCCCTCCCTTCTTGCAGCCACTCTCCCTCGCTCCTACCAGCTTCCCTTGCTGAAACCTGTACCGGAGCCTGATCTGCCTCAATTCCTCCCAGGAACATTCTCTCTACCCGCTGCCCCGGAACCCTAAAACTGCTGCTACCCACCTGCTGTTGCCCTTGCTCAGGTAAGCTGCTGCTGCCCACCTGCTGCTGCCCCTGCACTACTGGGAAGTTGTGAATCCCAAGCAGCTGCTGCGTCTGCAGCTGAGAGATACCATCACCAGCCTGCCAATTGTCTGCCCGGCTTTCCCTTGGATCTGAAAGCGCTGCCTCTGCCTGCATTAATCCCCCAGGCTCCTTGTGAAACGCCTCAGGGGGCGCTAGCGCTGGTGCCGGTGCTGTCGCTGGTGCTGGTGGTGGTGCTGGTGCAGGTGGTGCTACTAGCAGGGGACGACCAAAGAGCATCTCTTGCGAGGGAACGGGAGGGGCCGGTGTGGCATCAGCAGGAGGAGGAGGAGGAGGAGGAGGAGGAGGAGGAGGAGGAGGAGGAGGAGGAGGAGGAGGAGGAGGAGGAGGAGGAGGAGGAGGAAGAGCAGCAGCAGGGGGCGCAGCAGAGAGAGGAGCAGCGGGAGGAGCAAGCGGAGCAGCAGCTGAAGCGGGGGTGTGCGTGAGAGGGAAGGAAAGAAGCGGAGGCGTGGCATGTGGAGCTGCAACTGTAGCGTTCACTGCTGCTGGTGTGGGGGCAGCAGCAGGAGCAGCAGCAGGAGCAGGGGTAGCAGCAGAGGGAACAGCAGGAGAAGCAGCAGGGGGAGCAGCAGCAACAGTCACACTTGGTACAGGCACACTCGGTACAGGAAAGCTCGGCGCGGGTATAGTCACACTGGGTAGAGGAACACTCTGATTGTTAGTGAAGAACCTGCTTAAAGCCCAAGGACCAAGCAGAGATGGGTCTAGCGCCCCTACTGCTACCTCCACCACCCCCCCCTCCTCAGCTAGTGGCTGGAACCTCCCTCCTCCTGCTCCCGGACCACTGGCAGCACCACTGGCAGCAGCAGCAGCACCGGCCGCACCGGCAGCAGCACCGGCAGCAGCACTGGCAGCAGCACCGGCAGCACGGGCAGCACCGGAAGGAGAATCAGGTGCTCGACGGGGAGACAAGAGGTGGTGCAGGCCGAATCCCACAGCAGGGGAGAGAGAGATTGCTCTCACTCCTCCCCCTCCACCTCCTCCTCCCAACCCTGCTGCACCCAAACCTAACCCGCTTCCCAACCCTGCTGCTCCCAAACCTAGCCCTCCTCCCAAGCCTGCACCTCCCAGCCCTTCCCTTCCACCAGAAGGGCCTAAGAGCGGGGTAACAGGGGGCGTTTCACCAGCACCAGCAGCGCCAGCACCCCCTCCCCCTGCCCCTCCTGCCCCTACTACTCCTACTCCTCCTCCTGCCCCTACTCCTGCTCCTCCTCCTGCTGCTCCTGTTGCACCTCTCAACCCCTCGCCCGCCACCCCCCTTCCCCTGCCACCAAGTGTGGGGCTAGTGAGGCCTAGACTCACTCCCAATAGGCCAGAGCTTAGAGAGCGAAGGGGAGGCGTGTGCAGGAGACCTGCAGGTGCTGCTGCTGCTGCTGGCGCTCCTGGCGCTACTGCTGCTGCTACTTGTTGTGGTGCCTGGGCTTGATCACCTGGGGAACCAGAAGGATGGTCATGCCCTGTCCCCTGTGTTGCTACTGCTGCTGCGGCTCCATCAGCAGTGGTGTGTGTGAAGGAGCGAGAAGCAGTGAGTGAGTACCCTGGAGGTAACCGAAGAGCCAGGCTGGCAGCTGAAGCAGCACCAGTAGCGGCACCAGCGCCAGCACCGGTACCACCCGTACCACCACCAGTACCAGCAGCAGCGCCAGCAGCAGCAGTGGCATCCCCCCCACTGAGACTGGAAGAGGATGGAAAACCCTTCAGCAGTTGAACCTGGCTCGGACTTACAGGAGGAGCTGCTGCAGAAGCTGCTGCAGCTGCAGGCGCAGCACCGCCAGGTGCATTTGTAGCTGCTGGCGCAGCAGCATGGGGAGGATTGAAGGGAGGGACAGGGGGAGGCACGGTAGCGATGCCCCTGTTGCTGCCGTTCCGCCTGGCCTCGGCTGCTTTGAGCCGCCCCTGCAGCTCCTCCACTCGCCTCCTCTCCTCCTCCAGGTCTTGCTCCATTGCCTTGTGCTGAAGGTGGTCGGGGAAAAAGAACAAGAGTGAGGGGGGTGAAGTGAGGGGAGAAAGAAGGGAGAGTGATTGCAGCCTGCAGCTCCTCCACTCGCCTCCTCTCCTCCTCCAGCTCTTGCTCCATTGCCTTGTGCTGGAGGGGAGATGAAGGGGGAAAAGGTGCGGGTGGTGAGGGGAGTGAGTCTACAAGTGAGGAGAGTGACTGCAGCTCCTCCACTCGCCTCCTCTCCTCCTCCAGCTCTTGCTCCATTGCCTTGTGCTGGTGGTGGTCGGGGAAAAAGAACAAGAGTGAGGCGAGTGAAGTGAGGGGAGAAAGAAGGGAGAGTGGTTGCAGCCTGCAGCTCCTCCACTCGCCTCCTCTCCTCCTCTAGCTCTCGCTTCAGTGCCTTGTGCTGGTGGGGAGATGAAGGGGGAAAAGGTGCGGGTGGTGAGGGGAGTGAGTCTACAAGTGAGGAGAGCGACTGCAGCTCTTCCACCCGCCTCCTCTCCTCCTCCAAAACTCGCTCCATCGCCTTGTGCTGGCGGGGAGGGGAGACAGGGGGAGGAAAGGAACAGTTGAGAGGGACGTGAGGTGAGAGGGACGTGAGGTGAGAGGGACGTGAGGTGAGAGGGACGTGAGGTGAGAGTAACCCCTTGCTTGTCTACCATCATCCCTTTTGCTCACCTTAGCCTCGGCATTCAACCTCAGCCGTTCCATCATTGCAACAGCACGTTCCTTCATCTCCTCAGATGCTTACTGCTCTCACCCACCAACACCACACACATCAATTGCTTCTCTCCCATCACCCCTTTACTCACCTTAGCCTCAGAATTCAACCTCAGTCGCTCCATCATACCAACAGCTCGCTCCTTCGTCTCCTCCAGTGCTCCCACCAACATCACACTCACCAATTGCTTCTCTCATCATCACCCTTCCCTCACCTTAGCCTCGGCATTCAACCTCAGTCGCTCCATCATAGCAACAGCTCGCTCCTTAGTCTCCTCCAATGCTCTCTCCAGAATTTCCACCTTCTGCTCTGCCACTGCCGCCCACAGAATCGAATCTTTGGGGATCTGATCCGCTACAGTAACCGCTGCATTCTGCACTGTAGCAGCCGTGGCTGCGTCAAGAGGGAAACCGAGGGGGCCGGGGGCGGAAGGGGGAGGACGGGTACCGGGGGGAGCGGGGGAAGCACGAGGGGGAACGGGGGGAGCACCAGGGGGAGGAGAAGGGGCACTAGGGGGAGCGGGGGAAGCATGAGCGGGAAGGGGGAGGACTGGAGGAGGGGGGCGGGAAAGGAACTGGGGGAGGGGGAGTTGGGGGAGGTGGAACTTGGGGAGAGAAAACTGGGGGAGGGGGAATGGTAGTTCCTCAGGCCAGGTGTGAATTGGCTGTGACTTCCCTGCCCCTGCCAGCTGCTGCCCCTTCAACTGAGAGTCGTTTGCTTCTTGCTGCTGCTGCTGCTGCTGCTGCTGCGGTTGCTCTTTCAGCTGCTGCACCAATGGCACCTCCTTCCATCCCTCCCTCCTCTCCGTTCCTCCCTGCTCCCCGTTCTCCATCCCTCCGCCTCCTTTCTCTTTTCCCACCGCTTCCTCCTCTTGCCGCTGCTGCTGCTGCTGCTGCTGTTGCTGCTGCTGCTCCTGCCTCTCCCCTTGAACCCCCAAAGATGACACAACAAGTCCCCCCCCTGTTGGAGCCTTTACCAAACTTTCCTTTATAGCATTCCCCATTACAGGGTTCTCCTTCATAGAGCTCTCCTTGACATGATTTTCCTTTTTTGGGTTCTCCTTTATAGGGTTCTTCCGAGGTCGTCCCCGTCCCCTGGTGGGCTTGTCTGGGTCGTGCACTCTCTTAGCCCGCACAGCCTGCTTCAAGTTCTGTGTGGACTGGGTCTGCTGCTGTTGTTGTGCTTGCTGCTGCTGCTGTGCTCGCTGTTGCTGCTGTTGTTGCTGCTGCTGCTGCTGCTGCTGCTGCTGCTGCTGCTGCTGCTGCTGCTGCTGCTGCTGCTGCTGCTGCTGCTGCTGCTGCTGCTGCTGCTGCTGCTGCTGCTGTTGTTGTTGTTGCTGCTGTTGCTTCTGCTGTAGTTGCTGCAGCTGCTGCTGTTGCTGCTGTTGTTGCTGCTGCTGTTGCTGTTGCTGCTGTTGTTGTTGCCGTTGCTGCTGCTGTAGTTGCTGCTGTTGTTGCTGCTGCTGCTGCCTCTGCTGTTGTTGCTGTTGTTGTTGCTGCTGTTGTTGTAGCATCAGCTGTCGTTGCTGTTGCAGCTGCTGCTGCTGCTGGTATTGTTGTTGTAATTGCTGCTGCTGCTGCTGCTGCTGCTGCTGCTGCTGCTGCTGCTGCTGCTGCTGCTGCTGCTGCTGCTGCTGCTGCTGCTGCTGCTGCTGCTTCTGGAGCTGCTGTTGCTGCCCTCCCTGCTGCCGAGCCTTGGCCTGCAAGGCCTCCTGTTGCCTCTGCGCTTGCACTTGCCTCAACACCTGTAGCACACCCCCCCCAGTAGCACCAGTACCAGCACCAGCAGCACCAGCAGCACCACCGGCAGCAGCACTGGCAGCAGCACCTGAAGCAGCGCCTGACGCAGCAGCAGAAGCAGCACCAGCAGAACCACCACCTACACCACCACCAGCAGCATTAGCAGCAGCAGCACCACCAGCAGTACCACCACCCCCAACAACACCCCGAGGAGTACCAGTACCAGCAGCAGCGCCACCAGCAGTACCACCTGCACCAGATGCAGCCCGCCCCAGAGGCGCCTGCAGCAGCTTCTTCTGAGCAACCAGCTGGGAGATCGTTGCTGCAGGAGCCTGCTGCCCCGCTGCTGACCTGCCGACCTGCCCTGCAGGGGCCTGCTGCCCTGCTGCCGCCCTGCCTAGCGGGAATGACGAGGACCGTGCAAGGAACGGAGCTGCTGGATTGGCGGGCAGGGAGATCGACGTGGAGGATGGAAGTGACTGCTTTTGCGGCGCTGCAAGGATTGATAGGGGCTGCTGGGTCTGCTGGGGCTGCTTTGGTGCACCTGCTGCTGCTGCTGCTGCTGCTGCTGCTGCTTGTGCCTGCCTGGATTCAGTCGCCCCTGCTGCTGCCTGCTGCACACCAGTTGCCGCAGCTGCCTGCTGTGCCTCCGCTGCCCCAGCTGCTGCCTGCTGGGGGGGTGTTGCTGTTGGGGGTTGCTTCCCTGCACTGACCGCTGAGACTCCCTGAGAGAACGGAGCTGCTGCTGCTGGGGGTTGCGGTAATACACTCGTCCTTGCATTTGCCCGATCTGAAGCTGCTGTTCCTGGCTGCTGAGGTGCTGCTGCTGTTGGGGGTTGCTTCCCTGCACTGACCGCTGTGACTCCCTGAGAGCCCTGAGCTGCTGCTGGGGGGTGCAGGGAAGGGAAGGGAGCGTGTGGCCTTGAGGCAACAGCACCAGCAGGCGCTTTTGTTGCCTGCCCAGCGGTTGCTTTCTGCGCTACAGCCTGCTGGGCTGCAGCATGCGGTGCTACAGGCTGCTGCGCCCCCCCTGCTTGTATTACACCCTTCTGCGCTACAGGCGGGGGTTTCTGCGCTACAGCCTGCTGTTGCACTCCCCCTGATCGTATTACAACCTTCTGCCCTGGTGCTAGTGGTGGTGGTGTTGGTGCCTTTATCGGGTGTGCTACAGCTGTTGGTGGGGCTACAGCAGTCGGAGGAGCTACAGATTTCACGAGGGCTACGTTATTCCGTGAATCTGTAGCAGACGGGCCGGCTGTAGCGGAGTGAGGCCCTACACGAGACTGCCCAGCTGTAGCAGACTGTGTATTTGCAGCAGATGAGCCGGCTGTAGCACTCTGTGCAGCTACAGCCACCGGATTTGCACCCATTCTTGCAGCTGCTATAGAAGCTACAGCTGCTGCAATCGCAGCTGCAGCTTCTTCCCGCTTTGCACCTTCTATAGCCGACCCTGCTGTCCCACCTGCTACGGCTGGCCCTGCCGTCCCTCCTGCTACAGCCGGCCCTGGCTTTCCTCCCGCTACAGCTAGTCCAGGCTTCCCTCCTGCTACAGCCGGCCCTGGCTTTCCTCCCGCTACAGCTAGTCCAGGCTTCCCTCCTGCTACAGCCGGCCCTGGCTTTCCTCCAACTACAGCTAGTCCAGGCTTCCCTCCTGCTACAGCCGTTCCTGGATTTGCACCTGCTACAGCTGGCGCTGACTTTCCTCCCGCTACAGCTGCAGGTTGCACTCCCAGCCTGCCAGCCGCTACAGCCGTGGCAGGGGCAGAACTTTCTTTACCTCCCTGTGTCCCTGCAGCTACAGTCCCCAGACCAGGCTTTCCTGCAGTCACAGCTGCTACAGCTGGTCCTGGCTTCCCACCAGCTACAGTTGTCCCTGTGTTTGACCGATTTGCACTTGCTGCAGTAGCAGCATTTTCACCCGCTATGGCTGCCGCATTTCTACCCGCTACAGCTGCCAGCTGAACTCCCGTTCTGCCAGCTGCTACAGCTGGAACAGTCTTTGCAGCTGCTTCTGCCGCTGCTGCTACAGCTGAAGGCTGTAGTTTCGCTGCTACAGCTGAGGGCTGTGGTTTCGCTGCTACAGCTGAGGGCTGTGGTTTCGCTGCTACAGCTGAAGGATGTGGCTTTGCTGGCTGCCCTTTGCCTGTTGACGGCTGGACTCCAGTGGGAGCTGTAGCAGGGGCAGGAACACGGGCAGGAGTAGGGGCAGGAGCACGGGCAGGTGTAGGGGCAGAAACACGGGCAGGTGTAGGGGCAGAAACACGGGCATGCACAGGGGTAGAAACAAGGGCAGGCACAGGGGCAGAAACACGGGCAGGCGTAAGGGCGGGAGAAGGGGTAGATGCAGATGCACTTGCACTTGAAGAAGCAGCAGCGGGAGAGGTGGCGGCAGTAGGGGGAGGGGTGGGTGATTTGGCTGCTGCTGTTGCTGCAGGGGAGACAGTGGTCGGTTGGGGTGTTGGTGGAGCCTTGGCTGACGAAGGAATTAGTGGAGTGGGAGCTTTGGTTACTGCAGGCTGGGGTGTTGGTGGAGGCTTGGCCGCACCAGCAGTTGCAGGCTTGGCAGCTGGAGGTTTGGCAGCAGCAGCCGGCGACACTGCCACAGCAGGTTTGGAAACAGCTGCAGCAGTAGCAGGCTTGGAAACGGCAGTGATAGGTTTGGAAACAGCAGCTGCAGCACCAGTAGAAGGGGGGTTGGGTGCAGCAGCATTCGCACCAGAAGGACGGGAAGCGGCAGATGCAGCAGCAGGCGCGGGGGCAGGACTAACGAGTGGAGCAGTGACAGGCGGAGCCACAGTGGGTTGAGAGGAAGATGGAGTGGGTTTGGAGGGAGGCAGAGGGAGAGGAGGAGGGTGGGTTGACTGAACTCGGCTGACTTTCGAAGCTGCCACTGCACTGGAACTAGCACTAGCACTGGCACTGGCACTGGCACTAGGACTCGTACTAATAGTAACTTTGGCCGGAACTGCACTGTTGGCAGGATTGGGCGTTGATTCTGCTCCTGCTGGTGCTGCTTTACCCATGGAGCTGGGGGCAGGAGGGGATGAGGGCTTGGTTGCTGGCGCTGCTGGTGCCCCTGCTGGCGCTGATTTACCTGTGGAACTGGGGGCAGGAGGAGATGAGGGCTTGGGCACTGCTGTTGCAGGCGTTGACGCTGCTGCTCCTGCTGGCGCTGCTTTACTTGTCAAGCTGGGGGAGGGGGAAGATGAGGGTTTGGGTGCTGCTTGCGGAGCTGCTGGCGTTGCTGCTGGCGTTAGTGTTACTGAACCTGCTTTCCCTGGGCCGCTGGGAGGAGGAGCAACGGCAGGCGACGGTTTGAGAGCCGCTGCTTGCGGAGCTGCTGGCGTTGCTGCTGGCGCTGCTGGCATTGGTGTTACTGAACCTGCTTTCCCTGGGCCGCTGTAAGGAGGAGCAAGGGGAGGCGATGGCTTGAGTGCCGCTGTTGGCGGAGCTGCCTTCCCCGTGCTACTGGGAGAGGCAGTAACTGATGATTTTGGTGCTGCTGCCAGCGGCGCCACCGCCATTGCTGCTACTGCTACTGGGGCTGTTGCTGCCGCTGCTGCAGGCGCTACTACTGGCGCTACTACTGGCGCTGCTGCTCCTGCTGTTGCTGCTGCTGGCGTGGCTGCTGGGGCGGCTGCTGGCGTGGCTGCTGGCGCGGCTGCTGGCGGAGATGCTTTCCCTGGGCCGCTGGGAGGAGCCAGGGGAGGAGGTGGCTTGAGTGCTGCAGCTGGCGGTGCCTTCGCTGTCGCCAGCAACGGTTTGGTGGGAGACAGGGGGAGAGGTGGAGGCTGGGAGAGAGGTGGAGTTTGGGAGAGAGAGGAAGGCTGGGGACGAGGGGGGGGCAGGGGAAGAGGCGGGGGCTGGTGCATTGAGGGTTTGGCTGCAGAAGGTGGTAAAGGCTTGGTGGCAGCAGGAGGCTTAGGTTTCAAAGGAGGACTGGTAGGGCCTGTGGGAGCAGTGGGGGCAGGTGCAGGCGCAGGTGCACTTGTCGCCTTGGATGCAGGTGCGGATGCAGGTGCGGATTCAGGTGCGGATGAAGGCGGAGGGGGGACAGCGGTGGGCCCTGCTGATTCACGTGCACCTACGACCTTCTCTGGACCCTTCTCTGCACCTTTCTGTGCACCCTTTTCCCTTACAGCCACGCCCTGCTCGCTTGCCTTCGCGTCTCCACCTTGAACGCCCTCCTTCCCGCTCCCTCCCTTCATGTTCCCCGCAGCACTCGCGTCCGCTTTCGCGCTCGCGCCTCCTTCCGCGTTTGCGTCTCCTTTCGCGCGCGCGTCGCTAACGCCTCTCTTTCCGTCCGCGCTCACGCTGCTTACACTAGCGCTCTGTGCGTTCTCCTTCGCGTCGCCGCCACTCTGACTCGTTTCCTTGACCATCGCGCCCCCAGCTACTTTCTCCCCCTGACCGCTACCGATCCCCGCCTTCGCGTCCGCACTCTGCGAGTTCCCCATCGCGCGCGCTCCCCCGCCCTGCGCGCTCCTCGTCGCGCGCTCTCCCTGTACTACCTCCGCCGCGTTTCCGCTCGCCTCAGCGTTTCCGCTCGCCTTAGCGTTTCCGCTCCCAGTCGCGTTTCCGTCCTCCGTCGCGTTTCCGCGCTGCGCGTACTCTTTCGCTTTTCCTCTCTCTGCTATCTCCTTCGCGCTTCCGTCCCGCTGTTTAACCAGACCTGACGACGTCGTCTTCGTCGCCGTCGTATTCGCCGTCGTCGTCGTCGGCGTCGTCGGCGTCGTCGTGCGATTCGATTTTGGATCCATCGTCTCTACTCGTACACTACGCAGCTTCGTCGTCGCTGGCGTTCGCGAGTAACCGCTAGTTCGCGAGGCCGATCACCCATGGATAGACCTGCGACAGATACAAAAGGAGACAAGATATCGAAGTGTTAGGTATCTCGGAAACTCAATCGCGAGTAACTGCTACTTCGCGAGGCCGTTCATCTTCCATAACTAGACGTCCGAAGCCTGCGCTGTCAACGAGAGAAGACAAGGAAATGAATCTCATAACGCGTATTAATTCGTTTCGAAACTCGTTCGCGAATAACTACGACTTCGTGCCTGCATCTTCCAATAGCAGTAAGAAATCAAAAAAATCCTGCGGAAGTATGAAAGGAGGGGACGAGGAATCGAGAATTGGAATCAAAGAAAGGAAAACGCAAAATATCGAGTGTCAAGACGTATCAAAAGTCGTTCGTGAATGAATCAGGATTCAACGCTCGTCAAAGGACCAACATATCCAGTCAGAAACGAAATATGAAAGAATCCAGTTATTCAAAACAATGGTCCATGCCGACTCGTGAGGCGTGACCAGTTCGAGAAATAAAGCAACGAGACGACCAGGTGAGAAATGTAGAGTAAGCGTCAACGAAGTAAGAAATTAAAAGCTCGCAAATAGTGGCCCGATTGCGGATGCCGAACCAACGTTACATAGAAGTATCGAAACTCGAATTGAGTGAGAAAATAAGATGCTAGCGAGAAATGAGAAATAAGCTCAACGAAGGAAATCGTCATGTACATCGAAACTTCACGTATGTAAGCAGATAACGGAGGGCGGGAATGGAAGAGAAATCATTACATTCTTCCATACTGACTTGAAGAAGCTTACACAGAAGAAGGCTTGCGTGTACAAACTACCGAGGAAATGGTTAGAACTTCGATAGAGGCATCCCATGATTAACAAACGACCAGGAGTCCTTGCCGTGAACAAATCGCTACATACCTGGATCTAATTAGAAACGCGAGCTCCTGAATCTTCCGCAATCGACGCACTAGAACTACTGGCACGAAGCTAGAACGAGTTCAGCGAACGAAAACGGAAACCTATTCAATCGGACCTGGAAATCAGATCCTACGACATAAGAAAGCTAGTAAATGTCTGGTTACGGCCAAACAAGCTCGTCCTAATGAAGGGTAAACAAGGCACAGAGTGGAGTGCCAGAATGAAAGCGACGTGGATCAGCGTATTAGGGCTGCTCGGTGGGTTATGCAGGGAAAAAGCCGGCGAGGCAAAGCCGAAACCAACATATAGCAACAACACAAATCAAGCGAGCGAAATCAGGGAGGGAGGGAGAGAACAGCAGGGTTGGAGGGTTGAGTGAGAGGGAGGAAAAAAAGCGCTCGAAGAAACCGAGGGAGGAACAGGAAGGCCTTTCTGGGATGGGGGGGGGGGAGAGTAGAGGAAGCAGATTGGCGAAATCTCGCACGAGAAATCTTTCAACGCCACGGAGGGAACCCAGGAAATGGGTCGCACGCGACGCGAGAGCTTTCGTTTCCCTGCAGGCGAAGACTGGAAACGAGTGGTTGCGGGTTGCACGAAATAGAGAAAGCTGGTTATATGGTATTGACGAATTTTGGAGGGCCTTCGTGAGATTGATTTATGAGAGGACAGCTCGACTTCTTGCATGTCAGCACGAAATATGTGCCGTTTTTGGGCAGATGACAAACAAAATTCGATGCGGCTCCTCCAACTCTTCACCATCCGCAGTGGCTACAACTAATCAATTGAATGGAGAAATTCGACTTCGCGGGGGGAGGGGATCAGTCCTGTGACAAGGGTGTCAAGCGCAGGTCCTAGCAGCGTTCCGCTGAGGCATTTTGTTCGATTGTGGTGAGGGGGTGTTGGCGGCTCGCTCTGTTTAGATCGCAAGATTCGGAAATGTTTCATCTCTTATCCGACGGCCAGAACTTTCCACTAGTATAGTCTACAGTCTTGTACAATAGCTGCTATACACCATATATTATCGTGACCTTATTCAACGTATGAAAGACGTTGAAATGTAAAAAACTCGTAAACACCTATGAATAATCAATTACAGGCTATAATTGATATTTGTATTATTTTATATCAAATCTGTTACTTTTATGGACCCAGCTAACTGAGAGGTCCATTACAGCGACTATATGCGTTACTGAGCACTGTCTATTTGTGTGATTAATCTGGAAGCGAAGCTGACATGAACGGACAAATGGCTTAGGGTACGTTACACCACTCCGTCAGCGACGCGTGTCGACACCGCGATGATGGTGGTCAGACAGGAACAGCACTCTCTCGATATCATCATACAGCAGAGCATCCCTCCACCTCGAGTTCATCTGATCTCTCTCTTGCTTTTCACCCCCAACGAACTGATCGTCAAATAGATAAAATTCCAGAAACACTGAGGATTAGTAGGTAGAGTGGTTTCATGCATTATGGTGGCTTCACACATCGTGCACACGAAGGTACCCTTCCCACCCCAAGCAAAATTGTACCACACCCTTTTCTGAAGGATACGGATTCCTGGAGCATATTTGCAGGCTTGCATAGGTTACACGTGCGCGCCTGCTTTTTCTAACTGTCGCGCTTTCAGTTCGAGCAGTGTCGCGACTCGCGACAGTGGCTGCCAAGATGAATGCAAGTCGTTTCGAAACAATGTCTCAGTAACTTCTGGTTGCAGTCACTTCTTGTAGACTTACCGCACTCGCTCAGTGCTCCTCGTAGCCTTAGTTTACCTTCTCGTTCTGATCCCGCATTCACCATGAGCTGCTTACGTGGCACGGAAAGCGTGTTGCTGGTGCAATGTCAGTGGTCTTCCCCCTTGGGATCACCGCACCGATCCTTCCTCTGTCGACATGGAGCTCCACAATCGCTGCCACGTCAGCGTTCTCTAGGCCCAGTGAACTCAGCCGCTAGGAGCCACTTCTCGAGTGTGGCTCCTAAATCACATCGTGTGTCTCCCTTCTCGAGTCTTCAACTAGCATCTAGTTACAGTAGCCGTTTCAACCCTAACTTTCGGTGCAACAATGGCCTGTTACTTCAATCTGGTTACAGAGAACAGCTAAACCCTGAACCTTGTCCCCTGATGGCTTCTAGATTCCGGCATCTTTCATTGTCAGTTGATGGCCGTTTGCCGCTGGCTTCATTTCAGGGATTGCGTAGTCAAACGCCGGTTAGGTTAGAGTCTTCAGGGTCGAGGGAACGACGGCTAGGGAGTCACTCAATAACGGGTACACGAGGTTCCGCTTCTCTACTTCGCGCTCGGTTCGGCGGTGACGGCCCCGAGTCGGACGGGGAATCGGAGTACGGAGCTTATTCCACTAACGAGGAGACACTTAACGGGGCTGCTCGTCGCTCAGCGACGCTTGTAACGGGGGACTTTAAAACGGAGCCAGTTCGAAGGACAGATGGGAATACTCAGAAACGAGGAAGCAGTAACGGAAACGCGAGACCTAGTACCGGAAGCAACAGAAGAGATGCTGACGTGGACTGGACGGCGCTGAGAAGCCGCGTGGCGAAACTCAGCAACAGCGGTCCCGCTACAGGGAGAAAAAGCGGCGAGGAGTCTAATAACGGGGCGGTCAATAACGGATCAGTGAGGACTGCCCCAGGGTCTCGAGTAGCAGACGAGAGCGACAGCGATGGGGATGAGCGGGAATCGTCTGGGGATGGCTCGCTCAGTGGCAGCAGCAGCAGCAGCAGCAAAAGCGGCGGCAGCGCCACAACCAGCAGCAGTGGGGAGAGCGGCGAGAGCAACGGCTTTAGGGTTGACGTGAAGACGCTAGTGCCTGGCGACGTGTTGGTGCATAAAAAGCTGGGCATATGCCGGTATACTGGGACACGGGTGGAGGTGCCGGCGGGGCGGCAGCGGAAGGTGAAGTACCTGCTGCTGCAGTTCGCGGATGGGTCGGCGAAACTCAGTGCGAAGCAGGCGAAACAAGTGCTCTATCGTTTTGGCATGTGAGTAACCAAGGGGGAATGGGGGAGAAGGGGGGGTGGGGGAGGTGTGGGGGAGGGGTGGGGGAGGGGTGGGGGGGGGGGGAGGGAGGGTTCAGGGGCGGCAGCGGAAGGTGAAGTACCTGCTGCTGCAATTCGCGGATGGGTCGGCGAAACTCAGTGCGAAGCAGGCGAAACAAGTGCTCTATCGTTTTGGCATGTGAGTAACCAAGGGGGAATGGGGGAGAAGGGGGGGTGGGGGACGGGTGGGGGGGGGGGGGAGGGAGGGTTCAGGGGCGGCAGCGGAAGGTGAAGTACCTGCTGCTGCAATTCGCGGATGGGTCGGCGAAACTCAGTGCGAAGCAGGCGAAACAAGTGCTGTACCGATTTGGCATGTGAGTAACCAGTGGGGAGGGGATGGGAGGGGACTGACCAACTGGTAGGAAGGGATTGTGATGCGAGCCGCCCCCCCCCCCCCCCCCTTCCCCCCCGAGTGTGTGGAATAAACAGCCACCCCCCCACTTCCCCACCTTCCACACACCCCCGTCCCCCTTCCCACACACACCCAGCGCCGGTCCCCCTGGGCGCTCCCCCCCCCTGAGCAAGATGCACGACGCGAGTGCGTGGGAGAAGCGGCAGGCGAAGGGCAAGGAGGCAGTGGAGCGCATGGTGGGCGAGATGATGGACGTCTATGTCAAGAGGCTGCGGCAGCGCCGCCCCGTTTACCCCAAGTTTGACACAGAAATGCAGCGGTTTGGGGAGTCGTTTGCGTACAAGCCAACCCCGGACCAGGAGCAGGTAGGTGCATGGATGGGTGGGTGGGCCCGGTCTCAGTCCCAACAAGGAAGAGGCTGTGGCAGCGGCAGCGGCGCCCCGTGTACCCCAACTTTGACGCGGATTTTTGAGGCGCCTCAAAAACCACCTCAATGAAGGCTGAGGCAGCGCCGCCCCGTGTACCCCAAGTTAGACGCAGAAATGCAGCAGTTTGGCGAGTCGTTTGCTTGCGTACAAGCCGAAGCCAGACCAGGAGCAGGTAGGTGGGTGGATGGGTAGTTGGGTGCGTGGGTGGGTGCATGGATGGGTTCGTGGGTGGAGTCAGACGGAGGAACATGTGTGAGAGGGATTTGCAGATGGATGGACTGGCTGGTGTGTGACTATTCTGTGTTGGCATGGAGGAACTCGGTGGTTTTGAGACGTCTCAAAAACAACCTCGCTGCACGTTTTGAGACATCTCAAAAACAACCTCGCTACATGTGTGAGAGGGATATGCAGATGGATGGACTGGCTGGTGTGTGACTATTCTGTGTTGGCATGGAGGAACTCGGTGAGTCGACTCACAAGTCTCCCCCTTTTTCTCCCCCTTACAACAGGCGTTTCTAGACATGGAGAGGGACATGTGCGAGAGGGAGACCCCCATGGACCGACCGGTGTGCGGCGATGCTGTGTTGGCTTCAAGGTGGTCTTTGAGTCGACTCACGAGTCACCTCCCCCATCCTCTCTTCACTCTTTTCCCTTCCCTCCCCCACCTCCCGCCACCGCAACCCAACAGGCATTCTTAGACGTGGAGAGGGACATGTGCGAGAGGGAGACCCCGATGGACCGCCTCGTGTGTGGCGATGTGGGCTTCGGCAAGACAGAGGTGGCTGTACGAGCAATCTTCAGGGCAGTTCTCGACAAGAGACAGGTGCGGTTGTTAATTTGTGAGGCAGTGTGCAAGGGGCGTGGGTGTGTGTGTCCTGTTCTGTGGGTGATGTGATGAGGGTGGGTGGGACTGGTGTGTGGCGATGCGGGCTTCAGAGCAGGCCATGGACCGCCTGGTGTGAAGGCAAGACCGAGGTGGCTGTGCGAGCCATTTTCAGAGCAGTTCTCGACAACAGACAGGTGTGTATGCTGGAGAATGGACAGACGTGATGTGACGTGTGTGTGTGTGGGCGGGGACGGAGTGGGGGCACTGGGGGGGTATGTGTGTGTGTGTGGGGGGGGGGGGGGGTGTGGGTGTGGGTGTGTGGGCGTGTGTGTTTAACTCATCTTCCCAATCCCCCCTCTCTCCTCCACCCTCGCCCTCATTCCCCTTCTCCCCCCTTCCTCCCTTCCCCTTCTCCCCCCTTCCTCCCTTCCCCACTCCGCATGCAGCCCATGGTACTTGCCTGGCCCCAACCATGGTGCTGGCGACGCAGCACTACACCACGCAGATTACCCCTCCCCTGCCTCCTCCTTTTTCTCCCCCCTCCCACGCAGGCCATGGTGCTAGCTCCAACCACGGTGCTGGCCCCGCCCTGCCCCGTCCATGACTATGCCAAGCAGAGCTGTGCTCCCCCTCCCCTTCCTCTCCTCTCCCCACGCAGGCCATGGTGCTAGCTCCAACCACAGTGCTGGCGAAGCAGCACTACAAGGTCATATCCGCTCGCCTCAAGGACTATGGCGTTCGTGTGGCCCTGCTCTCGCGATTTCAGGTGGGTTGATGTGCTTTCCGGCTTCATCAGGTGGTTAACCAGGTGATTTATCAGGTGGTTCAGGCAATTTCTGGTTGTGGTGGAGAGCAAGCAGGCGGGCATTTGTGTGGTCACCCCGCCTCTTCCCTGCTTAAATTCCTCCCACCCACTCCCCTCCTCCTTTTGACACGCTTCACAGAAGGAGAGTGAGAAGGAGGAGGTGCGGGCAGGGATAATGTACGGCACGTTGGTTGGATGTGATGGCCGGCGTGCACTCCCTGCTGGCTGCCACATCCAACGTGGCAGGGCAGGGATAATGCACGCACTCCTTGCTGGAGCTGGCTGCCCTTTATTTGCACCCCTCACCCCACCTCTCCCCTCCCCCATCCCCACCCTTACGTGCTTCACGTATCACAGAAGGAGAGCGAGAAGAAGGAGGTGCTAGCAGGGATACGGGATGGCACACTAGACGTGGTTGCAGGCACTCACTCACCCGCTTTGCCGTTTCCTCCACTCCCACCCTCGCGTGCTTTGCAGAAGGAGAGCGAGAAGAAGGAGGTGCTGGCAGGGATACGGGATGGCACACTAGACGTGGTTGCAGGCACTCACTCACCCGCTTTGCCGTTCCCTCCACTCCCACCCTTGCGTGCTTTGCAGAAGGAGAGCGAGAAGAAGGAGGTGCTGGCAGGGATACGGGATGGCACACTAGACGTGGTTGCAGGCACTCACTCACCCGCTTTGCCGTTCCCTCCACTCCCACCCTTGCGTGCTTTGCAGAAGGAGAGCGAGAAGAAGGAGGTGCTAGCAGGGATACGGGACGGCACACTAGACGTGGTGGCAGGCACTCACTCACCCGCTTTGCCGTTTCCTCCACTCCCACCCTTGCGTGCTTTGCAGAAGGAGAGCGAGAAGAAGGAGGTGCTAGCAGGGATACGGGATGGCACACTAGACGTGGTTGCAGGCACTCACTCACCCGCTTTGCCGTTTCCTCCACTCCCACCCTCGCGCTTTGCAGAAGGAGAGCGAGAAGAAGGAGGTGCTGGCAGGGATACGGGATGGCACACTAGACGTGGTTGCAGGCACTCACTCACCCGCTTTGCCGTTCCCTCCACTCCCACCCTTGCGTGCTTTGCAGAAGGAGAGCGAGAAGAAGGAGGTGCTAGCAGGGATACGGGACGGCACACTAGACGTGGTGGCAGGCACTCACTCACCCGCTTTGCCGTTTCCTCCACTCCCACCCTTGCGTGCTTTGCAGAAGGAGAGCGAGAAGAAGGAGGTGCTAGCAGGGATAAGGGACGGCACACTAGACGTGGTGGCAGGCACTCACTCCCTGCTGGGCGCGCAGGTGGTCTACCACAACCTGGGACTGCTCGTGATCGATGAGGAGCAGGTAGTGTAACTGTACACCGTGATATGTATATCTTTATGTTTGTTTATGTTTTATTATTATCTATAGCGTTCACCAACCTGGTAAGGTGCCAGGGGCGCAGGTGGTCTACCACAACCTGGGACTGCTCGTGGTCGATGAGGACCAGGTATTTAAAGCATGTACTGTACATGAAGGAGATATACGTATGTATATTGTACAGTATTTGGTAAGGTGCGAGGGCCGCAGGTGGTCTACCACAACCTGGGACTGCTCGTGATCGATGAGGAGCAGGTAACAAGCATATACCATTTGATGTATCCGTATATATACATGTATGTATGTCTATTCATATATGTATGTCAGACAGTATTTGTCGACCTGGCATGCTCCATATGTATGAAATACAGTTTTTCATTCAGTACTTATCAACATGCCCCTACCTCACTCTCCCCATTCTCCCTGCGCCCTTCCATCTCTCCCTCTCATCAGCGCTTTGGCGTGAGGCAGAAGGAGCGAATCAGCAGCCACAAGACCAGCGTGGTAGACGTATCAGCACTCATTATTTCCCCCATCCTTTCCCCTTTTGCTCCTCCCCACACTCCCCCACCCCATCCCATCTCTCCCTCTCATCAGCGCTTTGGCGTGAGGCAGAAGGAGCGAATCAGCAGCCTCAAGACGAGTGTGGACGTGTTGACTCTCTCGGCTACTCCCATCCCCCGCACGCTATACATGTCCATGCACGGATTCAGAGACGCCAGGTGAGACAATGGCAGATGGAAGGTGTGAATATGTGTTCACGCTGTCAGCGTCTCCCATCCCCCGCACACTTTGCATGTCCATGCACGGCTTCAGGGACGCAAGATGAGTGCTGCGCTGCTGCATCATGCATCCATGCGTGTGAGAGTCACATGTGTTCATGCTGCCATCTGCTCCCATCCCCCGCACACTCTACATGTCCATGCATGGGTTCAGGGATGCAAGGTGAGTGCTGAAGCACACATGCAGCATTTGAACTGCAAAGCCTAGCTTTACAATCCGTGCTTTCCCCATCGTCCAACCTCCCATTATCCCCAATCCCGTACCCCCTTCCCCATCCTCTTCCCCCCAACTTTCCACCCCTCCCCTCGAGCATCGGCCCATCGACACACACCTCTTGGAGTTCGATTTGGAGAATGTCACAACAGCCCAGCCCAGCCGTATTATACTCTGTGCTCCTCTATCCCGCCTCCCCATTCCCCTCCCGTGCGCGTCCCTCCCTCCCATCCCACCCCACCACCAGTCGCATCACCACCCCGCTCCCCAAGCGCCCCAGCCCATCGACACACACCTCTTGGAGTTCGATTTGGAGAATGTCACAACAGCCCAGCCCAGCCTTACAGTCTGCGCTCTCCCTATGCCCCTCCTCCCTGTGGCGTTCACTTTCTCCTCTTCCTCCCCATGCTCCCTTCCCTTCCCCCTTCCACCCCCCCTCTCTCCTCCCATCAGTCGCATCACCACCCCCCCTCCCGAGCGCCAGCCCATCGACACACACCTCTTGGAGTTCGATTTGGATAATGTGAAGAGAGCCATAGGGGACGAGCTGGAGAGGGGTGGCCAGGTGTTCTATGTGGTGCCGAGGGTTGAAGGTGAGTGCTGTACAGTGCATTGCGGTTGAGTGTGGTGGAGTGAGGTACACAGCCATATCATCCCTACTCCCGAGCGCCAGCCCATCAACACACACCTGTTCGAGTTTGATGTTGAGAATGTTTAAGAGAGCAATAGGGGAGGAGCTGGAGAGGGGTGGACAGGTGTTCTATGTGGTGCCAAGGGTGGAAGGTGAGTGCTGTTGAACACGGTTGAGAAAACCTAGTATCAATATTCTGTCTGGTTTATGTGATCTTACATGATGACATGGTCCCTTCTGTCCGTTCTCTACTTTATTTCTTCTCTCCTATTCCAATCCCGTCATGTTAACATTCTTCCTTAAACCCCCTTTCATATCATATCTTATGATGCCACGTCATATCCCATGGTGCCACGTCACACCAGGCATAGAGGAGATTCAGATGCTTCTGGAGGAGCTCTTCCCTTCAGCCCGTGTTGACGTGGCACATGGCAAGGTAAGCTGACGTGGCGCACACTGCATTGTAAGCTTACGAGCTGATGTGGCGCATGCAAGTAAGCTGACGTGGCACACGGCCAGGTAAGCTGACGTGGTGCAGGTCCCATTCATCTTTCCCCCACCGAGCTCGTAATAGTAAAACCTTAAACCCGAAGACGTCTCGAAGACACGTCGTCTTCTCACACACCCCCTCATTCTCTCTTGCATGGGTGACATGCGTGAGCACCCCCTCGTTCACGCATGTCATGTGCTCCTCCCTTCTCCCCTCACCACCTGTTGACTTTTGAGTCGACTCAAGAGTCGCATGGGTGACATGCGTGAGCACCCCCTCGTTCACGCATGTGATATACTCCTCCCTTCTTCACTCACCACCTGTTGACTTTTGAGTCGACTCAAGAGTCGCATGGGTGACATGTTGGTGTGCACGAGCATCATTACTCTCCCAATCCCCTCGCCCCCTTTTTCCCCCTCTACCCCACGCCTTTCCCCCAATTTCAGCTGCGCCCCACAGACCTGGAAGCAGTGATGGAGCGATTTGGAGAGGGCGAAATAGGCGTGCTGGTGTGCACGAGCATCATTACTCTCCCAATCCCCTCGCCCCCTTTTTCCCCCTCTACCCCACGCCTTTCCCCCAATTTCAGCTGCGCCCCACAGACCTGGAAGCAGTGATGGAGCGATTTGGAGAGGGCGAAATAGGCGTGCTGGTGTGCACGAGCATCATTACTCTCCCAATCCCCTCGCCCCCTTTTTCCCCCTCTACCCCACGCCTTTCCCCCAATTTCAGCTGCGCCCCACAGACCTGGAAGCAGTGATGGAGCGATTTGGAGAGGGCGAAATAGGCGTGCTGGTGTGCACGAGCATCATTACTCTCCCAATCCCCTCGCCCCCTTTTTCCCCCTCTACCCCACGCCTTTCCCCCAATTTCAGCTGCGCCCCACAGACCTTGAAGCAGTGATGGAGCGATTTGGAGAGGGCGAAATAGACGTGCTGGTGTGCACGAGCATCATTGAGAGTGGGATTGACATTCGCACTGTCAACACAATTGTGATCGAGGATACCCACCTCTTTGGCCTGGCGCAGATCTACCAGGTGCGGAGGAGGGTAGCCACGAGTCAGGCGTGTCGAGTGCGGTGCTCAGGGGGGCTTGTTGATGAGGATGGGAGGCAGATGCGATTGTGGAAGACTTAGTGCACAAAGAGCGCGTGTTAAATACATATACATACTGTTGAGGCGTCCCAAAAGTGTTACATACATACATACATACATACACTCATACATACATACATACATACATACATACATACATACATACATACATACATACATACATACATACATACATACATACATACATACATACATACATACATACATACATACATACATACATACATACATACATACATACATACATACATACATACATACATACATACATACATACATACATACATACATACATACATACATACATACATACATACATACATACATACATACATACATACATACATACATACATACATACATACATACATACATACATACATACATACATACATACATACATACATACATACATACATACATACATACATACATACATACATACATACATACATACATACATACATACATACATACATACATACATACATACATACATACATACATACATACATACATACATACATACATACATACATACATACATACATACATACATACATACATACATACATACATACATACATACATACATACATACATACATACATACATACATACATACATACATACATACATACATACATACATACATACATACATACATACATACATACATACATACATACATACATACATACATACATACATACATACATACATACATACATACATACATACATACATACATACATACATACATACATACATACATACATACATACATACATACATACATACATACATACATACATACATACATACATACATACATACATACATACATACATACATACATACATACATACATACATACATACATACATACATACATACATACATACATACATACATACATACATACATACATACATACATACATATATACACTCATACATACATACATACATACATACATACATACATACATACATACATACATACATACATACATACATACATACATACATACATACATACATACATACATACATACATACATACACTCATACATACATACATACATACACATGTTGTCAGCGCAAAGTTAGAAAATCGCAGTTTTGAATTATGGCGTCAGTTCAAAGTTAAGTTGGAATCATCACGTTCCAAGAAAAGGCATATTTTAACTGTTATTACTCGTACGGCTACATCTCACGCAGTTGATGCTTTGCATTCCTCCATTTCTCACGCAGTGATCAGTTCCCGTATCTTGTCCCCTTCAGCTGCGAGGGCGTGTGGGTCGATCCAGCAGCTCAGCCCACGCGTACCTGTTCCACCCGCCCCTGCACTGCCTAACACCAGAAGCTCAGGTGCGCTTGTGGCATCGAGAACTCGATTATTCTGTGTGTGCTGGTAAACATGGATTCGCGTGAGTTGAGTCGATTTTTGAGTCGACTCAAAAATCGACTCAACTCACGCGCTTGTGGCATCGAGAACTCGATTATTCTGTGTGTGCTGGTAAACATGGATTCGCGTGAGTTGAGTCGATTTTTGAGTCGACTCAAAAATCGACTCAACTCACGCGCTTGTGGCATCGAGAACTCGATTATTCTGTGTGTGCTGGTAAACATGGATTCGCGTGAGTTGAGTCGATTTTTGAGTCGACTCAAAAATCGACTCAACTCACGCGCTTGTGGCATCGAGAACTCGATTATTCTGTGTGTGCTGGTAAACATGGATTCGAGCCGCAGCAATCGTAGGGTCTCCTCGAAATTCTTGACTAACAGCTAAGAGTACTTAGAGTGGGAAAAAAGGTAGAATCAGGACTTGGTAAGTCCAGCTTCAGTAAAGAACGTAGGCGTACGCGTTTCGGCCGTGAGGCCTTCGTCAGCGCCGTAGGATTCAGGTGAATCCTACCAGAAGCTCAGGTGCGCTTGTGACATCGAGAACTCACTTATTCTATGTGTGCTGGTGTGTGCCCTGCACCAAATTCAGGCCCCATGCCCCTTTCCCCATGTCCCATACCTCATTCCCAGTGTCCCCTTTCCCTCGTTCCCATTTCCCTCTTTCACCTTCCCCATGCCCCATGCTCCATACACGACTTCCCCATGCCGCTTTTGACCTTGCCCCGTTGCCCCTTTCCGTCCGCTCCACCCGCACACCAGGAGCGACTGAGGGCGCTGCAGCAGCACAGCGGGCTGGGGGAGGGGTACCTACTGGCGCAGAGAGACATGGACATCCGGGGCATTGGAGACGTGTTTGGGGAGCGGCAGATGCTGCTTCCAGCCCACTCTAAACACACATATACACCCCTGCTCAAAGCCCCCTGCTCCCTGCCTCCCTCCTGCCACCCATGCTCAATGCCCGCCTGCCCCTTGCCATTCCCTCAGGAGCGGCTGAGGGCGCTGCAGCAGCACAGCGGGCTGGGGGAGGGGTACCTGCTGGCGCAGAGGGACATGGACATCCGGGGCATTGGAGACGTGTTTGGGGAGCGGCAGATGCTGCTTCCAGCCCACTCTAAACACACATATACACCCCTGCTCAAAGCCCCCTGCTCCCTGCCTCCCTCCTGCCACCCATGCTCAATGCCCGCCTGCCCCTTGCCATTCCCTCAGGAGCGGCTGAGGGCGCTGCAGCAGCACAGCGGGCTGGGGGAGGGGTACCTGCTGGCGCAGAGGGACATGGACATCCGGGGCATTGGAGACGTGTTTGGGGAGCGGCAGAGCGGGGACGTGGGTGGGGTTGGGTACTACCTGTTCATGGAGATGCTTCACGAGACGCTGACCCGGGTGAGTGGAATACAATACATGACAATACACCACTGCATCACCCATTCCAATAGTGCATATCGTTATAAATCCGTGTATCAACCCTAAACCTAGGAAACACCTTCACTCGTCTATGTATAACTGCTCCCTTTTGCTGCTGCCTGCTCTCTCTTGCTGTTGGCCTTTCCAGGTGGAACAGAAGAGTCTCCCACGAGTTCAGTTCAAGGAAGTACGGGTACGTACGACTTTTTTGAGTCGACTAAAGAATCCTCCAGCGAGTGCAGTTCAAAGACGTATGGATAAGTGCGAGAACCAGGTTATAAGCTGCTGCACTGGGTGCTTGATAGATGGTTGCTTTACGGCTAATTCTCTGCCATATGTGCCCCAGGCTGCTGTGCAAGCCAGCCAACCTGCCAACCCTTTTCTCGAGTCCATTAAAGTATCATGGCCAGTGCTTTGTCCACAGTCCCGTGTCACTCTTGGATAAAACAAAACAAAACAAAACAAAACAAAGTGTCTCAAAATTCATGGCTAGTGCTTTGGTGCCATTTCTGCGCCATATGTGCCCAAGGCTGCAGTTCAAGCCAGCCAGCCTGCCAACCCCCCTGCCAAATTCTTGCAAGCTACCCAGGGAAAAAGGCGGTGGCAGCTTGCATTTATCTCATCCATCTAATGCCAGCCAGTCCCCTCTCTCCTGTGTACTTTCTTTCCCTGTTTGAGCTATCCCCTTCTTTCCCCCCTACCAGCTGGACCTGCCTCTCGCCCCGCTGCCTCCCATCCCAGCATCCTATGTTTCCGACGGTGCAGTGCGAGGTGGCCTGCCCATTCAGCGAGCAGGAGGACAGTTCTATCTCACACCAACCCTGTACCTTCTTCTCCCCCCACCCAAACCCACCAGCTGGACCTGCCTCTCGCCCCGCTGCCTCCCATCCCAGCATCCTATGTTTCCGACGCTGCAGTGCGAGGTGGCCTGCCCATTTAGCGAGCAGGAGGACAGTTCTATCTCACACCAACCCTGTACCTTCTTCTCCCCCCACCCAAACCCACCAGCTGGACCTGCCACTGGCCCCGCTGCCCCCCATCCCAGCATCCTACGTTTCCCACGCTGCTGTGCGAGATAGCCTGCCCAGGGAAGCAGAGGAGGCGGCAGCAGAGGGCATGCCGGCTCTGCTGGCGTTTTGCAGGGAGATGCGCGCCGAGTATGGGGACGAGCCAGCGCAAGTGGAGGTGAGTTGAAGGGAGGAGTGGAGTGTGGTTGGTTGTGCTGGCAGAAAGTGCAGCAGCAGAGGGCATGCCGGCTCTGCTGGCTTTTTGCAGGGAGATGCGCGCCGAGTATGGGGACGAGCCAGCGCAAGTGGAGGTGAGTTGAAGGGAGGAGTGGAGTGCGGCTGGTTGTGCTGGCAGAGAGTGCAGCAGCAGAGGGCATGCCGGCTCTGCTGGCTTTTTGCAGGGAGATGCGCGCCGAGTATGGGGACGAGCCAGCGCAAGTGGAGGTGAGTTGAAGGGAGGAGTGGAGTGCGGTTGGTTGTGCTGGCAGAGAGTGCAGCAGCAGAGGGCATGCCGGCTCTGCTGGCTTTTTGCAGGGAGATGCGCGCCGAGTATGGGGACGAGCCAGCGCAAGTGGAGGTGAGTTGAAGGGAGGAGTGGAGTGCGGTTGGTTGTGCTGGCAGAGAGTGCAGCAGCAGAGGGCATGCCGGCTCTGCTGGCTTTTTGCAGGGAGATGCGCGCCGAGTATGGGGACGAGCCTGCTGCAGTGGAGGTGAGTTGAAGGGATGTAAGGCTAGAGGCAAGCTCTAGGATCAGACCTCTGCTGGCGTTCTGCAGGCAGATGCGCGCCGAGTATGGGGATGAGCCTGCTGCAACAGAGGTGAGTGTCGGGTCGGGGGAGCGGACTGTGCTTGGTTGTTCTGGCAGAGAGAAAAGCAGCAGAGGGCATGCCCTCTCTGCTGGCGTTCTGCAGGCAGATGCGCGCCGCCGAGTATGGGGACGAGCCTGCTGCAGTGGAGGTGAGTGTGGTGTTAGGAGGAAGTAGAGAGTGTGCTTGACTGTGCTGGCAGAGGAGGCATGTTTTGATTCGCCTCAAAACATACCTCAATGCACGCGGATTTCATACGGAGAGGATTTTTACAGCTTGGAAGTGTTCGTGTAACTTGCTCCCAACACGTGGAGGTTAATGTGGTGTTGGGAGGAAGTAGAGAGTGTGCTTGACTGTACTGGCAGAGGAGGCTGTAGCAGAGCCACCATTCTCTCTGCCTTCTCTCTGTTCCTCTTCAAGCATCTGTTTGTGCGGCGCATGGCAGCAGATCTGGTCATTTACCGCTTTGTAACTCCCACTTCCCGTCTCCTTCCCCCTTCCTCCTCCCCTCCCCCCCCCCCCCTTTCCCCCCCCCCTCACCTCAGCTCCTCTTCAAGCATCTCTTTGTGCGGCGCATGGCAGCCGATCTGGGCATCTACCGCACTCCAACTCTGCCTCCCTCCCCCCCCACACGTGCCCCGCTCCCCCCCCCAACTATCAGCTCCTCTTCAAGAATCTCTTTGTGCGGCGCATGGCGGCCGATTTGGGCATCTACCGCATTCTACAGCGGGAGCAGGGCACAACCATTGTCATGGAAACTGCTATGAAGCTTCCGGCCTTTGAGATCTTACGGGATGCTGTGCAACAGAAGGTTATGCGCGAAGGCCTCTCCTTCCGGTCGGGAAGAATAGAGGTGAGTTTGGTACTGTCTTCTTTATTTCTCGTCTATCGTTTCCCTCATCACCTTCCTCCTGTTGAACGTAAGTGCTATGTTCAATCATGTGTTTCCTCTGCTGCGATGCATGTGTGTGCAGCTCCAAGGGACGAAGCTTCTGTCGGCAGAGAGAGTATTGGAGCGTGCACTGACCTGCCTGGCCCAGATGCGCAATGCTCTTCCATCGTTTGTGAATTTCTTATAATATGAGAGTTTGTGCTCCTTCACAGTATATGCTCGTTTTGTTACTCTGGCATTTAGGTGAACATGCTTGAGAGTGAAAAGGATTCAGCTCATTGGGACGAACCGCATCGCTTACATCCATCAATTTGTGCATTCGTGTGGCTGACGGTTCGGCCTGAAGGCAATTCGTCGCCGTTCAACTGCCTTGCTGACTCACCGTTTGCACTGGGTTCCCACGTGTCCGTCTGCGATGGAGTCACCCTGATCCCCTGCCTGATTTGCTGGCCGACAGCCCCAGAAGCTCTGAATAGGTGGACGGCTGCCAACGAGGATAGGTTTGGGTGGGGTTCGCTCTTTATCGTGCGGTCCAGGTTGTACTCGGAAAGGAAGGAACACTCCGCAAGTTCAGTTACGCCTCGTCAATTACAGTACGAAACTTTTCTCGAACGTCGTCGTTCATCATTGTCCATACCTGGCAACAGGCAACCACTTCGCGAATATGCACGAGGACCGCGAAGCCCATCCTGTCCACTCCACGCTATGTCCTTCCGAAACCGCAGGGCGCGGAACGCAGGATGCGCGGTAGATCATCCCTCTGGCGGGGACACCCCGATTCATCTCCCCTACCCCAAAAAGTCACCCACACCGTCTTCCCTCCACCCATCCACCCATCGAAGAATCACAAAAGATCCAACATTGCGGTAACAAACGTTCTGATACGGTGACAGTGATTACCACTACGAGCAGTGCGGTACAAGCTATTTCGGTCCGGTATTTACAACTGCGTTGCCGCAGAACAGAGGGGCGACTCCTTTCTTTCAATACAGTATCAGTTTTCCCTTGGCTCCTCAGAAACATTGATTCTAGACAACCGGAGTGTGTTATGGTGATCCCGTGTCGAGAAGCCCACTCTCGTTTCTTACTGAACTAGCGAAGTTCAACGTATCGCTTGTAGACTGTCACTTCGGAAACATTCTCCTGCCTTGACTTTGAGGCAAGAGAGGGTTAGACTAGTGTTTATCGGTGAAGCCCGTTGTTCCGGGTGTGTCCCGTAGCAACGCATTTTGCGGAGTGCAGCACCATCGTTATCCTCTTCGCATCCATCGGGCTAAGTCTTCGGTACGTCTTCAGTAGTGTACAGAACTGTTAGTCTGCCGTTGCAGTCCAACCAACGAGCCAGTTACAGCCAGAGGTAGACTCGGGCAGGGCTTACGTGCGTGCATCTTATTCAGGCGCCCCCATAGTGTACTCTTGCTGCAAATTACGTCTCCGTTCGTTTAAGGCGGTGGTATTTAACGGGTGTTTTCCTCAGCATCATCACATACACGCCTCCATAATTTAGTACCCAAGTCTTCCTCTCCTCGCAGCTCCTCCATCGTTCACCTGACTGACAGTCGTCCGCACTTCTGCTCATCCTAAACTCGACGGCCTCAGCTTCCATCTCTACCGCATCGAAATTCTCGAATCTCCTGCATAGAAATTCGTCGCCATGGCCGTCGCCTCGAAATCGTCGCCGTCGCAAGAGTCGTCGCCGGCGTGGAAGAAGACCAAGGAGATGCTTGGAACCTTCGCCACCAGCGGCACAGCCGTCGCGATTTCCACAGCCACCACACATCCCGTCGGTACGTGCTGCTCGCATGCTCCTTGCGTAGGCTTTTCAACTTGTCGATGAGTTACACAAGAATGTGCAAAAACAATCAATCAAACAAACAAACAAACTAGAGGTTATTTTTTTACACAAACAATTAATCTTTTACCGTTTCCCCTTAATTCACAACTCCGCTCACTGTTCATCCCCATGACCATCCACTCCCCCCCTTCCCCTCCCCCTCATCAGACGTGGTTAAGGTGCAGCAGCAGATGCAAGCAGTGGGCCAACGCGGCCCCTCCTCCACCATGGTAGCCACCACGCGGAAGCTCCTTCAAGAAGGCGGCGTGCGCGCCTTATACCGCGGCGTCGAGCCCGCCGTCGTGCGCGCCTTATCCTACGGCTGCCTGCGCCTCGGGCTGTATGAGCCGTGTCGCAACATGATCGCTCCAAAAGACAAGTCGCAGGTGCATATGGGACATAAAGCCCTCGCGGGTATCATGTCTGGATCGTTCGCTACAGCCGTGTCGAACCCTCTCGATGTCGCGAAAGTCCGGCTACAGATGATATCCGAGACGGCCGCCGGGAGCAGCGCCGCGAGTGCCGCCGTGAAAAGCGCGGGTGCGCGGAGCAGCCGGTCGACGTCGGGGCAGATTCTGGAAATCGCGCGGACGGAGGGAGTCGGCGCGCTGTGGAAGGGCGTAGGGCCGTCCATGGGGCGCGCGGCGGCGCTCACGGCGGCGCAATGCGCGGTGTACGACGAATGCAAGCAGATGCTCAAAGCGCGCGCTAACGTCTCGGACGGTCTGCCTCTTCACCTTAGCGCATCTATGCTTGCGGGCGCCGTTTCGACACTCGCGTCGTCACCCTTCGATACAGTCAAGACGCGCATGATGGCAGTCAAGAAATCCTCCGCCGCCGCGTCCGCCGCTTCTTCCGCCTCTTCCGCCGCCCCCAGAGCCCCCCTCCCCCCGTCAGCCGCTTCCCCGTCGATTCCCCCGCAGTCAAATGCTACGATAAGCGGAGCCTCGTCCGCGTTTTCCCCCGTTAACCTCCAAAACCCCGCTCCGCACAATTCTTCCGCCCAACTCCAACCCGCGCTCGCGTACTCTACTTCTTCGGCCTCCCCCGCTCCTTCCGCGCGCCCACCGCCGCTGCCTGCTGCGCGCGGACTGCCCCCGCTGGGCCCTGTGTCCGCTGCTGCGCCCGTGGCGGGCGCAGCTCCGCCAGCAACCGGGGGAGCTATCGTTTACCGCGGATCTATGCACTGCGCTTACTCGGTGAGTGGTTACTCACACGCCCTTACCCAGTGGGTGAATAATACGTCAGTCAGGTGTTTTGCGTAACAGCACTTACCAAAAAAAACTTCGTCGTAACCCATCCCTCGCCTCGACCACTCATGCCTTACCCTCTTCCCCCCTGTTTCCCGTCATTCCCCGTTACCTGCAGATTCTCCGCACGGAGGGTATCCGCGGGCTTTACAAAGGTTGCGCCGCGAATTACGCGCGCCTGGGCCCCATGACCGCCATCACCTTCATCGTCTACGAACAACTGCGATCCCTTGCTGGGCTGTCCAGCTTGTAACCCTACTCGTTGACTGCGCGACTGGTCGTCGTCTGCGAGCAACTTCGCCCCCCCCCTAGTCCTGCGATGGCAAGCTTATAGCGCGGATGTGTACACGCGTGCGCTTCAGATTTTTCCTGCAAGGCCGCGAGAATGGCCTATGGCGAAATTATATCCACCAAATAAGGTCCTCAGCGTTCGTTGTACCGTGCATGCTAAACGGTATGCACAAATATTATGATTTCGCTATTAACCTGTCAATGTCTAGTCTGGCTGGCAAAGAGAATTTGGCTTGTGATAATTTGGCAGAAAGGCAGAAAGAATCCATGTAAAGCAGTAGATGGCTAATGCTACCACACCACAGCCGGGAAAGAAGAACCTTTTGTTGAGTTGGAACAGCTTTATCAATTACACTCTTGAAATTGGATCAGCTTACGACATGTAACAAAACAATTCATCAGGAACACTTATACCATATATCCATTTTATGCTGGATCATACCAGCGTGTATCGATAGCCTAGGTACTGTATGTAGGGTAGCCATCACCGTAGATGGAACCCCAGACAAAAATACACTATATTAGGCTAGAGCAGTGTTTGTTCAGAGAAAAGCAAATGTTTGGAGAGCAGCTAGCAGCTGTGAGTTCATTATAGGCCACCGAGCCTCGGTGCACGATGCTGTGATGACATATAGGTAGCCTGGAGTGGGGAATGGAGGGGAATAAAGTGGGGGGTGGGGTGGGAGATGGGGGAGGGGAGGGAGGAATGCACTGCAGCTGTGAGTTCATTATCGGCCACCGTGCCTCGGTGCACGATGCTGTGATGACATATAGGTAGGCTGCAAAGAGAGGAGTAAGGGAGAAGTGTGGGGTGGGGTGAACGAAGAGTTGAATTTCTTGCAGCTGTGCGTTCATTATTGGCCACCGTGCCTCGGTGCACTTTTGAGATGTCTCAAAAGTCATTCTTGGCCACCGTGCCTCGGTGCACGATGCTGTGATGACAAAGAGGTGGCCTGGATAAGGAAGGAAGGAGGGAGAAGTTCAGGGTGGAGCGGAAGGGGGGAGGAGAAAGGGAGAGGGGGAGGGGGGAGAAAAAGCTGAGTGCATTGCAGCTGAGTGCATTACAGCTGAGTGCAATGCAGCTGTGCGTTCATTATTGGCTACCGTGCCTCGGTGCATGATGCAGTGATGACGTAGAGGTAGCCTGTAGGGGTGAGATGGGGGAAGAAGTGGGGAGTGGTGTGGGGACAGGGGGAGTGGGTGAAGAGTAGAATGCATCGCAGCTAATGACATTGACGCAATGTGGAGTGGGGGGATGGAGGGCGAGGAGGGATTGAAGAGGGCGGGAAGAGTGTAAGCGTTTCCAGGATCCAAGCACACTCACACCCACACACACACAAATTATTTGCCACCGTTCCTCGGTGCACGATGCTGTGATGAATAGGGTAAAACCTCAAGGGGAGGGGAGATGAAGATGTGGGGGTGGGGAGGGTGTAAGTGCGCTTGGGACAGGAGTGGAAGAAGTTGACAGGATGTGGTTGTCTGTGCTGACTTACCATGCTACCATCATGCGTGCACCATGATGTGATGGCATAGAGGAAATTGTGGAGGATTGCGTGGGAGGGAGGGGGGTCATGTGAAAACTAGTTTTGAGGCGCCTCAAAACTGGTCATGTGAAAACTAGTTTTGAGGCGCCTCAAAACTGGTCATGTGAAAACTAGTTTTGAGGCGCCTCAAAACTGGTCATGTGAAAACTAGTTTTGAGGCGCCTCAAAACTGGTCATGTGAAAACTAGTTTTGAGGCGTCGCAAAACTGGTCATGTGAAAACTAGTTTTCAGGCGCCGCAAAACTGGTCATGTGAAAACTAGTTTTCAGGCGCCGCAAAACTGGTCATGTGAAAACTAGTTTTGAGGCGCCGCAAAACTGGTCATGTGAAAACTAGTTTTGAGGCGCCGCAAAACTGGTCATGTGAAAACTCATCATGCTACCATCATGTGCACAATGCTGTGATGACGAGTTTTGAGGATGCTATCATGCTACCATCGTCCAAAAGTGGTAGCATGATAGCATGATAGCATCCTCAAAACTTGCATAGATGAAAGACACCTATGAGATTAATAACTTGTCTTGCACATACCTTCTGAAAGGATTATCCGGCCTATGTGGCGACGCACGATTGGCTGAACGAGGTCGGCCCCTCGCACTGACACACACTCACCCACGCCCCCTTTCCCCTCCTCTATCCTGCCTCGACACGTCTCTGTTACCACACTGCAGTGGGATGGGTGAAAAGCAGAGGAAGGAAGAAGGTGACAAATTGATTCATTGGTTGACAGGAGACAGTTGATCCGTGTTCATCTAGATTGTGTCTCCGTTACCACACTGCAGGGGGGTGAGTTTTTGAGGCACCTCAAAAAGGAAGAAGGTAGCAAATTGATTGTGTTTCATTAAGAGTGTCTCAGTTACCACACTGCAGTGGGATGGGTGAAGGGGGAAGGATGAAGGCATATTAGAAGCATCATATTTCCTTTAACAAATATGCACTCCCCTCATTCCCTCCTCTATCCTCCCTCTGCACGTCTCCGTTATTACACTGCAGTGATGGGTGAAAAAGAGAGGACAAAGGAACATTAAAAGCAGCAGGTTCATCTCCTTACAACAAACAGGCATTCCCCTTCTTTTCCTCCTCAATCCTGCCTCGGCACGTCTCCGTTATCACACTGCACAGAGGGGCGAAGGGGAGCAGACAGAAGCACATTAAAGGTTGAACGAGGTCTGTCCCTTGCCCTGACACACACCTCACCCACGCCCCCCTTCCCCTCCTCGATCCTGCCTCGGCACGTCTCCGTTATCACACTACACAGAGGGGCGAAGGGGAGCAGACAGAAGCACATCAAAGGTTGAACGAGGTCTGTCCCTCGCACTGATATACACCTCACCCACGCCCCCCTTGACAAGAGTAGTGTTTTGAGACGTCTCAAAACACCTCACCCACGCCCCCCTTCCCCTCCTCTAACCTCCCTCTGCACGTCTCCAGAGGGGTGAAAGGGAGCGGACAAAGGTTGAGCAAGCCAGACGTGGAGCTGAGGAAGAAGATTGGCTGCCGAGGAGGAGGAGAGTCTACTGACAATGACAAGGGGAGAACGGAAAGCTACTTAGCCAAATGATGATAATACTTAGCTATTCAGCTCTCTATTCTTAAAATCCGGGCCCGGGATTCGTACTTACTCGAAACTGAGTCCGGCAGGTGATGCCAGGGCCGAGAGGATCTTTTGCAGATCCAGAGGAAGCTCTATGATTGGCTGGTTGGGGAACACCGTGTCCTCCACCAATGAGGTGCTCAGATTCTGGATGGCGGTGGGAGGAAGACAGAGAGAAAGCGGAGAAAGGCAGAAATAAAGGAAGAAAATAAAAACGAATGGGAGCGAGGAGTGGGGATTTAGTAAGCGCACAAAATGGGATTGTGATGCTGGAAAAGGGGTATTTTCAGTGCATCAGAGAAGAAGGAAAAGGGAGGAGAGGAGAGGCATCTAGGAAGCATCAAGGCTCACCCCATTGGGCAGCATACGTTGGACTAGGGGAATGATATCGTGGGGAGGTGAGAATCTCTAGAGGAAATCATGTAATAAAAAACCTCACATCAAGTATCAAGGCTCACCCTGTTGGAGCAGGATACGTTGGACTAGTGGAGCAAGCCTAATGAGGGGCTCTTGAGTGAATCATATGAAAAAACAGTTCATTGAGTATCAAGGCTCACCCCGTTGGGCAGGATACGTTGGGTGAGAGGAGCAAGCTTGTCGGGGTTTAGAGAGGCGAGACGAGATGAGGAGTGAGCGGGAGAATGCGAGCCCTAGAGGAGCGAGTGTTGAGACTCACCCCATTGGGCAGGATGCGTTGGATGAGAGGAGCGAGCTTGTCGGGGTTTGGAAAGGCGAGGAGACGAAGCGGAGTGAGGAGGATGGGCGGCGATTAGTGAGGAGGATGGGCGGCGATGAGTGAGGAGGATGGGCGGCGATGAGTGAGGAGGATGGGCGGCGATGAGTGAGACTCACCCCATTGGGCAGGATCCGTTGGATGAGAGGAGCGAGCTTGTCGGGGTTTGGAGTGAAGGCATAGCGAATGACACTCATCTGATGTGGGAGAATGGAGAGAGGGAAGAAAGAAGGGGAATAGAGGAACTGACAAAGAGTAACGAGCTCGCTTCACGACAGGTGAAGGACCATAAGGCACACATAAAAGACCCCGACTGTGAGACGACGGAGTTTGTGACAACAGCTAGGGCCTGAAGGCTGTGTGCTGATACGCACGACAGTGATATCTAAGGAGCAATAACGTGTACGTAGATAGGCACGTACCGTGTCCAAGGTGACCAAGTTGCCGACAACAGCAAGGGCCAGAGGGCCGTGTGCTGATCTGCTTGGCACTGATATCGAAGGAGCAATAACGTGTACGTAGGTACACACATACCGTGTCGAAGGTGACAAAATTCCCCACAACAGCAAGGGCCTGAGCGCCGTCGGCTGTGAGTGGGGCGTCTGCTGGGTCGTTCTTGCGGTTCTGAGTGAGGTGCAGCAGGGGACATACAGGGAGGGGAGGGAGCGGGAGGGCATGTGAGAGGAACAAGTGAGGGCCTGAGCGCCGTCGGCTGTGAGCGGGGCGTCTGCCGGGTCGTTCTTGCGGTTCTGGGAAAGACCCGGCAGGAAAACGCAAACCAGGGAGGGGAGGGGGTGGAGGTGGAGAAGGGGAGCGGGAAAGCGTTGTGGTAGAAAGGAAGCGCTGATGTCACAGTAGTGAAGTCAAGAAAAAAAAGAGAAAAAGTAGTGAAGTCAAGTAAGTACTTGGTAAGGTTTAGCACTTAGGTGGCACTTACGATTGTGACTATATAGGAGGACGGGTAGAGGAAGGAAAACCCAAAGGCGCTCTCAAGAAGCTTCCAGGAAGCAGTGTCGAGTGCAGCACCGGCAGCTGTTGGTGCCGGCGCGGCTGCTGTGGCTGGAAGGGACAATGGGGTACGAGGAATACAGGGAGAGAGAAAAACGAAAACAAGAGCCTAACGAACGAGAAATTATATCCTTCTTTCCCCACTTCCTTTTTTCCCTCTCCCTCCATTCCCCAAATCCCCACACAGTTGTGACTAGTACCAAAAACGCTCTTGTGTGTGAGAGTGTGACAATACCGAGGGCTGCAGCCGCTATTGTGCTGTGCTGGTTCCTATCTGTGATCTTGCTACACTACCACTACCAGCGTCAATGTGACAATACCTGCGTTGGCGATTGGAACAGTAAAAGCGCTTGGTGTGACAACAGCGAGGGCTACGGCCGCTAGGCCGCTGCCTGTACCAGCCATCACCCCCCGCCGCGTCCAATAGTTTCCTGCCACCTGGCAATCATTTGCATCCTGGCCATCCACATTGTAACGATCCTCGATACAAGCCTCCTCGTTGGAACATTCCTCGCGACGGGCCTTTGCCGAAATTACCAAACGCGATGTTCGGAACTGCCGTGTTGGCGACCGAGACACGTGGCACGAGGGGATTGGTGAGGAGGAGAGGTGGAAATGACCGCGATTCCTGGTAACGCGCGAGGAGACGGTGGGCCCTGATAAGGAGACTGAACCATTGGTAAGAGCCGTCACTGATAGCCGAGCCGCCATAGATGCTAGCTTCCTGACGCGGAAGCTGACACGGTTCAGTCGGGGGACTCGGAGACCAGGAGTGTGGTGTCAGACCCTACGGCCGATATTTTTTTTGGTGACTTTTTTTGGCGCGAAAAAGGTGGACCCGAGGGAACGAGATGATCCCAAGGGTCGCGGGGACGGTTTGGATCAAAAGGCAAGATCGGGAGGATTTGAGACGGATTTGGATTGCTTTGTAATCAATGAGCCGATATTGGCTGGCGCGTTAGAAAAAAAAATCTACTACATCGACACTGGAAATGAACGTACGGATAATGGCTAAAGAATGGGCTACCTAACCTATTCAACAACCTACAAGTCTCTCCTTCAGAAATCTATTCATGAAATCAATGTGAATGCCCACCAAAGCCCGAGCCCAACAGCCACCTCTAACCCCACCCTTTTCGCCACACGCACGGCCATCCCCCCTTTTCCTGAATCCTTTTCATCTGGCGCACTGGCTCCGACTAGCTGCTTGAATCGCAGTGTTCTTTGCTCGTTATCTTGCAACAAATAGTGTACCACGCCTGGCAAGTGCCCTCGCCCCACCACGCCGACCACCCTGTCACAGCCTCTCACAGCCTTGCTCCGTTTTAAGGCCCATGCTAGATACTGTAGAGGGGACAAGTAGCCGAGAGGAGGATGGGAGGGTTGGGAGAAGGGAGGGGGAGGATGTGATGGTGAGTTCCAAAACTGAAACATGCAAGCGCAGGAATGGCTGAGGGGACAGCAGCAAGGTTGAGAAAAAAGCATGAGGCAATCTGGATAGGAAAGGCAATTCTGGAATGCCTACTCACCGCATGCATTGAGGTCGTTTTTGAGGCGCCTCATGCAATTCTGGAAAACGACCTAAAGGCAATTCTGGAATGCCAACTCACCGCGTCCCTCTCATGCACCAGTGGCCCGATGAGCGTAGGAAACTGCCGCGCAACCTCCTGGAAAACAGCCGACAGAAACTCCACCTCTTCCTCTCCCTCTTCCACTCCCTTCTCCACCACTCCCCCTCTCCCCATAACATCTCCATCCACATTCACACTCCCCATCTCTTGACCATTGGAATCACGCTGTCTTAGAAACGCCCCTTTCAACTCGCTCTGCTCCAGGGAGTCCCCCTTCAGCCCGCCTTGCAGGAGAGCAGAGGCGAGGCGAGCGCGGTCGAGAGGAGAAAGGGCCTTCCATGCACGGCGCAGCTGGGGGGAGGGGAGGGGAGGGGAGGGGAGGGGAGGGGAGGGGAGGGGAGGGGAGGGGAGGGGAGTATAGGGGTGAGGAGAGGGGAAGGGGGAAGGGGAAGAGGGCATTTTGAGTTGCCAAGCCAAACCACCTGCAGGCGAAACGAGGCAAGGGCGGTCGAGAAGTGAAAGGGCCCTCCATGCATGACGCAGCTGGTGAGAGGGGCGGAGGGGAGAAGAGAGGCGAGCATGTGGAGGAACCCCAAGGTCATGCCCCTCATGCCATTCTTGAGCAGCTAAAAGAGAGAAAGAATCCTTCCCTTTTTTTATTATAGTGTCATAAAACCTTACCCCGTCGTACAACGTAACCGTTACGAGCAAGTCGTGGTGTACAAATCGTAGCGATGGACCTATTGTGATGACCAGAACGAATGGAAAGACCACTCACAGTGATTTCAATGGGTCGATCTCCCAGCACCATCTGTGCTCCAATCGCATATGCAGCCTCCCTTGCTGCACGGAACTTAGAAGTCACAGCACCAGCTGTGACTTATAAGTTGACTCTAAATAAGTCGCTCGATCCAATCCCACTCACTGTGATCTCAATGGGTCGATCTCCCAGCACCAGCTGTGCTCCAATCGCATCTGCAGCCTCCCTTGCTGCACGGAACTGGACGGGAGAGGGTCAATGGAAGCGGAGAGCCGAACGGGAGGGCTGATGGTTTGATTGGAAAATAACAACGGTAAAAAGGAAGCTGTGCTGCCATGCATCAATCCCATTCGAATTTTTAGGATTCTACAACACCAACTTGGAATCAACACCAAAAAAAAAGAGAGAGGTGTGCTGACGTGCATCAATTGCGTTTGAATCCGTTCTTGCTGCCCCCTTCTGATATCACCTCACGCCTTCCTCCTCCTCATAAACCCCCTCTCTTTGAGTCACCTCATGCCCCGGTTGCACGCCGACTGCTTGGGCAGACCGGCGAGACACAAAAGAGAGCAGCAGGCGCAGCAGCAGGCTGGACTGACCTCCTGGAATGTGGGTTGGGGATGTGGGGAGAGAGAGAGGAGGCTAATGATTGGGAAGAATCTAATTGGGGGATTAGGAGACGCAAAAGAGTGAAGGAGACGCAGCAGAAGACTGGACTGCCCTCCTGGAATGTGGGTTGGGGGTTGGGGAAAAAACGGAAAGGAGAAGTGATGGAGATGAGAAGGCTTATGGATGAAAACGGAATGCATGGAAGAAAATGGTAAAGGGTAAGAGTGGGGCTCCCAGGAGGAATCATGAGGTAAAGGTGATGGAGGAACGGCGGAATCGCTTTCAAGAATTCTCATAAGTGATTTCAACAGAGGTGATGGAGGAAAGATAGTTTTGAGGCGCCTCAAAACTAGAATTCTCATAAGTGATTCGAACAGAGGTGATGGAAGAAAGATGGAAACGGAATGCATCACGTTGAAAAGACAACCACAGAAGGCAGCAGTGCAAATCAAGCTGGATGCTGTGTTGCGCATGAGCGTCTGAGGCAGGCTGGCCCCTCCCATAAGAGAGAAATCAGGGGAGCAAGATGCGTGGAGGGACAAGGAAGGAAGGAAGGAAGGAAGGAAGCAGTACCAACCAAGCTGGATGCTGCGCATTAGCGTCTGAGGCAGGCTGGCCCCTCCCATGAGGAACAGATCGCGAGCAGGAGCAGCAGCAGCACCGCTAGCAGCAGCACCGTTAGCAGCAGCACCCGTGGCATCAGAGCTTGACGCTGAGGGCTGGCTGGGGTCCGGTACAGGGTCGTACATTATGGGCGCTCTGCAACACATAGGAAGGAAAAGTGAAAAAAGAGCCTGACATCCTCGTTTTGAAGCGCCTCACCATATGCTGTAAGTAGCACTACAGTGAACCTGCTTTTGCACGTACCTGCTTTTACACAGCTCCACCACCACGTTCTGAGGCTGCACGCTCCGCACCACGCGCATGGCGTCCTCAGCTGCCGTTTCCGACACATGGGTCGTCCCGAGAATAAAGATCTCGCGAGGTAACCGCCGGCTGCTGCTAGTATCAGTACCGGCGCCTGCTTCGTCGTCCTCTACTGGTTGCTGCACCACTACCAGCACGCCACGTCGGACTAGATCCGTCAATTCCGGGTATCGCTCGCCGACGACGCTGTATGTCGTTTCCGCTGTGGCTTTCCGGTAGTCGAAACCCAGCACGGGTGGCTCTGGCCATGCTGACGTGTCTTGCTGTGATGACGTGGCGGACTGTGGAGAAGTGGTGCTTTTAAACGTGGACGACGAGGACGCACGCACCCGAATGGCTGAAGATACTGGAATTTCAGAGCCAGTAGGAGATTTTAATATGGTACGGTATGGGTGTAGTGACTTGGGATTCCTGACGTCTGCATTCGCGAATAGATGCGAAGGTTTCGCAAATCTGGTCGAATTCAGGTTGTGTGCGCTGTCTCGCGTACGGTTCGCTTGTTTCGCGAGTCCAGTCGATTTCAGACTGCGATCGGCAGTCGCGATAGGGGGAAGCTGAAGCTGATGCGCAGCCATGGATAGTGCGGTGCCGCCTTGACCTGTGAAGACTAGTTAGTGAAGCATCTAATCTTGTCGCCTGCGAACAACTCGTCGGTTTCGCTAACCCTGTTGCCTTCGCTAGCGAAACCGGAGCGCCACTAGTATGATGTTTCAGCCAGACAATGATCCATAGTTTTTATTTCGTCACCACTAGCATCGGATGAGACAACAGCGGACCTAGTACGTCCCGGATACAAGCTCGCTCCTTTATTTTAAATTGTGGAGTGACAAAACGAGTTGCGTATAATATATGCGTTTTTTTAAGCACGACAAGTCCACAACTTCGTGTGGACAACCGGCGACCTGGGAGGTGAGCGAAAAACTTTGGTGACTAGACGGTGGCTGCCGGTGGACCTGACCTGGATTCAGCTTCGGAACACGAAACGGAAACATGAGGCTGGGACGGTGTTGCGTTTCTGTTGGTAACTAAGCAAATTCAATTCTGTCGATCGCAGAACGTCGTCAGGCGGAACTCACTCAACTGTAGCAGCCGTGCGAAATATGCTCACCCTCGCTGATCGTGTCGCGTCGGAAGCACGTCCGCCGCTCTTGATCACAAGAAAGTCCCTGAAGTCAGAGCCAAACAGCAAGCCGCCACTCCGCGATGTTTGTGACGGAAACAAAAAACGATTGACCGCGACTTCAGAAACCTGGCGGCCGAAACCTGCGAACATTTTCCTCTTCAGAACCCTCGATTTCTCCTCCAGGTTCCTTCCCACCCCCCTCTCCAAACCCCCAACCTCCCATCCTATCGGCGCTGATCCCCCCTTCCCCCCACTAGCCTGTCGCGAAAGTCCTCGCGGTCCGTCGTACTGGAAAGGATGTCGGCCATAATGATGTCCAGAGGGTCGTCCCCCATAAAGTCCCGTCAGATTATAGACGGACGGCGGCCAACCACAGCCTAGAATATTCAGACCGTCAAGTATGTACACTGTATCCACCATTTCAGTTCTGCCCTTTCTGTACTGTAACCGGCAACTCATTCCGACGATCAGCGTTTCGTCCGTCTGTTCGGGACCACCTTGGAAATGTCACACCGCTCTTGCAACCTGGAAACAAGGAACGGCTCAGATTGCCCCATCATCTTGAGAAAGCGATAAGGAAGCCAGCTCCAGCGCGACTTGAATCAACAAGCGTGGGAGGAGGGCAGGGAGGGGAACGAGATAACGAGTAGGATGCGTCGCGAGGCATCTCATCGTGAGCTCACGCGAAAATCTTGCTAGTTGCCAGAATACCGTCCAAGTTTCCTTCTTTTCTCTCGCCGTCCCGACTCGGGCTCCGTGGCGTGCCGCGCGATGCGGTTCCTGTAAAGGGGACAATAGACCCACGACGCTAGCATATCGCCTCTGAAACGCCTGTAAATCACTAGGTCTACTAGACTGACCCTCTCTACACAATCATCGTTACTGTCAATTTCACTTCGACTAGGACGGGTCAGACACTCTCTTGCCTGGTCCGCAGTCAGTACCCTTTTCGACAGTATCTCTTCTCCAGAGTTGTATTTGCCACGTCGATCCCGTTGGCTTACCGCCCAGTCTCACAAATTTCGAGGCGGCCGTGCAAATAAACTTCGTAACCTGGTTACCCTCGCTCGCTTAATCTCTTGGTAGAACATCCTAGTAATCGTGTACAGAATGACGGTCGACGATGGCGCAAGATGGTCGGCGGTAACCAGCAGCAGAGGGTGCGAACTAAGACAAGTTCGCGACAGCACCAGCGACTGCAGCAGACTCGTTAATTCAGGAGGCGACTCGCAACCGTGCTGTTCCTATGCGCGCGACACGACGGCGGCGAGAGGCGACGTCGTCCAACGAGTTCCTAGGCTATCCGAGTCGCAACTCACGACTAGCGCGCGCACTCCGTCCTTTTCGATTTCGGACTCCGAGTTGAGCTCAGGCTCGGAGTCAGGCTTGGGGTCAGGCTCGGCGATAGGCTCGGCCTCGGGCATGTCAGGCTCGGCGGTTCGGCATGGAGCTGCAGGCGCCGTGCGGCGGTCCTGCTCCGGGTCGGTTCGCCGGCCGTATTCCTCGCTGCTGCTGCTGCCCGTCCTGTTGTTGCTGCTGGCCGCGTCGCCCGCTCCGCCCGTGCTAGCCGTTGACATGAACAGCGCCCAGGGTAAGGCCCCGGCTCGTGAAATGCTCAGGCTTAAGATTTACTGTGATTGGTTATGAGTCGACTCGAAATCTTCGCTCCGCCCGTGCTAGCCGTTGACATGAACAGCGCCCAGGGTAAGACTCAGGTTGCGACAAACTCAGGCTCAACATTTACCGTGACTGGGCTTTGAGTCGACGGGAAAACGTCGGGTTCGCCCGTGTTAGCCGTTGTCATGAACAGCGCCCATGGTAAGTCTCAGGTTCGCGATGACCTCTGGCTCAGCACAAGCTTGTTGCGATTGGGTTTGAGTCGACTGAAAATCGCCAGCTCCGCCCCCCCTCTCCCCGCCCCGGTACCGTTTTCCGCTGGTCCAGTTGCGCGTGGCGCTGGGGGTTACGGGGGTGCAGTGGTGGCGCATTCGAGACGTCTCCAACACTATATATCCCGCCTCCCAATTTTCACCCCGCTCTCCTCCCCACCAACCCTTCCTCCCCTTCCCCCTTTCCCTCCCCCTCCCCCCTCCTCCCCCAGTGGCCGCGCTGATAGAGATGCGCGTGGCGCTGGGGGTGACGGGGATGCAATTGTGGCGAATACGAGACGTGCCTTCCGGTTTCCTCCCCCCGTGCCTTCACCCCCTTCCCTCCCCCCCTCCCCCAGTGTTGGCGCTGATAGAGATACGCGTGGTACTGGGAGTGGCGGGGATGCAGTGGTGACAGGACGTCTCGGGACCCTTATTCCTCCCTTGTTTCCCCCCTGCACCTCTTCCCCCACGCGTTCCGCCTCTCCCAGTGGCGGCGCTGATAGAGATGCGCGTGGCGCTGGGGGTGACGGGGATGCAATGGTGGCGCATCTAGGACCTCTCAAAACCATTATTCCCCCCCCGCCCTCCTCCCCCCTTCCCCCCGCCCCGCTCCCCTTTTCCGCCAGCGTTGGCGCTGATAAAGATGCGCGTGGCCTTGGGAGTGACGGGGATGCAGTGGTGGCGCACCAGCGGGATTGGTTCACTTCTTCGCTCCCCCAACAACCCCTCTCCTCCCCCCATCTCTCCGCTCCCGATTTCCCTCAGTGGCGGCGCTGATAAAGATGCGCGTGGCGCTGGGAGCGGCGGGCATGCAATGGTGGCGCACCAACGGGGCGTCTCAGACCCCGCTCTCCCCCCTCCCCCCTCTCCTCTCCACCCCTCCCCAGCGTTGGCGCTGATAGAGATGCGGGTGGCGCCGGGGGTGACGGGCATGGAATAATGGCGCACCAACGGACTTCCCCAAACCCTTATTCCTCCCCTCCACCCGCCCCTCTCCCACGCCCCTTCCCGCCCCCCTTCCCCCACGCTTTCCGCCACTCCCAGCGTTGGCGCTGATAGAGATGCGCGTCGCGCTGGGAGTGACGGGCATGCAGTGGTGGCGCACCAACGGGAAGGTCGTGTGCGGCGCGTGGATAGGCGTCGAGTGCGACACCAGGGGGAACGTCGTCTCCGTGTAAGAAGCTGGCTTATAACGGGGATAGGGCTAGCTTGTAACGGGGATAGTAAATCGGGCATGCAGTGGTGGCGCACCAACGGGAAAGTCGTGTGCGGCGCGTGGATAGGCGTCGAGTGCGACACCAGGGGGAACGTCGTCTCCGTGTAAGGGGCTTGTAAGGGGACAGCTTGTAACGGGGATATTAGATGTGTGCAGACGGGCATGCAATGTTGGCGAACCAACGGGAAGGTGGTCTGCGGCGCGTGGGTAGGCGTCGAATGCGACACCAGGGGGAACGGCGTCTCCGTCCGTGTAAGGGGGCTAGCTAGTAACGAGAATAGTCGGTTTCGCGGTGAATGCTTTGGGGTCTGGTTTGGTGGATTGCTTGCGGCGCTCGCTGCTGAAAATGTTGCTAATTTGTGTTATTTTTCCCCCATGCCTTGTGTTGTGACTGCAGCACGGCTTACAACGTGATTTATATCAGGATCGACCGGGTCTCCAAGATTTATATCAGGATCGATGAAATGGTGTGCAATCATGTGTGCTATTTTTCACCCCCATGCCGTGTCGTGTTGTGTTGTGTTGTGTTGTGACTGCAGCACGGCTTACAACGTGATCACCGTACCGGGCCTCCTCCCCAGCAGCTTCACCAAGCTCAAAACCCTCACCTACCTGTACGTGCTCTCGCTCTCGCCGCTCGGCCTTTACCTCTATCTGTACGTGCTGAAAACGATTTTTGTGTGTTTTGAGTCGACTCAAAACACGCTCTCGCCGCTCGGCCCTTACCTCTATCTGTACGTGCTGAAAACGATTTATGAGGCGCCTCAAAAATCACCTACCTGTACGTGCTCTCGCTCTCGCTCTCTCTCTCGCCGCTCGGCCCTTACCTCTATTTGTACGTGCTGAAAAAACCCTTACCCACCTGTTCGTCCTCTGCTCGCTTCTGCTTCTCTCCCCTCCTCCTCCACTCCCTCTCCCCCTTCCCCTCTCCCCCTTCCCCCCTCCCCCTTACCCCTAAAGGACCTGCCCTCCAACCGCCTTAATGAGCCATTAGTCCAATTCGCGCGGCCCCTGCGGCACCTCCTATCTGTTTCCCTTTTCTCCTCCCCCTTCCTCCCCCTTCCTCCCCCTTCCTCCCCCTTCCTCCCCCGTGTTTCTCGCTTCCCTCCTCCCCTTCCTTACACCCCCGTCCCCCACAGCAATCTCTCCTCCAATCGCCACAACGCGTCACTTGACCAATCCGTTCCCCCCCTTGCTGCACCTCCCATCTGACCGCCCCCTACCCCATTCCCCTCTCCCCCCTCTCTCTCACCCTCCTCCCCCACAGCGATCTCTCCTCCAATCGTCTCAACGCGTCGCTCGACCAATTCGCGCGGCCCTTGCGGCACCTCCCATCTGTTTCCCTTTTCTCCTCCCCCTTCCTCCCCCTTCCTCCCCCGTGTTTCCCGCTTCCCTCCTCTCCCCCTCCCCCCACTCCTCTCCCAAACAGCGATCTCTCCTCCAACCGACTCAACGCGTCACTCGACCAATTCGCCCGCCCCTTGCTGCACCTCCCCAACCTCCGCGTTCTGTGAGTCTCCCCTCCCTCCCTTCCCTAGCCTTTTCCCTCTTCCCCCATTTCGCTCCCAGGAGTTTTTGAGAATTCTCAAAAATTCTCCCCTCCCTCCCTTCCCTAGCCTTTTCCCTCTTCCCCCATTTCGCTCCCAGGAGTTTTTGAGAATTCTCAAAAAGTCTCCCCTCCCTCCCTTCCCTAGCCTTTTCCCTCTTCCCCCATTTCGCTCCCCGCCTCAACCCATTGACCAATTCGCGCGGCCTCTGCTGCACCTCCCAAACCTCCGCGTTCTGTGAGTCTCCCCTCTCCTGTCCTCTTCCCTCCTCCCTTTTAGTCTTCCCTCCTCCCTTTTAGTCTTCCCTCCTCCCTTTTAGTCTTCCCTCCTCCCTTTTAGTCTTCCCTCCTCCCCTATCCGCTTCCATCCTCCATCGTCCCTCCATCCTCGTTCATTCATGTCTCCTCACCCATCCCCTCCCCCCCCCCCCCCCTCCACCTCTCCTCTTCACCTCCCCTCCCTTCCTCCCCCCCTCCACCTCCCCCCTTCACCTCCCCTACCTCCTCGCCGCGCCAGGAGTCTGAACAACAACAAGCTCTGGGGTTCTGTCCCCTCCTACCTGCTTCTGCTGCTTTGACTCATAACCCTCCTCTCTTCCACATTCGTTCACGTCTCCTCCCGCTTCACCTCCCTCTCACTCCCTTCCCCGCACCAGGAGTCTGAACAACAACAAGCTCTGGGGTTCCGTGCCCTCCTACCTGCTGCAGAAACCGAAGCTTCAGAAACTGTAAGGCTGCGCTACCCTCCCTACCCCCCTGTGATCCCCCTTCCTTCCTTGCCTTGCGAGGTGCCTTTTGAGTCGACTCAAAAAAGTCACCTCGAAGCTTCAGAAACTGTAAGGCTGCGCTCCCCTCCCTACCCCCCTGTGACCCCCCTTCCTTCCTTGCCTTGACTTGCTCCCGTCACAACTCACCTCTGGGGTTCTATCCCGTCCTACCTGCTGCTTCGGCCAAAGCCCTTGAGAAACTGTAAGAGCCTCAGAAGCTTCAGAAGCACTTGAGCTCGCCATCGACACACCCATCCACCCCACCCAACCCCCTCCCCTCTGTTCCCCTTCCCCTCCCCTTCCCTCCCCACTTCTCCCCTCCCCTGCACCACCCCTCCCCTCTTCAACCCCCACTCCTCCCCTTCCTCACCAGAGCCCTCCCCTTCCTCCCAACCAACAAGTCCACAGCCTTCTTGTGTGACCGACCGCTCCTCCTCACATTCCTCCCCTTCCCTCCTTTCCCCTCCCCTCCCATCCCTTCTCTTGCCCTAACCTGCCTCCTCACATTCCTCCCCTTCCCTCCTTTCCCCTCCCCTCCCATCCCTTCTCTTGCCCTAACCTGCCTCCTCACATTCCTCCCCTTCCCTCCTTTCCCCTCCCCTCCCATCCCTTCTCTTGCCCTAACCTGCCTCCTCACATTCCTCCCCTTCCTCACCAGAGCCCTCCCACCCATGAAGTCCACAGCCTTCTTGTGTGACCCGCTGTGACTTCCTCACCGGATCCCTCCCACCCAAGAAGTCCAAGGCCCTCTCTACCCTCTCTATCTCCCACAACTTCTTACTCATGTTTATTCCTTCCCCTCCCATTCGCTCCCCCTCCCTCCACCCTCCCCCCTCGCCCCAACCAGCCTCCTATCGCGCAACTTCCTCACCGGAACTCTCCCCCCCAAGAAATCCAAGACCCTTGGTACCCTCTCAATCGCCCACAACTTTATCCGCGGCCGCTTCCCCTTCACCATGTCATGCAACACAGTGGGCAATTGCCTCGATAACCCTGGGGCGAGGTGTACTAGTTACCCTCAGCGCACGCCGTCCCGCTGCCTGGCCCAGTGTGGGGGAGCGGAGGTGGGAGCTACGGCTGGTACTGCTGCTACAGCTGGTACTGCTGCTACAGCTGGTACTGCTGCTACAGCTGCTTCCCGTACCTCTACCGCTGCCACCACCACTACTTCCCGTACTGCTGCTGCCACTGCCTCTGCTTCCAATACTGCTGCTGCTGCTGCTACTGCTGCCCTTCCTCCAAGGGACCCAGCCGCCCTGATAGCCACTGCTGCTACCAATGCTGCTGCCGCTGCTGCTTCCGCTGCTACTGCTGCCGCTCGTTCCATCCCTCGCACCGCTGCGTCCGTCTCTCCAACCGCTCTCAAAACCGCCAACACCACCACCGCCGCTGCCTCCTCCTCTTCCTTCTCAAATCCATCGTCGGTCTACTCGGCAGCGCCCTTCCTGACGCCCTGTGGGGGCTACGGGCGGTGCCTGCCCAGTGTGGACGACTCCCCTGGGGATGTTTCAGCCTCGTTACTGCCCGCCACCCAGTGGACGTGCATGTGCGCTGCTGGTGCCACCCTCAAAGACAATGACGTGTGCGGTGAGTGGGGTATCTGTTGTGGGAGTGGGTGGGGTGGGGAGTGCTGCTTGTGTGCCAGCCCAGTGTGCTTCTCGGCCTCTTTGCTATCTGCTACGCAGTGGACCTGCATGTGCGCGCTGCTGGGCCACACTTGAAAGATACTGACGTGTGCGGTGAGTGGGACGTGTGAATGGGTGGGGTGCGGTGAGAGAGATGTGGGTGGGATTGCATCAGAGTCTTGTTGCTCTGACGGTGACGTCTCTGCCTCGCTCCTCCCCACCATTGCTGCCCCTCCCTGTCTTCCTGCAAGCCTCACCTGTCGTGCCTGCTGTTGTTCCCAGCGACCTCTCTCTTTTCCCTCCCACCCCCCTCCCTCTCTCCCCTCCGCACCTCTGCTCTCCAGAGTGTGAGAAGAAATCAAGTTGCGTCGACCATCGCTGCCCCGCCATGTCCTCCTGCAAACCCCACCTGTCGTGCCCTATCTTCTCAATCTATCTCCCACCCACCCTGTCCTCACCCCACCCCGTTCCTTCCCATTCTTTCCAGAGTGTGAGAAGAAATCAAGCTGCGCCGACCACCGCTGCCCCGCCATGTCCTCCTGCAAACCACACCTGTCGTGCCTTCCCTTCATCTCACTCCATCCGCGTCCTCCCTGGGCTCCCCTTCCCCTCCCTCCTTCCCACCTCCTGCAGAGTGTGAGAAGAAATCAAGCTGTGTCGACCACCGCTGCCCCGCCATGTCTTCCTGCAAGCCCCACTTGTCCTGCCTGGGCTACAAGTGCGAGTGCCACTGGCCTCTTGTCCCCGTTACAAGCTCAAGCGGTACAGTAGTTAAGTGCCGCCCCAAATGGCCCTGGGAGAAAACCAGATAAACATTATTTTTTATAGCTAAGAGTTGAAAAATTGGACATTACCGTATTTTGGGTAGGTAGTCGATTTGTTGCCCCTTTAATAAACTGTGGGTGCACTTGATTGTAGAATGGAGTTTATGTGCTTTGGTAGTTCCTTTCTGGTGAATTGTAAGATTTTTTACCATATCCATTTTACTCTTGAAGTGCTGCATCAAGCACTGCATCCAACCACTCATTGCAGGGAAGCACCATGTAACCTTGCTGTTAGAGCGTGTTCCTACGGCCTTGTATCAGGAAACCTCGTATCAAACATGTACTTTTTGCCTGGTAAAACTAGCGAGAGGGAAATTTTCAGTGTGAGCCTGATACGAGGTTCTCTTGATACGAGGTGTAGGAACACACTCTTAGCATGGTATAATAATAGATGAATACTGGAACTTCAAAAATTGTGAGTGACGTCAGCATGCCGTAGGTAGCAGCAGGCCCGACAATATCGAGTAAAGCTGCTGCCCGTAGCGTCATTCATTATAAGAACGCTACTAACGGACAAAAGGGGGAAATTTTGTGGGGATGACATCAAGTTTCGTAAGTTTTATTGCGCAAGTAATCCCAGCCCAATACGGTACTCCAAATGCTGATTTAATTGCATCAACATCAATACACTTGTGATGATGATGAGTCTGTTTGTATCCGACACCACACCACAGAAACCCTGTGGCTCGCATCGCATCGCATCGGATCGCATCGCATCGCATCGCATCGCATCGCATCGCATCCCATCCCATCCCATCCCATCCCATCCCATCCCATCCCATCCCATCCCATCCCATCCCATCCCATCCCATCCCATCGCATCGCATCGCATCCCATCGCATCGCATCGCATCGCATCGATCGCATCGCATTGCATCCCATCGCATCGCATCGCGACCCATCCCTGAAAAATGGGTACCGGTAACTAAATGCCAAATGACGTGTGGTAATAATATTCCACTAGCAGACAAATGGACACTGTAGAAGAATCAATGTGCAGGCACCAGTATAGCTATATCACTGTAGCAATGCGTCTATATCTGGCACCACAACAGCCCTCTGCCTCACATCCCCTAAGAAATGGCACATGCCAGATGAGGCATTCACATAGTATTCTACACTACAAGCAAAACATTAACACTGTAGCAACGCATCTATATCCGGCACAACAACAGCCCTCTGCCTCACATCCCCTAAGAAATGGCACATGCCAGATGAGGCATTCACAGCAGCTAGCTCCTGGTGGAATATACAGGGCGAACCAGCTTGCAGCTGTTGGTGAAAAGGAGGGGAGGGGAAGGAGGGAGGGGTATGTATGTACAGGTTAGGGCACATGCCTGACGAGGCATTCACAGCAGCTAGCTCCTGGTGGAATATACAGGGCGAACCGGCCTGCAGCTGTGAAGGGGGAAAAGGGGAGGGAGCGGAGGGGGAGAAAGGCAGGGTCTAGGGTTGGCTGCAACACAAGCCAACTATTTGATGAATCCACAGCTGCTAGCTCCTGGTGGAACATGTAGGGCAAAGCATTTTGTTTTGAGACGTCTCAAAACACTTTTATTATCACGTGCATCCACAGCAGCAGCTACCTCCTGGTGGAACATGTATCCACACCAGGAAGCATCCACACCAGCCTGCAGCTGGGGCAGTGAGGTGTATTTTGAGGTGTATTTTGAGGTGTATTTTGAGGTGTATTTTGAGGTAGGGCGAAGCATACACCTCACTGCACGCGAAGCATTCACCTCACTGCACGCGAAGCATACACCTCACTGCACGCGAAGCATACACCTCACTGCACGCGAAGCATACACCTCACTGCACGCGAAGCATACACCTCACTGCACGCGAAGCATACACCTCACTGCACGCGAAGCATACACCTCACTGCACGCGAAGCATACACCTCACTGCACGCGAAGCATACACCTCACTGCACGCGAAGCATACACCTCACTGCACGCGAAGCATACACCTCACTGCACGCGAAGCATACACCTCACTGCACGCGAAGCATACACCTCACTGCACGCGAAGCATACACCTCACTGCACGCGAAGCATACACCTCACTGCACGCGAAGCATACACCTCACTGCACGCGAAGCATACACCTCACTGCACGCGAAGCATACACCTCACTGCACGCGAAGCATCCACACCAGCCTGCAGCTGGGGCAGCTGCCCCAGCCTGTAGGGCGAAGCAGCCTGCAGCTGTGAAGGGGGAAAAGGGGGAGTGGGAGGAGAGTGGGGGGGGGGAGATAGGGGGGTGGGGCTGTAGAGGCCCAGCACATGCCGGCTAAGGCAATCACAGCAGCTAGCTCCTGGTGGAATATACAGGGCGAACCGGCAAGTAGCTGTGACGGGGGAAAGAGGGGAGGGGAGCGGAGGGGGAGAAGGGATGGGGATGGGTTTACATACAGCAGCTGGCTCATGGTGGAATAGGGTGTTTTTGAGAATTCTCAAAAACACCCAGCATCATGGGTTTACATACAGCAGCTGGCTGGCTCATGGTGGAATAGGCAGGGCGAACCGAGTAGAGACACACATCGAATAGCGTGACTCCAAGATTCATCTTCACACTCCCGCCCGTTGTCATAAACTGCAGGTGGTTTTTGAATCTTCTCAAGAACCACTGCAATACCTAGAGACTCACATCGAATAAAGTGTCTCCAAGCCTCATATTTACAAAACCTCATTTTCAGGCGCCTTCAACTCCCATCCTTAGAGAGAAGGGAGTTTTCATGCAGGTGTAGAGAGGTTATTTTTGAGATGTTTTTTGACACTGAGACATGTCTGAATCTCAAAAATAACCTCTCTACACGTGGCTTCAGGCGCCTTAAACTCCCATCCTTAGTTTTCACACAAACAGGACCAATCAGGAGACTCACATCGAATTATATGTCTCCAAGCCTCCTCATTCCCACAGTATCAGGACCAATCAAGATACTCACATCAAATAACGTGTCTCCAAACCTCATCTTCACACTCCCATCATCATACACGAGAATCTTCCCAATCCGCCCCTCGGGCAGCGATGAAAGCTCATCCAACGGCCCGGGTTCTCCCGGCGCGAGCTCAGCTGCCCGCTCCCGGCGCACTGGCAGCGCGGCGGGCAGCTGGAAAAAGACCATCCGGTCATCAAGAGAAGAAGAAGAAGAAGAAGAAGAAGCAGCAGCAGCAGCAGCAGGGGGATTCAAGCCTAGCTCCCTGGCTGGAGGCACAGCTGCTTCATTGAAAGGGCGAGCAAGAGCCTCCTCCCCAAACTCAGCCTCGTTTAGAAGGTCTGAGGGGAGGGGAGAGAAGGGGAGAGATGGAAGGGGGATGAGAGAATGAGAGAACAAGAAGAAGCAGCACTGGTGGTGGCTGGCTAGAGACTGTTCTCTGGCTGGGGGAACAGCAGCTTCGTTGAAAGGGCAGGAGAGTGCCTCCTCTCTAAACTCAGCCTCGTTTAGAAGGTCTGAGGGGAGAGGGAGAGGGGGAAGGGGAATGAGGGAATGAGGGAAGAAGATGCAGCACCGGTGACAGCTAGCTAGACACAGTTCTCTGGCTGGGGGAACAGCAGCTTCGTTGAAAGGGCGGGAGAGTGCCTCCTCTCCAAACTCAGCCTCGTTTAGAAGGTCTGGGGTGAGGGAAAAGGAGAATGAGAGAATGAGCAAAGGAGAATGAGGGAACGAGCAAAGGAGAATGAGGGAATGAGCAAAGGAGAATGAGGGAATGGGCAAAGGAGAATGAGGGAATGGGCAAAGGAGAATGAGGGAATGAGCAAAGGAGAATGAGGGAATGAGAGAACAAGAAGCAGAAGCGGCTTCGTTGAAAGGGCGAGAAACAGCCTCCTCTTCAAACTCAGCCTCGTTCAAAAGGTCTGGGAGGAGAGAGGGGGAGAAAGGGAAGGGGAATGGGGGAAGAAGGGACTGAGGGAATGAGGGAAGAAGGGACTGAGGGAATGAGGGGAACAAGAAGCAGAAGCAGCTTTGTTGAAAGGCCGGGACTGCCTGATCTCCAAACTCAGCCTCGTTAAAAAGGTCTGGGAGGGGAGAGGGGAGAGGGGAGAGGTGAGAGTTGGGATGAGGGAGTGAGGGCATGAGGCACCTCAAACATCGGATCAGGCAAGCATGATAATGCCTTCAAAGACAAGTCCTTTTGAGGCGCCTTCAAAGACAAGGCTTTTGAGGCGCCTTCAAAGACAAGGCTTTTGAGGCGCCTTCAAAGACAAGGCTTTTGAGGCGCCTTCAAAGACAAGGCTTTTGAGGCGCCTTCAAAGACAAGTTAGCACAGAAAAAGAAGACGAAAGAGTTGAAACGGTTACCTGGTGGGCCAGTGTTTGGGGGGCGTAGAGGAAGCGTTGTGGGGTAGTAGCGACTGTAATCCTGTTATTAGATGCAAAGGTGGGTAAATATCCATGTATGTATGTATGCAGGCACATATCCCACCGAAAAGAAAAAAGAAAATTTGTATGATTGTTTGAAAAGAAGAGATCAAGATTCGATTAAACATATAAAAAACCATGTCATTCCAATTTCAATCCAGGTCACTCCGTGTGCAATCAACGTCACTCCCTCTGCAATCAACGTCACTCCCTCTGCAATCCCATTACTCCCTCTGCAATCCCATTACTCCCTCTGCAATCCCATTACTCCCTCTGCAATCCCATTACTCCCTCTGCAATCCCATTACTCCCTCTGCAATCCCATTACTCCCTCTGCAATCCCATTACTCCCTCTGCAATCCCATTACTCCCTCTGCAATCCCATTACTCCCTCTGCAATCCCATTACTCCCTCTGTAATCCACGTCACCCCGTTCTCCACCCACCCACCATGGTATCTCTCTTCTTTGCCTTCTTCTCGTCCAATTGGAACGAGCCACCTGGCACAATTCGTTTCGGGAGGAAAGGAAGAGGAGTGGGAGGGGGGACGGGTGAGGAATGGGGGGAGGGGAATGGGGAAGGAGGAGTGGGGAAATGGAGCAAGGGAAACGGAGAGGGAGCAGAGGGGGGAATGGGGCAATCATTGAGTCGTTTTTTTGTCTACACAAACATTGTTTACACATGTGTCTGTGCAATGGCAGCAGCAGGTCAAGTCGTGTTTTGAGTTCACATGTGAAACACAGAAAGTCAGTTGACTCAAAACACAGAAACTGTTCACACATGTGTGCAATGGCAGGAATTCTTAAAAACCAAGTCGTGTTTTGAGTCGACTCGAAACACAGAAACTGTTTACACGTGTGTGCAATGGCAGCAGCAGGTCAAACGAATCGACTCAAAAATCGTCTTACCAGGAGCAGCAGAGAAGTCATGTGTTATCCCTGTTCCATCCACGGCCATTCCCTCTGCTTTCACACGCACCTCTCCCTCCTCTCTCGAGGTTTAACCAGCCTCACATGAACCAGCAAGCCATCTCACCAGGAGCAGAAAAGTCGCCCATCATCCCTGCACCACCCCTCTGCCTGCACACTCACCCCTCCTTCCTGTTCAAGGTTTTGAGACATTTTAAAACGCCATCTCACTCACCAGGAGCAGAAAAGTCGCCCATCATCCCTGCACCATCCACGGTTATCCCCTCTGCCTTCACTCTCACCCCTCCCTCCTCTTTCACTCCACCTTCCCCTCCCCCTCCTCCCCCTCCCCCTCCCCCTCCTCCCCCTCCTCCCCCTCCTCCACCTCCCCCTCCCCCCCCTCCTCCCCAACCACCACCCCCATCGCCAAAACCGCTGCTGCCCCCTTTGGGAGGCCCCATGCCCATCCCCGCAGCTGCTGCGGATGCACCAAAGCCAAAGGCCACCCGCACAGCAGCACCTGATGGGGAGAGAGCGGGAAATAGGGAGGAGAAGATGTAAGGCGACTGCTGTACTGCTGCTGGCCCCTTTTTCCAATAGAGGAGGCCCCGACCCCCAGCCCCGCTGCTGCTGCTGATGCGCCAAAGCCAAAGGCAACCCGCACGGCAGCACCTGGGAAGCAAAGAAATATACGGGCAACAAGGGGACAAAAACGGGGACTTGCAGTTACGATCAGATAAGATTAAAACAGATCAAATCAGACAAGAAACGAATAGATCAGACCAGATCAGATTAAATCAGTCAACCAGGCTGGTCTCCAATCGTCTGATCTGATTTCTATGTTGACTCAAAAAGGGTAGTTGAGGAAAGGGGACGAGAGAGGTTTCCAGGGAGGCACATTTCACCAGTCACACCTTGAAATGCTCGCTGTGACTTTTGAGTCGACTCAAAAGTCACCTCGGCTGATAAGGGGACGACAAAGGTTTCCAAGTAGGCGCATTTCACCAGTCGCACCTTGAAATGCTCATTTGTTTGTGTTTGATGCATCGCCTTGCGATTGTACGAATGGTGAATGCACACAAGGGCACAACACATTCACCCTCGCATGCCCACATAAAGGCGTGTGCATCTTCACGCGCCCTCTCTCCCATTTGCACATGACCACATACAGGTGTGTCACATTCTGAGGCGCCTCAAAAGGTGCATTCTGAGGCGCCTCAAAAGGTGCATTCTGAGGCGCCTCAAAAGGTGCATTCTGAGGCGCCTCAAAATGCACGCTCTCTCTCCCATTTGCACATGACCACATACAAGTGTGCCACATTCGCACCTTGGAAGGCTCGCTTGGGTGCGTTTGATGCGTCGGCTTGCGATTGCTGCAGTTGTGGGGACGAGGAGAGGGAGTGCGAATGAGAGAGATGGAGAGAAATGGGGGGTGGTGAGGGGGAGAGGAAGAGCGATGCGGAGTGAGGGAGAGCAGGGGAGAGGGAGTGTGGCCAAAAGAGAGTGCGTGCGCGAAAGCAGCAGGGCACGGTACGTTCTACAGTGCTAAAATGGTGGATAATGTGGGAGGATTGGCACGTGATAAAAGTAATGTTTCGAGACGTCTCAGAACAGCAGGGCACGGTAAGTTCTACAGTGCAGAAATGACCCAAGGAGCACCACTTATCAGAAAGTACTGTGAGCTCGAAAGCAGCAGGACACGGTACGTTCTACAGTGCTAAAATGGTGGATAATGTGGGAGGATTGGAGGGGAGGATTGGAGGGGAGGATTGGAGGGGAGGATTGGAGGGGAGGTTTGGAGGGGAGGAATGGGAAGTAGGGATTGGGAGAAGGGGTAAGTAAGTACCAGGAGAATCTTTCGCAGCTCGTCTGGTAACTCCTGCTCTGCTGCTTCCTCCCTGTGTGCGTGTGGGGGGGAGGGAGGGGGAGGAGGAGGGGGGTATTGTGGAGGGAGGGAACTACCAGGAGAATCCTCCGCAGCTCATCTGGTAGCTCCTGCTCTGCTGCTTCCTCTCTGTGTGTGCGGGTGGGGGGGGGGGGGGGGTGAGTGTGTGCGAAGTGAGTGTGCGGAAAAATGATTGAGATGTCAAAAGCACACACACTGCCAGAGCAGTTGATCTAGTTTTGAGGCGCCTCAAAAGTCGTCTCAGAGCAGTTGATCTAGTTTTGAGGCGCCTCAAAAGTCGTCTCAGAGCAGTTGATCTAGTTTTGAGGCGCCTCAAAATTCGTCTCAGAGCAGTTGATCTGGTTTTGAGGCGCCTCAAAAGTCGTCTCAGAGCAGTTGATCTAGTTTTGAGGCGCCTCAAAATTCGTCTCAGAGTGGTTGATCTGGTAACTCCTGCTCTGCTGCTTCTTCTCTGTAAGGGGAGTGGGAGGTATAGCAAGAGTAGGTCTGAATCCTTGAGTAATAAAATGGGAGTGAAGAGAGAAGTAAAGGCAGGGAATGACGTGGCACAGCATGTTACGGCATGTCATGGCATGGTATGACATGTTATGGCACATGGCATGGCATGGCACATGGCACATGGCATAGCATGGCACATGGCACACAGCATGGCATGGCACATGGCACACCGTATGGCATGGCACAAGGCACAAGGCACAGAGCATGGTATGGACATGTGGCACATGGCTGCATCACTCACGGCTTGACTGCTTTCTTCTGGGCCCGTCTGGCCGGCACCTTGGGCACAAATTTGGGCTGAAAACACAATCAGAAGTGTGCAGAGGTGTGGCGGGGGATACAGAGGGATAGAGTGGGACAGCAGGGATGAGAAGGAAACCCACTAGCCGGCACCTTGGGCACAAATTTGGGCTGAAAACACAATCAGAAGTGTGCAGAGGTGTGGCGGGGGATACAGAGGGATAGAGTGGGACAGCAGGGATGAGAAGGAAACCCACTAGCCGGCACCTTGGGCACAAACTTTGGCTGCAAGCAAGCACAATCAGAAGTGCGCAGAGGGGTGGTGGGGGAGAGAAAGGGGTAGAGAATGTTAAGAAGGGATAGTGAGACAAGCCGTGTCCAACTGTTTCAGCTCAGCAGGGTTCATGTATCTCCGTTCTAGAAATAGACTTTTGAGTCGACTCAAAAGTCAACTGTTTCAGCTCAGCAGGGTTCACGTATCTCCGTTATAGAAATAGACTTCAACTCGTGCCATGCAGAATTAAAGCGCTTCTTCTTACAGCTATATTGGTGCGACTTTTGAGAACTCTCAAAAGTCGCACCAATAAAGTGCTTCTTCTTACCTTACGAACACCTGCCGTGTCCCCCACTCCTGCTGCTGTCGCTGCCGAACCTGCTGTTCCCGAACCTGTTGCTGCTGGAGCTGTCGCTCCTGCAGCAGCCGAGCCGCCATCCCCAACCTCAGCCTTAGGAGCGGAAGCGGAGGGCGCGGGCCTGGCGGAAGGGGAAGCGGAAGCTGCGCCACTGGCTCCGCCCAGACCCGGAACCCTCAACCCTTGCGCCAGTGCCGCCCCTGTCGTTTGCAGCCGTCCGATCGGATCTGATACGCTGCCCAATCGCGGCGTCCCCGAGCCTATCCCAGCTTCCGCGCCTCTCCCCGCTTGCGCTGCCCCTTCCGTCGAGGCTCCGCGCGCCCTCCCCCTTCCGCGCCCCCGCCCCCGCCCTCGCCCCCTCCCCGGAGCTCTTCCGCCGGCATCAGCTGCGCCAGCTCCGCCAGTTGCATCCGCCATTGGAGACCGCTATGGACGGTAGTGATGGTTCGGCTTTCCTGAATGACGATTTTACGGCGACACGCACGAAAGTCGCGTAACATAAACCTTTGTAACTTGGTTACACCGTCATCAATTTTTCGCAGGGATGCAGGCTACGCCTGTTTCGGTCATGGTTTTGGGAATCCTGGTAAGAACGCGCTATAAGACAGCTCTCGTTGCCAAATTGCCAAACCGAAGCAACTAGCTACACGCACTGTGCATTAGAAAATCTCACGTTCACCCATTAACACCTAAAACCGTAATACATCCCATAAATGCCTTTCTGTCTGCCTCATAACATCGAAGGACCAATTACCCTGCCTCCTTCCAGGGCCAAATCCACCATTGAAACTTAGCCTTATACCATCAATATCAAAACTGAGACTTAGCTTCACTCTCCAACTCATTCTATAACTGGATAATAGCACCAGACCCATTTCAATTTCCGAACCCTTTTTTCTCTTTCTCAAGAACGGTTACGGTACTTAGGGCATGTTCCTACGGCCCCTTATCAGGGCCTCCTCTTATCAGCCTCGAACTTTTGTTGTATGCACGTTATAGGACACCTCTTGTCAGGCTAGTACCGAGAATGAGCACGAATGAAATCGATCGCACGTAGTCGCTCACTCGCGTGGCCGCAACTGTGCACGGCCAGCGTAGACGCGTGATCGTTGGGGCACGCATCACGTCCGTTACCCTAACCTGCTCACGACCGTGACGTGGCGAATGTGCACGCCGAAGTGGCGTCCACGAATGTGCACGACTCGGGAATTTTCTACCTTTCCCGCCACGCAGCCCCACATTTGACGAGCACGATGGTCTCGTTTCACAAGGGGTCACAAACACGGCCGCCAAGACAACACCGAGATGCAAGAGCCTGTCAATACATACAAAGCGGAGTCTAAAAAAGCTAGTCTCATCATGCAGCTTTAGTCACCAATCATGGCACGCAAACGCAAAGGACAGGTTGGCGCAGCAGCGGACGAGGGGTGGAGCGTAGAGGACCTAGCATATGTAAAATGGATGAATGCCGAGCTCGCCGCCGGGAAACCCAACGCACGGCCGTTGCGTAGTGTGGGAGCCGCAAGCTCAACACCCGCTCGATCGACGGTCACGCCGCGTGGATGTGACAGCGACGACGACTACAACGAGAAGGACACGGACGATGATGATGACGACGCCGGTTCCGATGAGGAGGATCCCGTAGCTGCCTGGCACGGTGGTGCTGAATACAACGGCTCCGAACACGAGGACGCAACGGCTACACAAGCGACACGCTCGCGGGCCGATGCTTCCGCGCGTTCAAATGGGACTCGGAAGGGTAAGGCTGCATTGCGTAGCCCTGCAAAGGTGAGCAGCAGCCCAGGGCCTGGACAACGTGTCGAGTGGTCGCTTAAGGAGTCTACAATCCTGGTTGCGGCGCGGTGGTTCACGAAAGACGAGCTCCAGCAGATGACCGGAAAACAGGGCTCACAATATTGGCTCCGACTCTGCGAGCACATCAAGCTCACGCACCCCGACTGGAGCCGTAACGCTACCGTGTGTACCAACCAGTGGAAGAGGCTAAAGGCACTGTGGAAGCAAGTGTCTAAGGGCGACTCGGCGTCGGGTGGCGCGACTGTCATCAAGCCGCCGTGGTGGGAGTGGATGGTCCTATTCTATAAGGACACCGCTGCAGCGGAACCTCACGCACTGGACGGTGGAGGGGCTGACGACGTCACCGTCGATCCTGGCACGGACATTCCTAAACCCGTGAAAACTGATGCCACGGCGCCGACTTGTGAGTCTTAGTCCCCGTGTTTAGGGGATCTTTGTCATGCTTTTTTTAGCATGGCGTTGGGAGCATTTCATTTCGGGATTAGTGTGCCAGTGTGCCATCTACGTGCGCCGTGTACAATTTGCAGCATGCTCAACGTCACACTATTACGCTTCAACAAGTCATACATAGTTGCAAAAATGTCTACCATACACCCTCCCGTTGTGCCCGCAGTTCGAGGCACACCCCCAAACGCCAAACGCCGGATCAACGAAACCGCTACTATGGCGGCTGCACAGCTCTTAGCCGACACCCTCACGCGATGCTCCGAGGAGGGTGTCTCCCAGATCACCGGAGTCATTCGGGAGTGGATGGCTAGCCAGACTTCTCAGACCAGTCGCCCGCTGCACTTCAATCACACCCGCGCTAGCCGTGACGACACGTGGCCGGACGAAGACAACGCCACACTCAGCGACGGGGTTGAGGAGTGGCGTCGCGGCGACGACGCTTAAGGTAAGCGTCGTGGAGAGCCATTCCGAGCCGCTTGCGCCGTTCCTTCAGTTCGCTCGCCGTGACAATGTCACACGGCTCCCACTTATACTTGGCAAGCTCGCCACGAGTCCACCATGGATCCCGACCGATTGAAATCGCAGCCCACTTGACATTCGGTGTCTTCATGCGTGCCCCTGCCATCGCAATGCCCATGTTGTGCAGGATCACGACGCAACTGGCCCCGGCGAGCACCCGCCACAGCGCACAGTCGTGACGGCCGGCGAACAGCCGATACCGGCCTTTGAACTGTCCTATTGTGCGCTCAACGGACATGCGGGTGGCTGATTGGCAGTAGTTGAATGTCTGCTGCCATTCGAGCATGAGGCGGCCGGTTGGAGCGTGCAATGGTGTGAGGCAATAGTCCCGGAGGTGGTAAGCCGCATCGCCAACTAGCTGGTAAGGGGCGATGTCACCATTTTCGAGCCGGCTGTGGAGGTTGGATTGTATGAACACACGCTGGTCATGAGCTGTGCCCGGAAAGCCTATCAGATAATCCCATATCACGCCCTTGGCGTCGCATGTTATTTGCAGCTGTACGGCATACTGTGACTTACGTGTGTAATATTCTGAACGATGCCCTTCCTTTCCCCGGATTTGGATATGAGTGCCATCTATAGCTCCTATTACCGCTGGAACGCCCTTAATGCTTTTAAACTCCTCTGCCATGGCTCGCATTTCGTCCTGCGTTGGGAAACGGACCCACGCTTTTTTGAAAACGCGGGGAAAGTTCTGCAAGAACATGTCAACGAGCCTATGACATATCGTCTTAGGAACCCCGAACCAGAAGGCGAGATCGATGTACGACATTGCACTCGCGAAGTATTTAATGGGGATTAAAACGGCAACGCGGATGGGCAGAGCGTGCCTATGGACGACCGGGTGCAATACTTGGTGCATTCCGTCGCATATGAAATCTAAAATGCGCCGATTGATGCGGAACAGGTCTGTGAACACCTCCTCCGACATCGATGCCATCTCGTCTTCCCATAAGTCTAGTCGTCGCCGCCGTAATTGGCGGTTCCGATTGCGGAGCTCACTACGGGACTCCACGGATACCTCGTCTTGCGCCTCGGCGTCGATGTGCTCTAGGAGCTGAATGCAGGCTTTCGTAGCACAATCTAGGAAGGTGTTGTAAAAAAACGCGTGCCATACTATTAACAGCCGTGGTAGGAAAGGAACATCGGTCATACTGCCAAGGCCGGTTAATCTCAATGCGGCAGTAGATAAGAGGCGTGGTTCAACAAGTTGTATTGTGCGTGCTCTTGTGACTTGTGCATTTGCGTCCGGTTAGCATCTTCCTGGGTGGTTGGGTTTGGGCATGACGCTTTGTTTTGAGCTGATGTGGCCATTTTGCAACTTGTACGAACCGCGGCACCTGAGGGCCTCCACAATTTGATCCGCGAGGGTGGGTCGCAATGTGCCACATCAGCCAACACTCACAATCGCACAGAACTGCAAACCGGCAAGTATATCTGACAAGAGGTTTCTCGATATGGCCGAATTACAGGTGAGTATAGCGTGGCTGATAAGAGGCGGCCCTGATAAGAGGCCGTAGGAACATGCCCTTAGCACGGTCGAGTGCACCATTCTCCACCCCCCTAAGCTGCTTCAGCCCAACCTGGGCTTGCTTTCACTGCAACAACTCACCAAGAATTCCCGAACCAGGAATTCCCGGACCAAGAATTCCCGGACCAAGAGTTTCCTAAGCAGAAATTACTTCTTAATGGCAGGGGTGTGTGCTCCATTCCCCATTCCCTTCGCCGCTACAGCCCCACCTGGGCTGGCTTTCACTCCAGCTGGCGATTTCCCAGCCGTCCCTCCCACCATCCCTCCCCCTTTACCCATCCCCGCCCCTCCCCCTCCTGCTGCCGGGGCTTTTGGTCCCCCTCCTCCCACTGCTGCCCCTTTTACCCCCCCTGCTCCTGCTGTCATGCCTTTAATCCCCCCCACTCCTGCTGACCCACCCTGAACGCCCCCTGTTACTGCTGTTGTTCCTTTACCTCCCCCACCTCCTCCCCCTCCTGCTCCTACTCTTGCTCCTGCTCCTGCTCCTGATCCTGCACCTACTCCTACTGCTGACCCTGCTTTCTTAACTGTTGCTCCGGCTGTAGCGCCAGCTGTAGCTCCCTTCACTCCTCTTGCCACTGCTGCTTCTCTGCCCTTCCCTTCTCTCTCCCTCCCCTCCTTGGCCCGCCCTTCTCTCTCATACACCCTGAACATCAAAACAGACTTAGCCATTTGCGGTTCCCTTTCAAGAGCTGCAATCACATCCTTTAGTATCACACTCCTAGGCCCCTGCTGCTTCGCCAAACCTCCCGCTCCTCCCGCCCCAGCTGCCCCTGCTGTCCCTACTCCAGCCGAACCTGCAGCTCCGGCTGCCAAGCCTCCAGGCCTAGCACCACCGAGCTTGCCATCAGGTGTACCTGCACCAGATAACCCTCCCTCCCTGCCGCCAACCCCCCCACCAGCAGCCCCACCTACCCCTGATGCCGCCCCTCCTGCTGCTGACGTGGCATTTCCTAATTGGCCCGCGGCTGCAGGACCTCCCGAAGCGAATCCTTCCGTACCTGTCCCCGAACCTGCACCTGAACCCAGACCTGCACCTGCCCCATCCGTGCCGGTCCTAACCCCCCCTACCACTGCCGTTCCTCCTGCAACTCCTGTGCCTGCTCCCCCTCCTGCTGCTCCTCCCGCTGCTCCTCCTGCCGCTCCTGCTGCTCCTGCTGGGGCTTGCATCTTTTTTAGCTGAGCGTCGCGGAACCACTTAGCAAAGCGCGGGTCCACTCCCACTGCCACCCTTGCTGCCTCGTTGGCCCGCGTTGCCTTCTCCTTCTCCTCCTCCATCTCCTTCGCCTGCAGTACAGGTAGGTAAGGGGTACAAGGTACAGGGTACAGGGTACAGGGTTTCGGGTTTAGGACTCAAGGCACAGGACAGGACCCACTTAGCAAAGCGCGAGTCCACTTCCATGGCCACCCTCGCAGCTTCACTCGCCCGCGTTGCCTTCTCCTTCTCCTCCTCCATCTCCTTCGCCTGCCACACAAGCCACAGGATACAGGGTTCACGGAAAAGGGATAAACGGTTCAGTTGTCACAAGGTTGGTACGAGCTTGGTACCAGGTCCGTATCGTACGAGGTAAGTACAAGGTTGCCCTCTTTTTCTCTTTCTCCTTCCTCCCATCCAACCACCCCACACCTTCATCCAGCAAATGTGTGACCAACTGTCGCTCACCGTTCGAACCATAATCTTGACTTTTGAGGAGCCTAGGGAGTTCACCCCGCCACTCTGTGTTGAACAGCACCCACCTTTTGAGCCTTGATCCGGTGCTCCTCCTTCTCCTTCTCTGTCATGTTTGCCTTCTCCTTCTCCTTGCTCTCCTTCTGAACGCACCACAGGACGGGGAGGAAGAGCAAAACAAACAGGACAAAGGCAACGGGTGGATGGACAGACCCACCGTGGTGAACAGCTGTTGCCCAAGAATGGCCCGGGGAGAAAAATGTGTGGCGTGGATGGGCCGGCAGGCCAAAAAAAAGGGGGGAGGGGGGGGGGGGGTTGTAAACGAGCTATGCGGACAATGGACAAGACGAAACCAAAGAGAGTAGACCATGAAGAAAAAAAAAGTTTCTTTTAAATATTATTATTATTATTATTATTACTATTACTATTATTACAGGTTACGAGGCCACTCACCTCCCCTCCCTGCATACTTTCCCCCTCCCACCACTAACCTTCTCTCAGTACCCACCTCCCCCAGCACACACGTCCCTTGGCTCTCACCTCCCCCAGCACACACGTCCCTTGGCTCTCACCTCCCCCAGCACACACGTCCCTTGGCTCTCACCTCCCCCAGTCTTCTGAGTCTCTCTCTCTCCTCTGCTCTGCTGCTCTCCTCTCCTCCGCCTCCCTCTCTTCCCTCTGCATCAGCCGCAGCTGCTGCAGTGGATTCGACGTAACCGACATCAAACACAAGGCACAAAGCCACCTTCCCCACAACTGACCTTCTTCCAGAACCCACCTACCCTCAGGACTGACTTAACTGCAGAACTTACCTTCCCAAGCACCCAACTTACCCCAGCATTCACATCCCCCAGGACTCACCTCCCCTAATCTTCTGAGCCTCTCTCTCTCCTCCGCTGCTCTCCTCTCCTCCGCCTCCCTCTCTGCCCTCTGCATCAGCCTCAGCTGCTGCAGCGGATTCGACGTCACTTGCATCACAGGCACATGCTGCGGCGGCTGCTGCTGCTGCTGTATTCGCTCCTCCTGGGGTTGCTCTTGTTGTGGTTGCTGCTGCGGCCGCCGCAACAGCTCGTGTCGATGCTGGTTAAGCCTCTGTAGCGGGGTAAGGGGAGTTGGAAACAAAAGGATGGAGGGAGGAGGGGGAGGAGGAGGGTAGGGAAATTGGGGTGATTAGTTCTACATCACTTGCATCACAGGCACATGCTGCTGCGGCTGCTGCTGTATTCTCTCCAGTGGTTGCTCTTGTTGCTACTGTTGCGGCCGCCGTAACAGTTCGTGTCGATGCTAGTTAAGCCTCTGTAGCGGGGTAAGGGGGTTTGGAAGAAATGGACAGGGGGGAGGGGAGGTGAGAGGAGGTGGGGAGGGGAGGGGAGGGGAGGGGAGGGGAGGGGAGGGGAGGGGAGGGGAGGGGAGGGGAGGGGAGGGGAGGGGAGGGGAGGGGAGAGGAGGGGAGGGGAGGGAGGTGGGCGGGACGAGGAAAGAAGCCCTGGGCTGATTCGAATTGTGTTGAGGGGGAGAATGGGAAGGTGGATGCAAGAGACGGAACCGAACAACAGCCGAGTAGATTGGCTCAAGGTTTAAGGTGGGGTTTAAGGATTAGAATGGATTAGAATCAGGAAGAATACAGGTGCATAGAGATGGGTTTGACACACACATGAGGCATCGAGTATGAAGATTTACTTTGAGACGTCTCAAAATAAATCGTCATACATTTGACGCACACATGAGGCATCGAGGCGATCTTTTTGAGGCGCCTAAAAAATTGACGCACGCATTAGGCATCAAAAGCGATCCTTCTGAAAAAAGCATCCCAAGGGAATGCGGCACTCACGTGAGCTGACAGCCTGGAGAGTGCTGCGAGCAGCGAGTGCATTCGCTCCTCTAGTGCCTGTGGAGTGAACTTGAATCGACAATTGAATCGACCCACACGTTGCCCCGAAAAACAATCCAAGGGAAGAGACACTCACGTGAGCTGATAGTCTTGAGAGTGCTGCGAGCAGCGAGTGCATTCGCTCCTCTAGTGCCTGTGGAGTGGTGGTGAGGCACAAGGCAGAGAGGAGAAGATAGAAGCAGGTGAACAACTAGCAGAGTGCACGGGCAAGAGAGAGGGAAAGCCGGTGCACAGCCTGTGTATGCATTTGCTCCTCCAGGGTCTGGGGTGAGAGAGGGGAGAAGCAGGTGACGGACTGGGGAGAGTGCAGGGGCAAGGGAGTTGGAAAGCTGGTGCCTCGGTGCGTGCATTCTCTCCTTGAGAGCAAGTGGAGACACGATGAGACAACACGATGCAGAGTGGAGAGGGGCGAGCGAGATAACACGGTGAAGCTGGCAAGCTGGTGCCTCGGTGCGTGCAATCTCTCCTTGAGAACCGGCGGTGAGACACGATGCAGAGTGGAGTGCAGAGACGCGAGCAAGATAACACGGTGTAAATTTTCACTTGCACTGAAGGCTCATCGATGTACACGGTCTACTAGATTCACCCCATTCCAGGCACCCACTTCGACCATCTTGTAGGCAAGTTTCAGTATTACGCACATATAATACTCACCCTTGAGAGGCACACATAAACTGTTTTTGAGTCGACTCATAACTTAGGCAAGTTTCAGTATTAGCCACATATACTACTCACCCTTGAGAGGCACACATAAACTGCGTCACTGACAGTGCGAAGCCCAGCCTTGGAAGCTGAAGGAAGGCGGGTGGGAGGAGGAGGGGAGGCGGGAGCGGAAGGGCGGGGAGAGGAGGGAAGGGAGGGGGAGAAAGGTGAAGAGACGATGGCACAATGAGAGGTACACATAAATGATGTCACTGACAGTGTGAAGTCCGCCCTTGGAAGCTGAAGGAAGGCGAATGGGAGGTGGAGTGCGGGGTAGGGAGGTGAGGGGAGTTGGGAGAGAAGAGGAGTGAGGTTAGGAAAGGTCAAGTGAGACGGCAACTGCAAGAGTGCAAAGAAGAGGTGTACTCGTCCAAATGACAGAGATTAGGGGAGGTGAAGAATGAACGAGAACCAGGAGTATCAGGGGCCGTAGCAAGAGTATGATGGCGTGTTTTGAGTCGACTCAAAGCACGAGTCAAAGCACTATGAAAGAAGGATGCTGGTAGCTCTGTTGCTTAAAAGGGCAGAAGAGAGAAAGTTGTTCTGACCGGGCACCATTTGCCTACTCAACTATCCTCCCAACCGCACCACACCCACCCACCTATCCGGCCCACCACGTCGCGCAACAAGGGTCGGTCGATCAGCAGCAGCTCCTCCTACTCCCAAGCAGCCTTAGCAGCCCAGTTACCACACCATACCTACTCACCTATCCTCCCAACCGCACCACAACCACTCACCTATTCGCCCCACTACGGCTCGCAGCAACGGTCGGTCCATCAGCAGCCGCTGCTCCTCCTCCTTCGCCATGCGCCTCCATGCCTCCCCCTGCACCTTCTGCTGCTGGTGTGCGCCCCTAAATAGATCCCACACACTACACCGCCTCACAGTGCCTCATCTACCCTCGCAACCCAACCCCAATTGCCCACTCACTCGCAACCCCAATTCTCCCCAACCCAGCCCAATCAACACACACACACTCACCTATCCGCCCCACCACAGCTCGCAGCAGCGGTCGATCCATCAGCAGCCGCTGCTCCTCCTCCTTCGCCATGCGCCTCCATGCCTCCCCCTGCACCTTCTGCTGCGCATCCCCCGCCACTGCCATCGCCAATAACTGCTCCTCCTCCTCCTGCGATGTGAAAAAGGGGTGATTTTTTCATCCCCCCACAGCCTCACTCTCTAGACAATCGTCAGGGGACGGCCAGCAGTGGGGAGTGAGGTTGATGAAGATGCATAGGAAGGGTGAGTGGTACCAAAACAAGGATACAGACACCCACCCTCGTGCTGCATAGAAGAGAGAACAGAGGTGACTAATAAACAAGACACGTAGAGGGGGGCACGAAAACGAAAACTCACCCTGAGGTTCACCCCGCTGACTGCTGTCACGTCATTCAGCTGCTCTATTCCCACCCATTAAAGACATCTATGCAGCCAACCACCCTCACATGTAGGCACGTCAAGAAGGGTACAATCACATCACTCACCCAGAGGTTCACCCTGCTGACTGCTGTCGCGTCATTCAGCTGCTGTCTGTCCCCACCCACCTTTTAAGCCATCTATGAAGCCAAGCCAAACAACCACCCTCACCAAAAGGAGCGTCAAGAAAGGAGCGAGAACTCACCCTGAGGTTCACCCCGCTGACTGCTGTCACGTCATTCAGTTGCTCTATCCCGTCGTTGTCGGGCTTGGGCTTCTTGCTGCAGTTACAGGCGCACAGACGGGTAGTGGTACGGGTAGGGAGGGGGAGGAGGGGGATATGAGATGAGACCATTGAGATGCCTCAAACAGCTGCTCTATCCCGTCGTTGTCGGGCTTGGGCTTCTTGCTGCAGGTAGACAGAGGGGTAGGGGAATGGGATGAAGAGGGAGAGGGGGGGGAGATGAAGGGGCAACAGGAAGGAGGGTCGTTGAGTTGCTCTATCCCGCTGTTGTCTGGCTTGGGCTTCTGGCTGCAGGCATGCAGAGGTACATTTTTGAGGCGCCTCAAAAACGACCTTCTGGCTGCAGGCATGCAGAGGTACAGTGGAAACGAGGGGTGGGGATGACGAGGGAGGGGGGCAGGGGAGGGGAGGGAGAGTTAGGGGGGAGGAAGAGAATGGACGGGGGGTTGCCCTGGCGGGAGTGCCTCCGCTGAAGAATATAATACTTGCTGGAAGTGGCAGAGTGAGTGTTTGAGTTGTCCGAGTGCTAAGCTGAATTCTAGAAGGTTCTGGAAATTCTAGAAAATAAGGTATTTCTGAGAATTCTAGAAATTACAGTGCTCAGATGAATTCTGGATGCTTCTTAAGCACTCACGGAGGGGGTTGTCCTGGAGCGGATGCCTCTGCTGGGTGCTTGCTGCCGGGTGGCTGGCAGGTTGAGGGGCTTTGAGAATTGCGTGGGTGAACCTCAATCACACTAAGAGTAAGCCAAGCACTCACGGAGGGGGTTGTCCTGGAGCGGATGCCTCTGCTGGGTGCTTGCTGCCGGGTGGCTGGCAGGTTGAGGGGCTTTGAGAATTGCGTGGGTGAACCTCAATCACACTAAGAGTAAGCCAAGCACTCACGGAGGGGGTTGTCCTGGCGCGGATGCCTCTGCTGGGTGCTTGCTGCCGGGTGGCTGAGCGGCTTGAGAGCCTGGGGGCTGTGGATGGGGTTTTGGGAGGTTCGGATGCTGGGAGAGAGATGGAGGGGAGGAGAGGAGGCGATTATGGGTCGAGTCAAGAATTCTTCAGAGGGGGTTGAAAGCTGGAACTGTGAGCGGGGTTTTGGAAAGGGAGTTGGGAGAGAGACGGGAGGATAGGCAAAAGAGGAGAGCACAGTGAGGAAAATGTTAGGATAGGGGGGAAAACTTGTAAGAGAGTAAGAAGATGTTTCTATTGGGTGCTACTCTGAAGGGCTTGGCTGGTGCTGCCGCCCCTGCCCCTGCTGGTGGCCTGGCTGGTTGGGACAAGATGGCTTCTGCTTCAGTGAGGAGGATGGAGGGATGGGATGGGAACGAACCTGTGGTTCTGCTGCTGGGGAGGGCCTGGCAGGAGCAGCCGGCCCTGCGCCTGCTGCTGGTCTGCCTGGTTGGGCAAAGAAGTTTTTTGAGAATTCTCAAAAACCAACGAGGAGGATGGGGGGATGGGAACGGACCTGTGGTGCTGCTGCTGTGGATGACTTGGCTGGTGCAGCCGCCCCTGCACCTGCTGCTGGTCTGCCTGGTTGGGCAGCCGTAGCATCAGCTGCTGCTGCACCAGCAGCACCAGCACCAGCACCTGCGTTGGCACCAGCGGCGGCAGCACCAGCAGCAGCAGCGCCAGGGGCAGAGGTGGTGGAAGGAGCAGGTGCGGCTGCAGCACTAGAGGGCATAGCACCGCCATCGCTCTCTGTCAGCCTAAGCCGTTTCACCTCTGGCTCCTCTTCTCTTCTCAAACCCCCTGCCGCCCCTGCTGCTGCCCCTCTTGCCGCTACTGCCCCTGCTGCGCCCGCTGCTCCTGCTGCTCCTGCAGCTGCTGGCGCCTTTCCTCCTATAGCTCCTACTGCTGGCAATCCGTCCTCTAATTTGACCGTGGCTCCACCTGCAGTGGCTGTACCAGGAGCAGCACCACCACCAGAAGCAGCAGCAGCACCACCACCACCACCACCAGCACCAGAAGCAGCAGCAGCGTCAGGTGCCCCCCCAGCAGCGATCCGCTTCTTCTCCTCCTCTTCCGCCTTCCGCTTCGCCTCCTCCTCTCGCTTCTTCGCCTCTTTTCTCAGCTTAGCCTTCTCATACTTGGTCAACGGCCGGCCCCCAGGAGTCCCAGCAGCCGCTGCCACTGCCCCTGCACCACCAGCACCACCAGCAGCACCACCACCACCAGCTCCAGAAGCAGCATTAGCTGGTTTCCCACCCGCACCTGCTTTTGCTCCTGCTCCTGCCCCCGGTTTTACCCCAGTCGCCTTTGCCCCAGGCGCACTGGCTCCTACATTGCTTGCTGCTTCGGCCCCTGTCCCAGCTATGCCTGCCACTCCCGCTGCTGCTCCTCCTGCTCCTGCCCCTGCCCCTGCTCCACCTCCTGTTCCTTCTGCAAGCACTTTACCTGGAACCGCAGCAGCACCCACTGCCGCCGCTCCTGCCGCTGCTGCCGCTCCTGCCGCTGCTGCCGCTGCTGCTGCTGCTGCTGCTGCTGGTAGCGTTGCAGCTACACCTGTTGATGCTGTCTCTCCCACTACTGCTGCAGTAGCAGTCACACCAGCCACGCCAGTTCCTGATGGGACTTGCCCTACAATAGCACCTGCAGAAACCCCCTCCCCTTTCCCATCCATGCCCACTCCCAGACCTGCCCCTGCCGGACCTACATGTGGGCTCGGAGCCCCAGCCTGGAGCGGCACCGAGCCTATCTGCCCTGGTGCCGAACCTACATAAGCGGGGTGGGGACCGGACGGGTGAGGCACAGCTGCAGGTCCGGCAGGGTACCCGACCCCAGGCTCTAGCTTCGGAGGGACGGGAGAGACGGCGGGGCGAGGTATGGGGTATGGAGAGGTGTGGAACGCTTGTGAGGGGTGGGCGGAGTGGGGGGGGATGGTTGGTCGGAGTGGGGGGGATTGCATGGGATGGTACGGTTGTGGTTGACCCATCGTCATGGCTACTCCTGCTCCTGGCTCAAGCTTCGGTCCTGGTGACTGCTGCTGAAGCATCTGCTGCTGCTGCTGCCGCTGCAACTGTTGTTGCTGCTGCTGTTGCTGCTGAAACGCTGCCCCTCCCTGCATTTCCCCCAACCCCCCTGCCCCAACACCCACTCCCCTAGTGCCCGCCCCATTCCCTAGGCCAGCTGCACCGGCAGCTGTACCTCCCCCAGACCCACCCACCCCAGTCCCAGCTACCATCCCCCCACCTTCCCTTGCCACACCTCCTGCCGTCCCTGCTCCCAACCCTCCTTGCACAGACCCAGGCCCGGCCGAGCCTGCTCTCAAGCCTGCTCCCGAGCCTGCTTCTGATCCCAAGGCTACTCCTCCGGCTGTTGCTGGTCCTGCTACAGATGCGCCTGGGTGTGTGCTGCTGGGAGGGCCGGCTGTAGCAGGAGGTGCAAGGGGGCCCGCAGGAGTGGAGTGCGGTGCCATGTGGTTGTTGGTAGCAGCAGCAGCAGCAGCAGCAGCAGCTACCTTCATTTGCATTATTTTCTCTCTCTGCAGGGAATGAGAAGAGGAAATAGGATGGTTTTTTTAGTCGACTGAAACAAACAGCAGCAACTGCTGCTGCTGCTGCCATTTGCTCATGACGCTCCCTTGTCCTTTGAATCATCTTCTCTCTCTGCAGGGAATGAGAAACCGCAAGCGAATGACCAAAGGGAAGTGGACGGAAGGTGACGGCAAGAGAGAGGGAGGAGGGAGGAGGGAGGAGGGAGGAACACATGCGCCCCACCCCACAGAGAGCCTGAACGGTGTGCATGGGATTCTAGGTGTGTTAAGGTGTGTGTGTTTGAGTCGACTCATGATACAACTGTTTTGAGTCGACTCGGAACACGTGCGCCCCGCCCCACACAGAACCTGAATGGTGTGCATGGGCTTCTAGGTGTGTTTGAGTCGACTCATGATACAGCTACCTACCTGCATGCATCTACCTGCACCTACCTGCATCTACCTGCACCTACCTGCATCTACCTGCACCTACCTGCATCTACCTGCACCTACCTGCATCTACCTGCACCTACCTGCATCTACCTGCACCTACCTGCACCTACTTGCACCTACTTGCGTTCCCTACGCATCTGCACCTGCTGCATAAGCTGCTTGAACATGTTCCACCCACAGAGACCTTTAATGCGATTGTACGTGGCTGAATACGGTTGAACGCGGTTGCACGCTTCTCTCACCTGCACCTGCTGCATGAGTTGCTTGAACGTGTGCCCACCACACAGAGAGCCTGAACGGCCTGAATGAACCTCTAGGTGTATTTTGAGTCGACTCATGAAACAGCTACGGTACCTACCTGCCCCTACTTGCACCTACAGGCACCTACTTGCACCGAGTTGCACTCCTTCACGCACCTGCACCTGCTGCATGAGTTGCTTGAACATGTTCATCCCACAGAGAGCCTGAACGGCCTGAATGAACTTGTCCTTGTTTATCTTTTGCTCCTGCAGACGGCAGGGAGGGAGACGGGAAGATGTGGGGACGGACGGAGCAAGGAATTGATGGTCATTGAGTCGACTAAGAAGTCAGCACGCGCCCACCACACACACAGAGAGCCTGAACGGCCTGAAACAACTTGTCCTTGTTTATCTTTTGCTCCTGCAGACGGAACGGGGGGTAGTACAGTGGGAATGGAACGATGGGAATGGAACGATGGGGATGGGAGCATGTGCGGATGGGATGGGGACGCATGCATCGGGATGATGGGGATGCAACGAGGAATCAAGTTGTTCTTTCCCGGTGCCTCGGAAAATGGTAGATTCGAGTTTCAGCTGTGCGGACGAGCTTCGAGTTTCAGCTGTGCGGACGAGCTTCGCTCGTTCCCACAAAGCGATGCCGTTTGCTTTGCAGGATTGAGTAAGTAGGAGGCACTGTGGAAATGGAACAATCGGAATGCAAGGATGCCAACTAGCTACCCTTGCAAGGAAGGATGGAAGGAGGATGTTCATTCAGATGAGCCTGAAGGTGCGGATGCAGCTCAAGTTTTGAGACGTCTCAAAACTCGGATGCTAATTTAGATGAGCCCTCCGCCCGGAGGTGCGGAGGCAGCTCCAAAAAGGTCTCTTTTGAGACGCGTTTCACATCAAGCCACCTTGCATCGTTGTACCCACCTTCCATTCAGCCACATTTCCAGAACAAGCAAAGCCACCTTGCAACCATGCACCCACCCACCCACCTTCCATGCGGCTTGAATCTGCTGCAGCTGCACTCGTTGCCCTTCATTCAGAAGCGACCTCAGGCGCGGAAGCAGCTCTGGGAATGTGATTGCGGGGGCCTGAACAGTCTTCCGCATTGCTCCCGCACCCCCTGCTGCCACTCCTCCCGCTCCTCCTGCTCCTCCTGCTCCTCCCACTCCTCCTGCTGCTGCCATAGAGACGCAGGGTGGTGGGCGCAGGGAAAGGTGAACGAGTAGCAGTTAACACGAGAAATTTGTTGGGTCTGTTTTTGAGTCGACTCAAGAACAGCCTCTTTCTGCAAGACAGGACTCGAGTCACTCGACTGAACTCTTTTACACAGTGTATACTGAAACAGCTCAATATAATCTTCTTGTGTTATGAATAGCATGACCCACCAGTTTGCTGTTGCTGGTGTCCCATCGTCTGCTGATGCTGCTGATTTGATTGTGTGGGTTGCTGCTGCTGCACTTGCTGTTGTTGCTGCTGCTGCTGCAGCTGCTGTTGCCGCTGTTGCTGTTGTTGTTGCTGCTGCTGCTGCTGCAGCTGCTGTTGTTGCTGTTGCTGCTGCTGATGCTGCTGTTGTTGCTGTTGTTGTTGCTGCTGCACTTGCTGTTGTTGCTGCTGCTGCTGTTGTTGTTGCTGCTGCTGTTGCTGCTGCTGCTGCTGCTGCTGCTGTTGCTGCTGCTGCTGTTGTTGCTGCTGCTGCCGCTGCTGCTGCTGCTGTTGCTGTTGTTGCTGCTGTTGCTGCTGTTGCTGTTGCTGCTGCTGCTGCTGCTGCTGCTGCTGCTGCTGCTGCTGCTGCTGCTGCTGCTGCAGCTGCTGTTGTTGCTGCCGCTGTTGCTGTTGCTGTTGCTGTTGCTGTTGCTGTTGCTGTTGCTGCTGCTGCTGTTGCTGCTGTTGCGACTGCTGCTGTTGCGGCTGCTGCTGCTGCTGCTGCTGTTGCTGCAGCTGCTGCTGCTGTTGCTGCTGCTGCTGCTGCTGTTGCTGCTGCTGCTGCTGCTGTCGCTGCAGCATCCGCTGCTGCTGCTGCCGTATCCTCTGCAAGTACAAAGTCTGCTGCTGAGGAGTAAGCTTATGCCATCTAGGGTCGTTGGCCAATGCAGCAGGCACCTGCATAGTCCCAACACCACCACCCGCGGCACCCCCACCACCCGCACCACCTCCAGCACCACCAGCACCACCGGCACCACCGGCACCAGCAGCACCAGCAGCACCAGTACCAGCAGCAGCACCAGCCATAGCCATTCCAGGACGCACCCCCCCCTGAACAGCTGCAGCAGCACCACCAGACATACCTCCCCCAGCCATACCTCCCCCTGCTGCGGCTCCCGCTCCGCCACCCCCCATCCCGCCGCCCCCAACCACCGCACCAGAAGCCCCAGGTCCAGGTCCCAGGCCGCCACGTGGCGGCATGCCGTTGGCTGCAGCAGGCACACCAAGAGGGACCCCATATGTCTGACCCGGACCCGGACCAGGGCCAGGGCCACTAACGGGAGAGTTACTAACGAGAGTAGCACCGGGCATCCCACCGGCCATACCAGCGGGGATTCCGGCGGGTATTCCGGGACCAGAACCCAAAGTACGTGCCCCAGTTACCATCTGCGGCCTAGGCATCCCCATACCCGGGCCTGCGGGAGACATAGGTCCCCCCGGTCCGCCTGGCACGGGCATGGGGGAATGCGCGCGCATACCCGCACCAGGGGGGAGTGCGGAGGCCAGCATTTGCGCGCCCGGAGACGCGGACGCGGGGGGATACGGCTGGCGCGGGGGGTGGACTGCGGGATACCCCGCGCCTCCGCCTGCGGCAGCGGCAGCAGCAGCAGCAGCGGCGGCGGCGGCGGCGGCAGCGGCGGTGGGGTTAAGGTCTCGTTGAAGAGAGGCAGCCATGGCTTCGACCATAGAGGAGGGCATGCGCGTCGGGGAGAGCGGCTCGTCCTCCTCCAGGAACCTACTCAGATCCATGGCCGATCTCCCTCGAAACACTCGCGCTCTTGTGCTACTGTGTGCGCTCCTGCGCGCGCTGCTGTGCGCGCTTCCCTGGCCTGCTGGCTGATTTTAGGGCGCTTTTCTTTTCCTCTTCAGACCTTGCAACCGATTGGTCCGCTAACAATGGACTAACCTATCAATCGGACTAACGATAGTAGCGAGCGCGACGGGGACTGCCTTGCTGAACAATGCTAGCTGAAAGCCTCAGACGGCCTAGTCAGTCGGACAGTCCTTAGAACGGTGTTGGAGCAGATCAATACGAAATATGGAATGTTCTTCCCGAGTATTATCGAATCAGTGCTTAACGATTTAGGGACGTATGAGAGAATCTGAACAGTTTCGCTTTCTCGCACCAGCTTCATCGCTTCAGCTTCCTCCATATCGATGCTGACATATTGCCTTCGCGAAGAAGTCTAATTTTAACATTCACCGATGCACACGAATTGACTTTTAATGTCCCTGGTAGGAGTGAGGGTGGGAATGGGAGGTGTTCCGCAGGAAAAAACTGTCATGAGATAGCGTTTACTGTAGCAGAAATATAATAAACTGCTGGAGAAGAGAGAAAAATGCAGATTGCGGGGACGGAACAAAAAAAACAACAAAAAACAAAAAAAACAGAAACAGAATGAGGTAACAGTAACGGCAGCTGGAGTCCTATCACGCTATTCAAATCCGTCTAAAACAACTGGATCATGAGCTTCTCAAGGGAATCAGTTGCGGTTTTTATGGAGCAAAAACGGCAACCCTACCTGTCGTGCGTCGCAACGACGACCAGAGAGCGTCACGCCAAGCATGCTAATGGTTCTACGTCTCTAAATCCAGCACCATGACCCGTAAGCTCGGAAATTTCCACTCGATTGACTAGAATAGACTGACACCTGTCGCGGAACAAAGCTGCTGTCGGAACACTACCTCCTTTACGTTGCCGATCCCCACAAACTGTCGCGACGCAGAGCTACAAGCCGTAACGGTCAATATCGCGAGCTACGAAAATAGCCTACGCGACGAGAAACACGGCACTGATCGTAATACCTGACAGGCAGCTACTGTCAGCTATCGGAATTCCTACAGTAAATTGGGAACAGGATCAGTCCAGTTAGAAGCCTAAAAACCACCAGCGAACCTACAAAGGTTCAGTATTCTCCTTCTTGATCTTGAGTTTCTCACCCCTTGGCAAAAACTAAAGCAACCCCTGAAGGCTTCACGCTCCAGCTATGCTAATCAAAGCTATCGCCTTCCCGTAGTCTAACTAAAGACTGCTAGGGGACAGACGCTTGGTGGCTTTTTTTTTTTTTTTCTTTTTTTTGACATATACATTTATGAGGACAATGAGACGCTTGGTGGCTGGCGTGGCGGCCTGTTTCAAACAGTGAGGAAAAAGATGTGGATTCTGGAACCATTTATAGCAGTAGGGTTTGAGATGACCTTGGGAAATGTTTGGGGGAAAGGGAGGGGAGGAAGTGGCCACTGGGGCTTGGCGGAGGAGGGGGAGGGGGAACTCGGCGGAAGCTGAGACGGGATGGTGCGGCAAGCGTGCAGTGGCGGAATGGTGGCGGGAACCTGCAGTGACTGAAGGAATGGTGGGGGAGCCTGCAGTGGCGGGGCGCGGAATGGTGACGAGCGCAATCCTCACCAGCGGCTGAGGGGATGTTCAGGCGGCGACGAATTGCGCAGGGTGCGAGGTGAGCGGAGTTGGTAGTGTTGCGCAAGGGCTTGCGGAATCGAAGATTGGAAGTGACTGGCAGCCGCAGATGAATGCACAGGTGCGCCGTGGCTTTGATCGAAGTCTGGCGCGGAATCTTCGAGGCTGGTTTTGAAATTCGAGAAAAGCTCCATACACTACAGTTCTATGAACAAGATGTATAGTTCAATTCAAACACTAGCAGGACAGGACCTCTAGATTGCTCTTTTGTTCCCCATTTAATTATTACTATGTGAGACTCCATGAGTGCAAATATTTAGTGAATACCTCAACATGTACAGTGCCGTTGCAGAGCTGCCACGGTTATGACAATCTATGTGCCTGCTCATGTGACGGGACTTCTGAGAATCTGTGAGCTTGAGAAAGGAAAGCCGGTTCAAAGGAGATACGGTACTTCATAGGTTATGATATGATGTACAACTTTCCTAAGTCAGCATGATATGACCTTGCACTCTTCTTGCCAAACATAGTCCAGTCTAACTATCATTCATGTGCGCTTGCATTAACTCATACTACGGCAATAAGAATCGCAACACATGCTTCAGTGTGGTTCACTACACCTAGACACAACATTCCAGACCTAGCATGTAAAGTTATTTGACAGAGCACAATGTCATTGCGATGTCGGGTGTGAGTGGGCCAGCTCTTGAAATAGCATGTCGACAAAATTGTCGTTCTGGAGAGAGGCGCGATGGAGGAGAGGGACGGGAGGGAGGGAAGGGAAGGTGGAGAGAGGGGGAAAGGAGGTTTCATCTAAGCCTGCGAGCTTATGGAAAACGTCAGTCAATTAGGATTGAGGGTAGAAAATATAGGGAATGGGGTGGAGAACTATTTGTCTTTTAACAGGAAGTAGACGCGAGGGAGCGGGGTAAAGCATGTACGGAGAAACGATAGGAAACGAAGGAATTACATGGTAAAAAACTAATTACTGAGTCGACCAGAAAGCGATTGAAAGAGGCTAAGAGTGAATGGCGCGAAGAGGGGTTGGGAAGAGAAAAGGGGGATGGGGAAAGGAGGGGGGAAGTGGGTGGGAACAGGAGTACGGTAGGTGGGAGGGTCGTAAGAATGAGAGGAGTGGGTGGAAACTAGTCATTCTACCAAGACACCTGCACCAGTTCCCACCTGCACCACTTCCCGCCAGCACCACTTCCCACCTGCACCAGTCGCAGTAGCGCAGCCTTCAGCCCTTCCCTTGTCACCACCACCGCCACCCCCTCCCCTCCTCTCCCCCCTTGCGAGCCCAATCCAGTTCCCCCAACGGCTGGACTGATGGGAGCAGGAATGGTACGGGATGAGGCAGGAATGGAGTGAGGAGGAGCGGGAATAGATGGAGAGAGAACAGGAGGGGGAGCAGGGGAGGCGAGGGAAGGGGGAGGGGCGGGTGGGGGAAAGGGCTGCAGCATAGGAGCTCCGTGGGAGGGTTGGAGGAGGGCTGCTAGTGCGCGTGACATGCGCTCACTCTCACTCCCTGACATCCTCTCACTCTCCCCCTCTCCTCCCTCCTCTCCCTCACTCCCTCTCTCCTTCGTAGCCACTCCCTCCCCTCTTCTGCCTGTTTCCGTTGCTGATATCCCATTGCCCGCCTCGTCTCTTGCTGCTGCTGCTGCTGCTGCTCTTCCTTCCCCGTGGCTTTTTATGGGACCCTTAGTCTCTGCACTTTCGCTTTCAAGTAAGTGGCATGCAGTTGCAGAGGAAGGGAGAGGAGGCATGGGAGCGGAGTTGGGGTGAGGAGGGAAGAGAAGAGAGGTGGAGAGGGGAGGGAAGGGGGCAGAGGAGGGAGCAGGAGGGGAGAAGGCAGAGCGAGGGGAGGCAGCTGCTGAAGGGAAGATGGGGACAGAGGAAGAAGAGAGGGCGGCAGGGGAGATGAGGGGGAACGGTGGTGGCAATGCTGCCAGTGGTGGTGCTGGCAGTGCTGCTGGTCCTGCTGCTGCTGTTGCTGCTGCTGCTACTGCTGCTGCTGATGCTGATGGGAGTGATGGGGCGGATGGGACTGATGAAACGGCAGGTGCTTGCGGGACGGGTGGAGGTGCAGTGGAGAAGAAGGAGGGCTTGAGCAGAGCGTGTGTTGTTCCTGCCCCTGCTCCTGCTCCTGCCCCTGCTGCTGCTGCTGCTGCTGCCGGCACAGCCGCTGCTAATGCTGCCGCTGCCGGTGCTGGTGCCGGTGCTGGTGCTGGTGCTGCTGCTGCTGAGAGCATCGCTCCTGTGGGTTTGATCTGCAGCATCGCTTGGAGATCCATTAGAGCCTGAATCTGCTCTCTTACCACGTCTTGCCCTTGCCCTTGCCCTTGCCCATGCGCCTGCCCCTGCCCTTGCCCCTGTGCTTCTCCCACTGTCTGCCCCTCCGTCCCCTGCAACCCATTCTCCTGCGGCTGGCCCTGCAGCAGCGGGAGAGGGGTTGGCTGCGGTTCGTGTGGCGCGGAAGCAGTAGGCAGAGCGGTTGGGTGGGGTTCGTGTGGCGCGGCGGAAAGCGACGGGAGGAGCGTGGAGAGGAGAGAGGAGGGCACAGGGGCGGAGGAGGAACGAGTGTCTTGGAAAGCGGGGGGGTGTGAAGAGGGAGGAGGAAGAGGTAGAGAGGCGGCGGGAGGGAGCGAGGCGAAGGGAGGGAGCGAGGGAGGGAGCGAGGAAGGGAGCGAGGCAGAGGAATGGAGGTTTTCCAGAGGCGTGCTAGTGTCAGCAAGCAAGGCGCTATGCTGCGGAACGTGGCTGCTGGGTTGGTCGTCCTGTGGTGTAGTGGGCTCGAGAGGGCCGTCTACCATGGCCTCTGAAGGAACAGCTTCCAGCTCTGAATACTCGGGGCTGGGGGGGTGGGGGGGGGGGGAGGGAACAGGAGAATCAAGGAAAAGAGAGATTGGGAACGTGGTGGGATGCTGTGGAATGTGGATGCTGGGTTGATCGTCGCCCTGTGGTGTGGTGGGCTTCAAAGGGCCGTCCACCATGGCCTCTGAAGGAACGGCTTCCAGCTCTGAATACTCGGGGCTGATTGGGATCGGGGAAAGGAGAAAGAAAGAGAAGTGAGTTTGGGGCCGTGGTGGGTGGGATGCTGTGGAACGTGGCTGCTGGGCTGGCCTGCCTCTGGTGGGGAGGGCTCCTCCAAAGGGCCGTCCACCATGGCTGCTGAGGGCACCGCCTACAGCTCTGAATACTCGGGGCTGGAGGGATGGGGAGAAAGGAAATAAGAGTTGAAAGAAAGAGAGAAGAGCAGGAGGATGAGGTGTGCTGGTGGGCTCTAGAGGGCCGTCCACCATGGCTGCTGAGGGCACCGCCTACAGCTCTGAATACTCGGGGCTGATGGGGAAGAGGAAAGAGGAAGAGGATCAGGGAAGAGGATCCGGGAACGAGGAAGGGAAAGGGAAAAGGAAAGGGAAAGGGAAAGGGAAAGGGAAGAGGGACGCGCTTAATAAAAGACAAACCCTATCATGCAGTGCGAGGCTCTTGGGTGGAAGCGGTGGGCAACAAGAGAGTACATATATACACCCAGCCAGCCTGAGAGGAGGAAGGAACATGTTTTGAGTTGACTCAAAACACGACTCATTTCAAGCGGTGGGCAACAAGAGAGTACATATATACACCCAGCCAGCCTGAGAGGAAGAAACGAGCATACCTATTAGATGGTATGAGCGGCTTGGTTGGATGTGCGTGGCGTGAAAAGGTGTTGAGAATCCTGCAATGGGGAGGGAAAGAAGAACAGATATGCGTGTCTTTCACTGTCCCACGAGGATTCAAAGTTGTGGATTTCAGCCGCGTGGGGAGGTGCGAGAAAAGGTGCGTGAGGCTTGGTTGGATGTGCGTGGCGTGAAAAGGTGTTGAGAATCCTGCAATGGGGAGGGAAAGGGGAAAGACACGTGGGAAATGTAAGCTGGATGATTCAGAATTCAGAGTGGTAAATTCCAGCCGTGTGGGGTGGTATGAGCGGCTTGGTTGGATGTGCGTGGCGTCAGTAGTGGACAGGTGGGCTGCGGAGGCCTGAAAAGGTGTTGGATGTGCGTGGCGTGAAAAGGTGTTGAGAATCCTGCAATGGGGAGGGAAAGAAGAAAATACTCGGGGAATTGAAAATGGAAGATTCGGGATCCAGGGTGTTAAGAGTTTCGGGTTTGGGATTTCAAATTTAGCACAGTAATGACAAGTCAGGTCAATTGGGGTTAGGTGAAAAACTAACAGGTAAAAAAATAGAAAAAAAAAAATATATATATATATATATATATATCACAGGCAGAGTTCGGGACTAGGCAATCAAACCTGGAGAAGGGATTGGCAGCGTCGTGGCACTCTTTCAAGGAGTAAAACCAGATGCCATTGACCTCCTGGACTTCCCAGTCCCAGGATACCTGCCCAGTTCTAGCCCCCTCGTGATCATAAACTGACTGAGTGGTACAAACCTAGAGAAGGGATTGGCAGCATCGTGGCACTCCTTTAAAGAGTAAAACCCAATGCCGTTCACCTCCTGGCCTCTGTTTCTTCCCTTCCCCCCCACCCCACAAGGTAGCATGGCTAGTTATGCCCCATCCCACACATGTCCAACAGCTGCTGTGGAGAACACACCTGGAGAAGAGATTAGCAGCATCGTGGCACTCCTTGAGCGAGTAGAACCAAATTCCGTTCACCTCCTGGCCTCTGTTGCGGTACAAGATGTAGGGCGGCTGCACCTCGTACTCTAGGTCGCCTAGAAGGTCCTCTATCAGGTTGTCTGAGGGGGGGAAAGGTGAGGGGTGGGGAGGATTGCAGGGGCATTGGAGTGGGTGAGTGCCGTTTTCCTCCTGCCCTCTGTTGCGGTACAGGATGTAGGGCGGCTGCACCTCGTACTCTAGGTCCCCTAACAGGTCCTCAATCAGGTTGTCTGGGTGAAGGGAGTGCGTGTGGGTGTGGGGTAGAGACAGTGGGGATTGGGAGTGGAGAGGGAGAGTGCCGTTCAGTTCACCTCCTGCCCTCTGTTGCGGTACAGGATGTAGGGCGGCTGCACCTCGTACTCTAGGTCCCCCAGCAGGTCCTCTATCAGGTTGTCTGAGGGACAGAGAGAGGGGTGGGTGGGGGGGGGGGGGGGAGAGTGCGGCAGGGGGCAACGGGGGTGGAGAGAGAGTGTTGTTCATCTCCTGCCCACTGTTGCGGTACAGGATGTAGGGCGGCTGCACCTCGTACTCCCAAGTCGCTAAGCAGGACTGGAGGAAGGGGGTCAACAGCAACCTCGTATGAGGTTGGTTGTCTGCGGGAAGGGAAAAGTTTTGAGTCGACTCAAAACTCGACTCATTACACAAGGGGTTCAACAGGAACCTCGTATGAGGTTGGTTGCGGGGCAATGGGGACTGTTACTAGTGGCAGGGGTTGTTTTGAGACGTCTCAAAACAACACTGTTATCACGTGGAATGCGGGGCAATGGGGACTGTTACCATTCGCAGGGGTTGTCTGGGGGAAGAGTGGGGAGGGAAGGCGTACGTGTATACATGTATGATATGCACAGTTAAATGCCTGGAGCTCTGTGGTTCATGACTAAGAACACATGACAACGAACTAAGATTGAAGCTGCTGCTTGCTGCAAGCGTACAGTACACACATACGTGCAGCAGTATAGTACATGAATAATACATATTATGATATTATACACAAAATTTACCTGGAGCTCTGCGATTCATGACTATAAACTGAAAGCGCGGCTGCTCCTTGCTGCACGTTACAACCATTCATGCGCATGCACATGTGTGTACGTTCAGAATTGCATGTCCAGAGATGCAACCATGTCCAGAAGTGCATACAAAGCGAGCATGCGTGCATGTGCATGCAACCCCATATGCAGACACATGAACCAATACAACCAGACCCACATATGCAAGTACAGAATAAAAAACACAGGAACATCGATTGAGATGAAAGGGAGGAGGGAGGGACGAGGGGTTTTGAGGCAAGAGGAAACACGGCTCTACATGCTATGCTGCGATGTTCGAGTGACTTTTGAGCGATGTGCAATTCTCAAAAGTCACTCAAGAGGAAACACGGCTCTACATGCTGCGATGAAAATTGGCAATTTCACAAGAAAGGTCTGGAAAGCAAATAACATGTCGATCTTGCAAGGGCGGTATGAGAGGATCGGGGGAGGCAGCGGGCTGCTGCGAAATGATAGCCACGTGACGTGATAAAAGTGTTGTTTTGAGACGTCTCAAAACAGGGGGTCGGGGGGCAGTGGGGCACAGCGGGCTGCTGCGAAACTTCCCTTTGACAAACGAGTCAAGAAATCCTCCGGCCAGAGTTTCTAGTTTCTCACCGCTTCACGACAAACAGTGATCCTTCCACGTCCTTTCGTGTCTGCCACGATACGTACGAGGTAGAAGATGGGATGGGGGATGAGTATTGATAACCAGACGCACAGTGTCAGTCACGTCAGCAGGAGCGGAAGGCAGCAGCGGGAGGAGCAAAACCAGCAGGAGCGGAAGGCCAGCAGAAAGGAATGGGTGCGAGCATACAGCAGTGCATGCATGAAACCGTGCCAGCAAAAGGCCTTTCCTCTTGTATATTCTCAAAAGCGGCTCTAGTTGGCGCTAGCAACAGCAACACACACACAGTCCATGCCACGCACGCACCCAAGAGGAGGCTGCCACGTCAAACTCGTACACAGTGACGTGGCCGACCGTCAGCAGGATCTCGGCGACGGCGGGATCCATGCGCTGCAGGACCGTTAGGGTTAGATCCATCGTCGATTGCTGATCCAGCTGCAGCGCGCGCTGCGGCGCCGACTGCGGCGGGTTATGCGGCGCTGCTCGCGGCGCCACTGGCGCCATGGAGGACTGCGGCGGAATGGAAACAGAGGATTTGGAGGGGGTCAGGCGGAGCGAATCCACAACCTCGTGTGAACGCGTGTCTTTCCCTGTTTAACTATTCTTCTCTCGTACAAACCCGACTTCAATCCTCTAGAATGAGTCGTGTTTTGAGTTGAAGACGGTAGCCAGTGGCGTTGAAGTGTGTCAGTCAGGACAAGAAAATCCAACGCCACGGTCATGCATGAGGAAATGGAAAAAAGGAGGGGCTGGAAATGTCATGAGGGCCAGAGGTGGGCATGAGGACACGAAAACGAAAGAAACGAGGGATGGTAGTGCCGATGTGAGACCACAGCGCAAGGTACGGACGTGGGGAGCGGGTGACTCACGAATTTGACTGGTCGCTGACTAGAAAGGCTGCTCCTGGCGAGTCTACTCTAGGATGTGGTAACAGTGTAACTGACGGATCGAAAAATTTTAGGACCGACACCGAAAAGCAATAAATTCCTATAGCACGACTCGCGAGTCGCCGGACCAAGTTTTAGAACAGGTCAGAGGTTCAATAGGTAGTCTAGTAGGCTTCCCCCGAGTCGTAACCTAATTGAGCCACTGGGATTGGATGGGAATAGGTTTGTACTCGTTTCCATTATTCTTCGATACTGACGACAGGTCGGTTTGGTTCTGAAAGACGAACTCACGAAGCCTTCCCAGTTGTAGCAAACATGTTGGAAGGAAATTTCTCGCTATTCTTTACTGCGACCGTCAACACCGCGTACAGCAGCAGCCGTTGTTCGCCCGTTACTGCTAACGAGGCTTCGCCAACTTCGCGCGCACTGTTTCATCAAACCTCGCACTGCTGGAGCAGCTGAGTCGGCCTACGCTTCGGGACTAGCCCGAACCTCGCGCCAGCGTAGCACTAACTAGCTCGCAAGCACCACGTTGCCGTTTGCATGTTTCGCCTATAAGTATTCGCTCATGCCTTCGCTCATACTTTGTACTCGTTGAACACCTTAGTGCAATCCTCGCTACCTCGATTCATTGCACCCGTAACACTTGGTTATGAGAGCCACTTTCTTTTCGGACCGCGCATCTCCGCAACCCAGGAAATCAACTTTTGATTTCTCACTCGAAGGGACTCACGCACCTTAGCCTCTAGGAGCCGCTCTCCTCGCGTTCTCTCGTAAACGCGTGCAGCCACGACTGCGCCTAGATTAAGCCGAGCCGACGCCCTTCGTAATGGCCGAACATATCGACGTCGCGACGCTCACGCAAGACCACCTGAAAGAACTGTTGCGCCAGCTGCACGAGAACTTAGAAGAAATTGCGGCGCTGACGGCGGAACGCACATCCCTGCAGAATGACGTTGCACGAGCACAGCAATCACAATCACAAGCACCTGGCACTCCGGTACAACCCGCACCACAAGCATCGCAGCACGGAAGTGTGGGGCAACCCGCGAGTGCGGCCAGTGATGGCGTCGTCCGCCACGACGGAGACGACGACCACGGCACGACTCACCCCGGATCGACGAATGCGGCCAGGATTTTGGCACGATTTCGGCACCGACCAACGATTCGGCACTGCCGACACCGATGCCGCTGAAGCCGCAACGTCCGCCATGTTTTGACCCGAGTCAACGGGGTTGTCCTACCGTTCAGGCATGGTTGTTTACGTTGAACGTGCTTTTCGACGCCAACTACGTTTCGGAGGATAAGGCGAAGATCCGTCACGCCGTGTTGCTGCTGCGAGGACCCGCCATGGACTGGTGGCGCGTCATCGTCGCGAAGCCAATGGACTACGCGACTCTACCGACACGGGAAGGACAAACCAGACCCTGGGCGCCGTCGTATTTCGTGGAGGTGCCCCAATATCGCACGTGGGACGCGTGGTGCGCATGTCTGCGCGCTCGATTTGAGCCAATCGCGGCTTCGATCGCGGCGCGTCAGAAGCTCCGCACTTGGCGCCAACTCGGTTCCGTCGAATACTACACCAGTGGGTTTCTGGTGCTGTGTAAGCAGGTGGGCTACATGCACGAATCTGAGCGTATTGACAGCTACATCGGCGGCCTGAAGCACGACATCGCTCAGGAAATCCAACTCCGCGGCGTCACTGATTTTCAGGAGATTCTCGCCATGGCGGAGAAGCTCGATTTTTTCCGACGACCGAGACCGGGGTCCTACGGAAGCAACAGCAACTGGGGACATCGATCTCGTGGGACGAATGAAGGCGCTACGATACGTGCCGTCGCCGCGAATGCCGCTGCCGCACCGTTTAAAGGGCGCTGCTTCGCGTGCAATCGGCCAGGACACCGCAAAAGCGAATGCCCTGAAAACGCTTAGGGAAAGGGGGAAGCTGAGCAGCAGAAACAGACCAAGCAGCAGGGAAACGTTGGGAGTCATTAGCAGACGGGCCCTCTACTAACAGGTCACGTCGCTCGCCCGACCCAACCGACCCTCACCGAATGATTGTGCCGGTTCACGCAATCGACCACACCCGACCGAATAAGGAGGGTACTACGGTGGACAACCCCATACTGCTTAGTGGGAAAATTGGGACATACTTAGTTAAAATATTCGTAGACGGGGGAGCCAGCCACATCCTGATCAACACCGCCACAGCACGGAAACTGAGACTGCCACTGGACAGATGTTTACCTGAGATCGACGCAAGACTGGTTGACGGCACGCCACTGGCGATACGGGAACGCGTAGACCGGGTTCCGATTCGCTGCGGAGTAACTTCACGTTTAGCCAGGAAATGCTCGCGACAACCCTCGACGGAACCGACATTTTACTCGGTCGTGATTGGCTGTGACGACATAATCCGCGAATCGACTGGACGACGGGTGAATGCACAGTGCGAGTGAACGGTAACAACATTGCCTTACCTCGTTGGGGCTCGCCTGAGTCTTCGTCGGTGCGTGTCAACGCAATCACGACGAAACGCGCCGTAGCGGCAGGAGCTGACGTGCACGAGGTCGACATTCGGGAAGCCGAGGCAGCAGACAAAGGGGGGGGTTTACAGAAACTGCTAGCCGACGTACCGGATGACTTGGCAGCGCTCTTGAAGCAGTACAGTGGGATTTTCCCGGACGACCTGCCGACAGGACTGCCACCTCAGCGACCGCACGACCACAGGATAGAGTTAGAACCGGGGGCACAGCCGACAGTACAGCGACAGTTTCGACTGACCCAACCCGAACTGGACGAAGCAGCTGGATTACCTGCTAGAGAAGGAGTTTATTCGCCCGAGTTCGTCACCCTTCGCAGCACCGATACTGTTAACACCGAAGAAGGACGGGGGTTTTCGCATGTGCATCGACTACCGCGCACTGAACAGGGTTACCATCAAGTCCCGTTACCCTATCCCACGAGCCGACGAACTGATCAACCAACTGCGCATAGCCCGGGTTCTCTCGAGAATTGACCTTCGAGGAGGCTACCACCAGATACGAGTCAACCCATCCGATTGCCCGAAAACCGCCTTCCGAACACGCTACAGATATTTCGAATATACCGTCATGCCCTTCGGAATGACCAACGCCCCCGCCACTTTTCAAATGACCATGAACGAAGCCTTCCGCCCGCTTTTAGATAAGTGCGTCATCGTGTACCTCGACGACATACTGATCTACAGCCCCAACAGAGCACAGCATCTACAGAACATCGGAGCAGTTTTTAAAATACTGAGTGAGAACCGCCTTCTGACGAAAGCGTGGAAGTGTGAATTTTTACAGCACAGACTGGAGTTTTTGGGACACATTATTTCAGCTGAGGGAGTGGAAATAGACCCGAAGAAGATTCAAGCATGGCACGCGCCGACAAACTTGACCGAGTTGCAGAGTTTTTTGGGGTTTGTCAACTACGTGCGCCGGTTCGTCCCCGACATGGCAAAGTTGACTGCCCTGTTGACCGACCTGCTGAGGAAGGGGGTTGAGTATACGTGAGGGGAGAAAGAGCAAGTTGCCTTCTCGGCCCTCAAACAAATTTTGTGCTCACCGCCCGTACTTCACATCGCAGATCCGCACCGTCCGTTCGAGCTCGTCACCAACGCAAGTGACATCGCCGTGGGACCTGTACTGTTGCAGGACTTCGGGAACGGCCTCTAGCCAATCGCGTACGAGTCCCGCATGCTGCACCCACCCGAACGCAACTACCCGATACACGGCCGCGAAATGCTGGCGATCGTGTACGCGTTCAAAGTGTGGCGATGCTACATGACTGGCGCCGACGTGACAGTACGAACAGACCACCGATCACTACAGTACCTCCGCGCTCAACCGGATCTTAACCCGCGACAGATCCGCTGGTTGGACTATCTGGAGTCGAACTTCCACTACACAGTCACGTACAAGAAAGGCGCATCAAACATCGCCGATGCACTCACACTTTCCACCGCCCAACTCCACGCCATCCTACTCGACCAAACCAGCCCACTGTTAACAGGAATATTCGCCCACGGATACCATACCGACCCATTTTTCACGACCGGAAATTCACAGCAACTGGCAGATCCAAAAGGAGTCTATTACGTAAAGACAGGCACCAACCGCATTTGGGTACCCGCGTACTCACTACTGAGGGAACTGTTACTGCAGGAGGCACACGACGGGATTACCTCGGGCCACTTCGGGGTATAAAAAACGCGACAGCAACTACAGCGGTACTACTACTGGCCGGAGCTGTTGACCGACGTACAGCACCACGTGGGCTCGTGTCCTACGTGTCAGGTGATGAAGAGCTTGCGAAAAAAGAAAGGCGGTTCGATTGCAGCCGATTCCACCGCCCGAGCGCGCCTGGCAGCAGGTTACCATGGATTTCGTCACAGGGTTACCTTCAAACCCTGGGGGTAACGACGCTGTAATGGTCGTCGTTGACAGACTGACGAAAATGGCTCACTTCGCTGCGTGCAGGAAATCGATCTCTGCCGAAGAAGCCGCTCGTCTGTTCATCGCAGCCGTCGTTCGACTACACGGGATACCAGCCGCAATCATCAGCGACCGCGATACAAAGTTCACCAGCATT